AGCTGATGTAATACCAAAGTCTCTGCGCAAACACTAGAATTGTAAGGAAAATAGTAGGGAGAATTACTAAGGAGATCTTGGAAGTGAAAGGGTTAAAGGAGTATTAAATTTAAAATACATTAGAATGCAACAAATCAAGCATGTCAAGGGTTCAAATAGAACCAGTTGCTAGCAATTTCAGTGTTTACTATGCTGGGCTTCTCCAGCTAACTCAGTTGTCACCTCAAGAAGACCAAAACCTATCTCCAATAAAAATACTATATGACTTCCTCTTTTTGCACTGTGCCAATTAAGATAATAGTGTCACTTCCATAAGAAACTAAGAAGAAGTTATCATTTCAACCAAACCACTCTCTTGGTCTTATCATCATCACTTGTCTCTGCCATAAGATTTGATGTTGCATGTTTTATACATTCATTTCTTCTATGATGGTTGCCTGCTCTTTTAAAATAAGGATATGACTAGATTTTTCTCTCCACATCAAGCAAGGAGTTATTCAGTGACAGAGAACTATGCCTGTTCTAATAAAAAAGCAAAAAGCTTTTCATTTCACTGCATGTTTTGTAGCAATACAACCTGTTTTAGCTGCTGAATTCCAATTTCAAACTAATTTTTAAAAGATAATCAAGGTTTGCTTAACTGTGTGGATAAATGCATTATCATTTGCATCAAAAAGACCAATGTAGGTTTATGGTAAGTCTTGTGCATTTGCCACTTTTGAGCTTAAAGTTCTTTTTACTTTGACAGCAACTGACACCACAGTTGGTAGCGTTTATATGTAAATGTGTCAAGCTTCAATCTAATGATGTTCGAACTGCCACCACTTCTGTACAAAATGCACTGATAAAATTTAACTCTGCTCTTCCATTATCCTCTGTTGACAGCTCTCATGAAATCCTTTTATAACATTTTAAACAAGAACCGGTCGACATTTCACTGGAGTGAAATCCACTTCCTGCAGAAATCTGACTTCACCTTTTTAGAGCTTAAATAAAGACACCATTAACTTTATTGAAAGAGATGGCCATTTCTCTTAGCATCCTTTAAAAAATCACCTTTAAACCCCTTTTCACCCATAAAATAATAGGTTGAATTTGTGTGAAATACTACAAGGCCTGGACATTGGGGTTAGCAGGTTTTTATAACACCTGCAGTGGATTTTCACTTTGTTGTCTAATGACTGAGCTGATAACACATGTGAGGTTGGGCTTGTTTACAAAGTTTTTCGTTATTGATTTCTCCACAAGACTTCTCTTTTCCTTTAGGACACCTTCTTAAACATTCCACAATCCCATCTTGGAAAGTGCTTTCTTACCCTTCAACGGTGCCACATTTCATTGATTCAATAACCTATATTCTAGCAGCTGACACGAGCATAAAGCCCGTAATACCAACCTCTCTTGTTTCCTTCTCGCGATCGACTGTACGGCTTTGAGCGATGGGAACGGGGGGAAAAGTTTGAATGGCGGGAGTACGGTGAACTTCCTCGACTATTCGTCGAACTAATCGGCGATCTCTCCCTCTCTCGACCACTCTCAGAATTGCAGTTGGGATGGATTTTCGACGAGAACTTGGAACTTGCCTATAATAACAACATATTAATGAGAAGAGGAATTCCTAAACGTACCTGACAGCACACCTCGCCAAATAAGCTTTACCCTTTTAGTGGAGAAGTTATTTTATTGAGAAACAATTCTCAACCTCCACGAATAAAGTTTGGATTGAAGTTCATATGCTCCCATATTTAACTCTATACAAACCTGGCATGGATGATACTGACTCCGGTCATTATACCTAAAAGAGAAAAAAATGCTATTGTTATTTGCTAGATGAGTTGCAAGCGATCATCTCGAGATTCCTGGTCCGTGTGATCGACTTTATAGCGGCTATCAGCTAGTTTATTAATAGAAAACATGGCGGCCTCGCACGATCCTGAAGTTGTCAATTAAACCTCTACTAACCCGTCCACTAGCCTCGGATATTTCCTATTACTCATCAAAACTGCCAGTGTGACTTTTGGGGGAGGGTATGCTCCCTGTAAAAGTTCGATTTTTAGGAAAATATCGCAACGACAAGCCAAAAAGAAAACTAATCATATCGCCACACTAAATTCACGTCGCCATTACCGAGACTCGCAAGCCTGCTGAGGTCATGTGATCCCTGATCGACGTTTATTGTTATATTAGCCAATCACAAGGCCCATTACATACAGACTTCGCTTTTTCCATGCCAGGCTGCTAAGCTTAATGAACTGCACTGTCTGTCTCTTTGTGCGATTCGAAGCATGTTCTATTTTTTACTCCAACTTTTTGAAGCGGAAAATCTATTTCAAGGATGGAACGCCCTCCTGAAAAGAGATAAAATCCTATTTACGCAGTTGGAACCGATCAATCATGCTTAAAAACATTCCTCGAAGGCGGAAAGTAGATCATTTTGATCATCGTAGGACTGCCGGCGAACAGCTTGGCAATTTTTTCAGTTTCATTTTGTCAGATCCAAATTGAAATCGGCTTCACAACAGATGTATTTATTGTGTGTTCATTTTTTTAAGGCTTAAAGGCTATTGATTGTGTTCTCAGACCTTTTTTCAGAACAAGCGGGAAATTATCTGTGTTTGACGCTAATGTCATGATCATTAATATTTTACGGGTTTAATTTAAAGCGACGTCAATAACCTTTGTTAATCGCATTAATTTATGCAGCAGTCGAACGTTGTCTCTTCTTGTTTTTCTCGCAGGTTTTTTTCTCATTATGCTCACAAAAGGTTTTAAATTCTGCACCTTGAGGAATTGCATCTGTTTTAATTTTTGTACGTGGCATGTCGATTCCTCATAAGGTTTCACTTGAGTTCATACAAGAACGACATGTAACAATTATATTCTAAAATTAGTCACAGGAAGGAGTGGAGTCCAATGCGGTCCCTAAACATACAAGTGATCAGATCATGATTACAGACAGAATTGGACGATGCAGAGTTCTGTTGCTAGGTAATTTAAACCATGAGAAATTTGAGTTACAAAATACCTATCACTAAATGGAAATATTTAAAGAGAAAATCGTATTCGGCAATTAATAGATCACTGAATTTTTTAGTGGCATATTAAGAATAGCTGAGAGGGTGTTGCCAATGGTCTTACCACACTTTCACGCCTTCTGTGAATTAATAAGGAGTTTAAGAAACAATGACTGTGGTGTTGTAGACAGCATTAGTAAAAAAATTAACTTGTGTTTTACCTACAAATCTCGCAACACTCTAAAGTCATTTAGTTTGTTTCTCACTGTCAAAAATTTCTTGGAACTGAATATGGAACACAGTGTTAAATTAGAAATAGAAATTTAAAAGTTAAACCACTGTTGTTCACACCTTGTTGTTTTGCAGAGGACGCAAAGAAACTTACCAAGATTTATAATGCATGTACACAGCCATTGTTCTGCTCATTAAACCTTTTGTTTAGTGATGATCCTGTTGCTGTTGCCATTGTGGTTATTCTTAAACTCCCTATTACCATACAGACCCTCAGCAAACTGGATTTTATTTGCTCTATATTAGTATCAAAGAAGCAAAAATATTGTCAATGGTGACTTTATCCATGCATCTCTCCTTCAGTAGACCCAAAGTAAGACTTGATCAGAATGCATTTGTAATTTAGCTTAGTATATTTAATAACATGATTAGGAGTACAATTTGGTTTCGATAAGCACAAGTAAATTTTTTCAAAGACATCAAGTGCAATTTGTAGTCTTTGAAAAATTAACAAATGCTTATTAGACTAAGTTGCTAGAGAAATTGTGTTATTACTTGTTAATAATGTACAAGAACAAATGCACAAAGTCAAGACAGATGAAATCTTGAAAGCAGCTGCACACTATTATTAAGTAGCACTTGTGTTACAATTTTGCACTTGTGTTACATGAAAAGTCACTTGGTGTGAGCCAATCAGAAGTGCCCAATTTTTCATGTACATTATTTCTATATGAAAAGAAAAAACAGTCATTTTTTTGCATATGAAGTCAACCTTCAATGATGGATGCTGCAGGATGATTCAGGCATGAATCAAGGGTTGCAATAACTTTTTACAATGGCAACTGCTTGTGGTTTAATTACAGCTGTCCCTGGTGAGGGGCTGTAAGGCAAAAGGCGAGCATGACAGCCTGCCCATAGGCTAAACAAAATGTGGCAGACAGTTAATAACTGGCTTTCATTGATTGGAATGCTGAATCATGGTTTTTTCCTTTTTTTCATTAGTTAAGTATGATATAATAAAATGTACCTTTCTTTTTAACCTTCAAAGGATATAGCAGAAGAATAGAATAAAACTTTATGTTAAAAAAACAATTCCAGAAAGTTTTAATTTGCATATTTCATTGGATTGGTTGAAGAGCAGATTATGATTAAGAGTTGACTTTTTGTTGTTTTCTTTGCGAGTCAAGGGATTCCAAATGTGTCCGTTAACTGACTCGTTCACTTAACCCTAAGCTCCCATAAGAGACCAAGGGAGAATCTCTCATAACATTATCAAGCAGACGTGATGAGAATATATAAAAAAAATTCAATTAAGTGGAACTAATATCAACTTCTCTTATCTAACATGATATAAATTTTATGACAGACAGTAAGGAGAGTTACTAATGAAATCTTGGGAGTGGAAGGGTTGTGGCGGTTCGTTTAAATTCTCGTAGTTCCATGGAGGGAAACTATCTTTTCCAATCTTCGTGAGTTCCTATGCTCAACTTGACCATAACAGAAATCCATTGGCTCATTCCAAAAACATAAAATAAAATGTCTGATGTGATCGATCTTGCCTCGATTTTTCCTAAAAACAGGAAGGAGTTATTCCGAACCTCAGTAGGTATTTATTACGTTTCCTAAAAGCTGACCAATGACATGAGTTGTAATAAAAACGAGCGGGATATCTGAATAAGCCAATGACTGACTTTGTTAGAACGGCATTTTACTATGGCCTTTTGCAGTCTGGAAAGTTTTTTGGCAATGGTAAACACAAACGTTGGTGGTAGTTTTGAAAAGTATGGATGTATGAAGAAAAAGTTCCCAAACTGTGAAAGGAGGATGCTCATAATTTAGAAAAATGGAGAACGAACCGGACGAGTCAAATCCACTTGTACCCCACAATTCTGCTGTTGATTGCCGCTTGCACACATCTCCGACAGGAATCGCAGGTTTCTCACAAAGAGAACGTCGAGATGACCTTGCATTTCGACAAAAACAACCCGTTAAAAGAACCATTAATGACGGAAGAGCTGCCATAGATTCCTTGAAGTCTCGCCTTTACGACCGACCGGAAAACTCCGAAGTTTTTCGAGCAATGTACCGACCTGTTCCGCCATCTTCAGTTCAGACATCAACTCAGGTAAAGTAAGCTCATAATGAATGCAGAGAAATAGTTACCGGGTGGTTTACTCGGGGAGGAGTTGTTCTAAAAGATATTTTTTCCTGATGAGAACGTTTCTGGGTTTCTGAAGACAGTAGCAATTAGACTTGTCACTGAATCCTAGCAAATGATAATATAAAACTTACAGTGTACGTAGGTGTCATGGAAACACGGACGCTGTGAAATCGCGCCCCATGGTATTTCATGGTATTTGTTGCCAAAAACAATAGCTGCAATTCTAACAAACCTTTGTTTCTATTTTTAAAGAGGTCTGTTTATACGTCCCATCTGAAATGTAAAGATTTGTCGCGGAGAAAGCTGAGTGTATGATGACATTTTCACTACGGCCATTCCCCACTAGTAACGCAAGTACTAGCGAAAGCTGTGTGCATATGAGCTCGTTAAAATGGCCTTGAAATGAGCCTGAGAATTTAAGCTAGAGTAGACCATCAATGATAAATAGTTTTATTGTTTTAATTGTGTTAGATTTTAAGATTGTGCCAAGCCTCTTAGGTTGGGGATTATTTATTTTCCCTCATTATCATAATGAATGATGTAGTAGTGTCCATGAAAGGAGAGATCAGATTTTGGTCACTACTAGGCGAGGTAGGTGGCACAGCACAGATATGAATGTTGAAAGAACAAAGAAACAAATTTCACGGCTGACATTTCTCAAAAGTGGTGCATGTTCTTCTTGTTTCTTAGCATTCAATTTTAGCCAGTTCAAACATTATCCAAATGACATTCAACAAACCCGTGCAAGAAATCTGCCTGACTATGTCAGGAGAGTTCTATCTCTTAACATTTTTAGTCAATGCTGGATGAGGTCAATTTGACTACCGGAGTTGAGTGTAATTGTAACTTTTGTACGTAATTCTATATAGTTACATTTCCTCTTAGGATTATTAATTTTTGTATATTTTTATTTTTATATCTTCATACATTTTTATTTTTATTTTATTTCCTTTTATTTTATTTATTTGTTTATTCTCCATCTTGATATGTACTGGATTTAGCATAATTTGGCATGTTCACATAGAAACAAGTCTTGTACTCATGTGTGTAACGTGAATAAATAAAATACCTACCTACCTGGCTACCTTATGTTTTTCTTGTAATATTTTGGGTAAGTTTTCAACAAAAAGTAGTTGGCTAAAAAAATGTGAAATAAAAGAAGAAATTTGTCAGCAGCCAGTTTGTGTGGAAAACCTTGGAGAGGACTAATTTTTTGTGCTTTTGAATATTTTACAGGGCTCACCTCATCCACCTCCAAAGGGTGGCTCAAGGTCAGTGATGGGTAACTATAGAACCACAATGTTCAGAAGAGATTTCAACAGATTACAAGCTCAGAGAAATCAGGGTTTTCCTAAAGCACCTGTTCCAGTCACACAAGGAGCAGTGGAATTTGAGCAAGGAAACCCCCAAAAGCCAGAGACAAAGTTAGACCCACAGAATTTGACAACTGCAAATGGTGCTGCCTTTTCAAGTCTAGAGGAAGATGGTGCAGATAACTTACATCTGGATCAGAGAAGTGAACTTTCTAACAGTGAAAGACCAGTTGATCAGGTATTTTTCCTCTTTGGATTCAGAAGCTGGAATTCTATCCAGTGGGTCAGAAGTGTTCTTAAAACTGTTTGATTTTTTGTGTATAGTTTTGCAAGTTACAGATGTTTGTGGCTACCCACAGTAGACAATTCTAGGGGTATTATCAGAAATTTTACTCAGTCCATTTTTGTGTGGTGAAAATGCTTGACTGGTGGCTTGAAGTAGAAAAAGCTGGTTGTACCAATAGAGAATTTACTTGTGCCCATTTTTGGCTGGATTAAAGTGCTTGTGGCTATTTATAATCATTATGGACAATTGTAGGTATAACAATAGAGAATTTACCTGTGTCAATTTTTATAAGCTGAAAATGTTTGTGGACAATTCTGGAAGACAGAAATGATAAAGAATTTATTACTTGTTAACCTTTCCAGGTATCATCAGTCGGATCCTTTGGTAAGGGTGATGATGAGTCAGACTCTGTGGCCTCAAGTAAAACTGCAAGTAGCAGGCCTTTCTCTCACAAATCTCGGGCTTCATCTGGAAAATTGCACCCTCCTCCATCTAGAAGTTTAAAACCAGACTTCAATAGAAATGAGGCAAAGCCTCTTTCACAGGGAATACTAGGTGATGAAGAATTCATCAACTGCCACGTATCAGATGTGATTGTGAAGCTGCGCCAAAGATTAAATATGAGCACAGATCTTGATGCAATTGCCAATGGGGAAGATCCAGATGAGGATGAAAACAATATCAATCGATTATACATCCAAGAAGATGATGGAAAATTTGTATATTGTGTTCCAAAGAACAGAACTTTGAGAGCTGCACGATATAATCCTTATGACTTGGTTTGTGTGACATCACAGGAAGCCCAGTCAAACCCACAGTATTTTACTGTGACTGCTTCAGCTGTTACACTGGTGGGTGAACATTAAAAGCTCATGACCTTATAAATCAGACTGCTTCCTCGGCCAGAGTTTATCCCCTGTTCCCCAATAGATAAGAACTAAAAATTCAACAAAACATTGAGTAATTGAGGGCACTAGTTTTGAATTTGGTACAAAAGTCATGTATATCATGGTTTGTACATCTTAAAAAAATTGGATCTGATCTTGTGAAATTCATCATGAGTAACCCATGTGAGTCTTCTCCATTATTAAAATTATTTTCCTCATCACATTCTACTTGAATTCTTAGGCCTTTGGTTGTTGTTGTTGCTTTTTTTTGCCACAACATATTATTCTGACATGTGTGATTTTATTCTACGTGAGACCAGTTTTTGTAGTGCACAAATCATACTTACTAAAAATGTATTGATTTAACAAACTGATCTATAATATTACTATCTACTGTTGGGAGTCCTCTTGCACACACAATTCCAAACATCTTCAAGAATTTACCAGCTTTTTTCATATGGACATTCGTTTCTTAGCAGTATGCAGAAAGTTTGTCACGGTGGACCTAAATAAATGCTGATCCTACTGTGAGTCTCACAGTGGTAGAGCATCTAAAGTACCAATCTGAATAACGTTGTCTTTCACATTTTCATAATGCATTGATGGTCATTACATGTTATTCATTATTTGCTTTTAGATCAGAGAAGGGTTTGATTCTGAACTTACTCCATTAAAGAGGTGGCTTTATGAGAAGAAAGTATTTAGTATAATATTTGGTTTTCCAACCTTCACCAAGTTTAGGCAAGTATTGTGGCTCTTCTGTAGAACTTTTCATAAATGTAAAAAAAATGTATTTATGATCATTTATGATTAAATACTCACAAGCAAAATAAAAAAAAAAAGGAAAGGGAAAGATGACTGTTTCTTTACCACTGAGGAGTATGTTCTATCCTTCTGAGAGACTGTGTTCTGGAAATTACTTTTGTGAGCTTAGCTGTACATGTGTAAGATTTCATTCTAGAGTATGGAAATACTTACAATGTATTTGTTGCTAAGGGCTGGGTTGTTCAAAGCTGGGTTAAGATAACCCATAGTTAGTGTGAACTCTGATTTCAGATCTGAAAGCCTTAAAAGAAAATTCAGTATAATTCTTTTTGTCAACAATCTGGTGATTGGATGCTCCATATAGAGAAAATGATCCCAAAAAGGCTATTGATCAAACAAAGGAGTAAAGAAACCCATATTAAAATTTAACCCTGGGTTAGCGCTAATCAGCCTTTGAACAACTGGGCCAAAGTCTTTACTTGAATCAAGTGGTACTTATCCTGAGTTTCCTTGAAATGATTAGGAGTATTAATTACTACTCCCCCCTGGATGGGATGTCAGTTCATTTCAAGGTTACCCCCCAGCATTTTATTAGGCTTCATTAATATTCCTGGTGGAAGAGAGGCACTGTGAAGTTAAAGTGTTTTTCCTGAGAACACAACACAATGACTGGGCTAGGTCTTGAACCTGGCCTCTACTAGTTAGCGCACTTAGCATTAGGCCACTGTGTCTCTGATGGATTTGTTGCTAACCTCTCTTTTAATTTCCCTCAAAAATAAACATTTCACTCATAATCATAAGGTGCTTCATTCAAATATGAATTTTAAATTTTTAAACCACTAGATTGTATCATTATTCTTATCATGTGCTTCACAATAAAAACTAAAGGTGTTTCATCATTTTGCAGATTGTGGAAAGGTTATACATGTTGGAGGAACAATGTCAGATTTCAGAAAAATTGCAGCAGTAGGTTAGTTTATATTTTGCCTCTTTATCCCAGCCAATTTCCTGCTTACCACAAACTTTCATTACTGCTAGTGCTATGGGGTCATGAATTTTCAGTGACATCATTATTCTCTAGAACTAAAAGCTCTTTAACCCTATAACCCCTGAGAGTGACTTGCATCTAATTTCTCCTTGCACAAGAAAATGTGATTGAGAACAGAATAGAGAATAATTATGCATACTGATGTTAGGGCATAAAGGATTAAACTGTCTAAGGATGTTTATTTGCTGTAAACTGTTTCAAACTCTAAGAGGGAGTAGCATCTAATATCTCCCTACAACATCACCCCTGAAATCAAACATTCAGGTAATGAGAACAAAGGAAATAGTTACCAATTAGAGAAGCTCTGCATTATGAAACAAATTCTCCTCATCAGTACTTTTGGAAATGTATAGAGAACAGTATGGAGAATATGCATACTGATGTTAGGGTGTAAAGGTTAAAGTAAATGAAATCTTTTTTTTTTTCAGATCTGAGGTTGTCAGTTCACTTTTTTCGGCAACAAAAGCCTCACAACAAGCTATACTCCTTGTAAGAGCTCTCTGTGAGAAAGCCTGCAGCAGTATAACAGGAGTGGGAGAAGGAGAAGATGGAATTTGTCTCCTACACATTGATCCTCAGACAACCTTTACTCTGAAGGAATTTGTGGATGTGCAGACAAGACAAGCGCAAGACGCCACGGAAAAGCTAACTGCCTTGAGGGTAAAAGTACTGGAGATTGTCAAAGAGGCCTGCGAGGTAGGAAAATTACAGGAATGTGAGAAACACCATAAAATTAGTTCTGAAAAGCTTCAGGGCACCTTGCAGCTGAGTTAATGTTCAAAGGGGTAGTACCTGGATGGTAGGCCAAGGCTGGATACAGAGTGAATAAATGTGGACTGGATCACTGTGTTGTGTTTCTGAGGAAGAGGATGAGGAATAGGCTTTACTCTCCCAATGCTTCTCTCCACCCTGGAGTTAAAATGGGTGCCAGTGAACTGTCATGGAAACATTATGAGATGGAGGGGGACAACCTTTGGTGGACTGGCATCCTATCCAGGGGGGTGTAGCAGTACTCCCAGACCTTCCTTTCACAAATCTTGGGCTTCCTCTGGAAAATTGCACCCTCTTCCACCTGGGAATCTAAAACCAGACTTCAGTGTGATTAGTCCATAGGGAATACTAAGTGATGAGGAATGCTGCAGAAACCATTTGTGTTTGCCAACCCAAGCTCTGGGAGTGTGGGCTACCTAACTGATATAGAGACTTGACAAACCATTCATGGCACTGTTAGAGCATAGACTTTGTTAGAGCATTAACCCTTTACACCCTAACATCAGCATGCATCTTCTCCATACTAGTCTCTATACATTTCCCAAGATGCTGGTGAGGAGAATTTGTTTAACAATCAAGAGCTTCTTTAGTTGGTGATCATTAGATTTTAGAAACTACAGAACCCAGTGACAGGCACTCAATGACTTTTTTAAAAGCACAATTTTATTATTGTTTTATTCGCAGAAAATTACAGAAGAAGAAGGACTAACAGAATGGGTTCACCCAGAAAGAAAAAGGGAACAAAAGAAGAAAAAAAAGGAAGACAACCCTGAAGGCAAGAAAAAGAAAGGTAATGAGAAAGAAAAAGTGAGTTTTTTCTTTATCTCTGTCATTAACCCTTTAGCTCCCAAGATCTGATTGTTAATTCTCCCTTCTTACTGCTACACTTTTCCTTGTAAATTAGTTACAGGAATTTGGTGTCAGATCAAGATAAAAATTTCTACTGATAAGTTTGAATATTCTCATTACCTTTCTGCTGGATAATGTAAGGATATTAAGGGAGGAGGTTCATGTTGATTGCTTCTGGGAGTTTAGAAATTATGACACTGAACGAGTTTTGGGATCCTCAAAAGCATTGGTAACTTTACCTTTGTTGCTCTTTTGTATTTCAGGCAAGGTTAGGTATGGACCTTCTTTCACTCAGATGTCTCAATGGAGAGGAGTCCTCCATCGTTTGACTTGTTTCATCAGAATGATTGACTTTCTGGTGATGGAGCTCTTAAGGAGGCTTGTACTAACTGCATTGAGGACATTCTTAGCACAAGTTAAAGCTGCATCTATGCTGGGTAGGTACTTACATGTAAATAGGTTCAGTAGGGTGAAAGTAGTCTTGAAAAGGACTGTTGTCACTTGTGGTGAATGACATTTTGAAAAACCTTATGAGGAGTTAATATCATCAAAGTCAAGTGACGTGTATCTGAAAGTCAAAGTCAAGTGACATGTATCTGATGATGACTTCTGCAAAGGTTCTTAAATCTGCAGTGACTGTAATTACTATCAACAACAGTCCTCTACATGAATGCCCTGACTGGGATGAGCAGACTATGTGATAATTGGTCTGTCTCCAAAGAAAACATCCTCAATCTGGCTTTGCCACCAAGATGAGGAGCAGAATATTAATACAGTAAACTAAGTGATTGTATAGATCTCTATCAGTTTTCACAGTCAAATAAAGCCAGTGATTTTCCAATTGTGTGGCTTTTCCCTATCAGGCATGTAACATGGAGAGGAGTTTTATGTTAAGAGCCACCATTAGAACCCACTTGCACAAATTTTAATTGTAATATATAATGATAAGATTACAACTCATACAGCAGTTATAGCAACCCTCTAGGTGCTTTTCATTCTGAAAGAGAGAACAAATATTCAAATGAACAAGAAGTGCTTTAAAGTCCCAACTGGTAGGAGGCAGACCAGTTGGTGGCTGAGAGCAAATCCAGTGTATAGCAGGGTAGAGGAGTTGAATCCAGGACACCAGATTTCAAGTCCAGTGCCCTAACCACTTGGCCACGCCATAATGGAGGGGGAAGTTTCAATTAAGCAAGTCGTTTCAGAGGTGTCATCTCTGAAGTGATTTTAGTGACCCCATCCCCATGCCATGCTGCAGTTATGATTTTGCACTAGCACCTAGAAGGCCTTTGTTATTCTATGTGGCTTTGTGTAGTTCCAAACTTTGTCTTGAAACAGTTCATTATTAAATGTCATGTTTTGATAATAGCTACAATCTTGTAAATGGAAATTTCAAACTTTGCAAAATTTACTGCTGCAATGTATTTCGCAGTTGACAATGGACCTTCAAGGACACTCACACTTTTCTGTGCAAGTTTCAAAGTAGACAAAAATTGATGTAGGAAGATGCATGCAGGTAGAAGTTTTAAGAGCTTTACTCTGACTTTTTTGCCATGGACCATAGTCAATAGCAGTTGTGTGCATTGTTTTCAATACCACATAGGATCTATTGTGCACCTGAGTCTTATGGAACCCACCCTTGAAAATGAGGAGAAGAAAAACAGTGTGAAACTTGGTGCAGATGACGAGGAAGATAAAAAAGCTGTTCCACTTCTGCTTGTGGAGCTGGTTTTGAATGTCCCTCCCACTGAGGAAGGAGGAGGTATGCTTGCAATACTGTAAAAACCATGATCCTAATCTTTTAAACTGTTACATCAGTATGCATATTCTCCATACTGTTCTCTATACATTTCCTAAGGTGCTGACAAGGAGAATTTATTGAATGATCAAGAGCTTCTTTAATTGGTGATCATTTCCTTTATTCTCATGACCTTAATGTTTGATTTAGGGGTGATATTGTAAGGAGAAATTAGATGCTAGTCAATCATAGGGGTCAAAGGGTCAGTATCCATGTTCTCCATACCCTTCTCTATACATTTCCTATGGTTCTGATGAGGAGAATTTGTTTTAAAATCAGGAGCTTCTTGAATGTGATCATTTATCTTATTCTCTTGACCTTTATGCTTGATTCAAGGGTGTTATTGTAAGGAGAAAATAGATGCAAGTCACTTTAAGGGGTCAAAGGGATAAGGGTCTAGAAAATTGAACACCGAACATAGTACTGTAGCTTGTACCAGGCTCTCCGAGAGTCAAGACGAGCGAAATGGTGGGCGTGCGAAAAACGGCGCTCGCGAAATAAGCGGAGAAACGCGACCGGTGCATCCGTTTGCCTGTCATTTTTGCCCGCTCTCTTTTTCCTTGTCTCCATTACTGAGAGCCACGCACTAGTTGCAGACACAACTCCATGGTGCTGTACACAATATAGAGACTGAATCACCGATGCAAATGCGTATACTTTGGTTTTCAGTTGACAGAAAGACTGTCACATTTGATGTTCAATCTGCCCAAAGATCACGGACAGAAGGGAAATCCACACCTTACACTGGTGATGGAACATCATTTGCTGATGACACCATGACTGTCACATCCGGAAAAGATCCTTCGATTATGTCGACTGGCACTCAAACCTCTATGACGTCAAAGTCTTTTGTTTCTCTCAGACCAACAGAACAGGTAAATAAAGCCACAAACGTGACATGAGTTTGTTCCGGAAACCCAGGGGAAATTAATGTTTGTACAAGTTAGCGCGAAGTTCGGTGAAGTTAACGAAGATTCGATCAACGGAGGTAGACTTTTAAGAATGCTGACAATCGCCTTTAACTATTAGGACGAGTTCAGCTTTGACCAAGAGATTTCTTCGGCCTTCGAAACCCAAGGTTTCAGCGAATTGCTTCAAAATTCATTAGGCTTTATCGCACTTTTTATGAGCAAAACAGTTAGCGCAGCTATTGTTCAGTTCTTCCCTGATTTAAACTAACGGGTCGGTATGTCTTTTTATTTTTTTAAGATCTCTCCTCATTGGCAATTAATTGGCAGTTAATTTTCTTGAGTCCCCCATTTATACTCTGTTAGCGACAACTGTCCCCCCCTAAAAACCATGTGATCCCCCTAAAAAAAATCCTCCACACCTTCCCCCCCTCCCAATAATGACCTGGTTCCCAGGACTCCCAGGTGTTAAATTTCACGCAACATTACGAATTACTCTCGTATAAAATTCTTCTCAGGAATTTGAGATTGCTCTCCTCGACATTATATGTGGCTTTGAACAAACTGCAGCTTCATTCAAAAGTTTGGTCCATGATCCACAATTGTCGGTCTATGTCAATCCACCAGCAAGTGACGTAGTGTATGCTTTGTCACGTGATGTGTATGAAGAGGAGAAGGCGAAGAAGATTCCGTGGCCAGATTCAGAGCTGCTGTTTGGCCAAGATCCTGATTATCAGAATGACGTTGGCCAAATATTTCATCAGATCAAGGATGAAGTGGATAACGTACTCAGTTTTTCAAAGGTGATACTCCATGGGAATGCGGATAGGGAGAGCTGCGAGCGTAATTTTTAACTTGCTAATCGCGGATTGAATGCAGCGTTCAAATGTTGGGGATGCGCACGGGGGTCAATTTTGGTCAGCCGTGCGCGCAATTTCCCGCGCGAAATTTCAAAGGAAAACCGAAGAAATCACCACTGTCACGTAAAAAATTGCATGAAAGTCGAATGTTCAAAGGAAGCAAAAGTTGAGAAAAGGACGACTTGAGACTTTTCGAACTCAAAGCTTATTTTTGAATTACGCTCATCTCATTGATTTGCCATTTTGGTTTAGTTTGGGATGCGCTTTAATGTGCTAGTAGTACTCATTAAGAAGGAAAGATTATATGATAACACCACTTAACAGTTAAACGCTGGCTCAACCTAAGAAATTCCTATATCATTGAAAATAGATGAGTTTTAAAAACTGTTCCTGTACGGTAAAATCCAGCCTCGCGCATAATGTTCTCCAGGTCAGTGTGTTAACGCAAAACATGAACGCAAAAATGACCTAATCTTGTCAATTTTTTTTGTATTTGTTGCCTATCAGAAATATAAGAGATTTTGTGTCATGGTGGACAAGTCGCGGAGGGTGGATGTCGATGGCTCTCTCAAAGAAAGAGAGTGGAACACTGAAGAGTTCTATGCTGTTCTCAATCAGCACACGGAAGAGGTTAGACAGTTCGTCTAAAATAATTTCGAGAATAAAGTAGATTGTTCTAGGCAGGCAGTTTATGAAGAATATTAGAAAAATTAAGAAAAACAAAACGAGGGAAGGACAGCGTCGTTCCGCCTCAGACCCTTGCGAATTTGTTGCTCGCCTCCAGACTCTGGTCGTTCGAAGGTTGGATAAAACTATACACTGGATAGATCGCTACCCGGTGGATCTTGCAGTAAGTTTTGTTCTCATGAATCTGAACGTTTGATTCAGCAGTGTTACTTTAGGATAAATAAGATGTTAGTCGCTCCTAGGGGCGAGACTAAACAACATATGCGAGGGACAACAAAGCCGTGGACGTGTTTCAGTCTGTCGTTGCAATTCTAACAAGATTTCTGGAATGTAACGGATTTTGAACGTGTGCTATCGATTTTGTTTTTATTATTTCAGGTTCTTGAGATGTCCAAGATGGTGTTGCACAAAAGAGTTGGACTGTTTCATGTGGAAGTAACTGGCTTTCAAAGTAACTGTCTTCCTTACCCTCAGAAGGTTCTTGAAGCAGTGGCTTGCCACCTTCCTGTCATTGCGGCCAAACGAAATGATGTCCTGCTGAATGTTATCAAGGTGCGGTGTTTTTTTCTCTGCAGTCTTATTTAAGGAACGCACTGTAAAAGTAACCTTTATACAACTCAGACGAGAAACAATTGCAGACTACAGCTCTCTTTTCTTTTTCCTTAGCACGCTTCAAGGAAGCTCGATAAAATGCCAGAGACTGTAGAAGCCTTTGTGGAACACCTTATCTTCTTGTCGCGAATGGCCAATGAGATCTCCTCTTTAGAGCATGAATATCACATCGTAACACGCATGTACAGCATCGCACGGAACTTTGAGATGACGATATCAGCGGAAGAGCTTGCTCTGTATCAGATGCTCATGCCGAGTTTTCAACATTTGAAGGTAATGACCAGTTTGATTACAAATCTACATCAATTTTTATTTCGCGGAGCGGGGATGGCGCATCGGTGGAAGTATTCGCCTCTTACGGCTGTGGCCTACGTTCGATTCGCGGACTTAGCGTCACATTTGGGTTTAGTTTTTAGTTAGTTCTCGTCCTCGCTCCAAAAGGTTTTTCTCCGGTCCTCCAGTTTTCCTCTCTCCACAAAAACCAACATTCCAAATTTCATTTCGACCTGGAAACAGCAGGCAAGAAGAGCCACCTAGTGGAATGTCCACTGCTAAGTTTCCTCTATTATTTTGATAGCCAAATAGAGGTAAGTGTCTTGATTTGTAGAGATACTTCCTTATTTTCTCTTCATTCAATTTCTGATTCTTTAAATATCGTTCTTGTAGTCAACCATCATGTACTGTGAGGCAAAAAAGGATGAAAACATCCAGAGATACAGTAGAGCTCTTGATGAACTGATCAACACAGTTCGACGTGAACTGGTTGTCATTAAAAACAAGGTCTGTTCTCCTGTCTTACTGGATGCTGATAATATTCCTCAAGTCGCCACAGAAAAGTTGAAACTTTTGAAAGAAGACCTGACTAACTTGTCAACCAAGGCTCGTAACTATGCCACATATCAGGAACGTTTTGGAAGTTCTATGTCGTCTTCTCTACAGAAGAAGGCTCTGACCGAGTAAGTTTTGTTCTTTCTACATTTTGACCGGTGTAAAAGATGTACGTTATCATGGAAATACACTGTGAAGGGAAGGACCATTTAACATCCGCTTGCGCGCGGTAGTACGCACTTACAACAGCGGTGTTAAGAAAAGCATCGTTTGAAAAATGAACGTAAATTTACTGTGTGATTTTCACGAGTGGCTCGACGTGTGTTTATTGTCCTAAATGGCATCAGATCACCTCTTAACCCTTTACACCCTAACCGAAGTATTCATGTTCTCCATACTGGTCTCTGTACATTTCCCAAGGTTCTGACAAGGAGAATTTGTTTAACAATCAAGAGCTTCTTTGGCTGGTGATCATTTCCTCTATTCTTCTAACCTTAATGTTTGATTGAGTGGTGATACTTAGGGAGAAATTAGATGCTAGTCACTCTTAAAGGTCAATGGATTAAACAGAAAATGTTAAAGTGCCGTAGACAAAAGTTTGTTAATGAGGTTTCGTTCTGAGACTACAAGTGACGACTCACTAAAAGAAAGACAAAGCGAAATTTTGACCCTTTGTGTTAACGCACCCTGCCTTCATTGCCACCAGGGGTGATAGCTTTTTTTCTTTTCGTGTCTTTTTCAGGGGAGCCATGACCACCATGACAGGCCACTCAAGTCCCCAGGCCACTTCTCTGCAGTCTGAGGTGATAGAAGTTGAGAAGGACTTGACTTTAAGGTGCCTTTTATGGGAGTCCTTGCAGGAGTGGCAGGGATTGGTCGACCAGTGGGAGGCCACACCATTTGAGACCCTGAAGATCGACGAAGTACAGCATGACGTCACAAGGTTTATACAGACTGTGTTCTTACTGGAAAAAGGTAGAACGACTAGAACTCTCTTTGGGCTTCATTTTTGGTTGTTTTTCTAAGGTTTGGAAGAATTCTCAAAAGATATATTATTTGTGGAAAGGCCTGGCTAGAAAATTCAAATGTGTTATCGGCTGAACGCTTTCTAGTGAGAGTTTTGGAGCCATAATCACAGTAGCCAATCAGAGCAGAGAGAAATTTCCCAAGGGCATAATTAAAATGCATGGTTAAAACACGCAACCGGCGTCAAGCGCGGGAAAACGCTTCCCACTCGGTTGTGATTGGCTGTAGTTCTGCATTTGGTTGGTTAAGAAGGCTCTCTGGACCAATCATAGATCGAAGTTACGGGGACCAATGCAATCCAGGATTACTTGCGACACCATGTAAAACAGCTCTGAAGTATTAACCCTTAACACCCTAACATCGGTATGCATATTCTCCACACCGTTCTCTATATGTTTCCTAAGGTGCTCATAAGGAGAATTTGTTCAACAATCAAGAGCTTCTTTAGTTGGTGATCATTTCCTTTATTCTCATGACCTTAATGTTTGATTAAGGGCTGATTTCGTAAGGAGAAATTTGATGCTAATCACTCTCAGGGATTAAAGGGTTAAGTGTGATAGAACTCCTTTGAAGTTCTTTTAAATGTACTTCCAATCACAGGTCTTCCACCAAACAAAGTTGTACCGAGATTGAAACAAAAGGTGGTGAGCTTTAAACAAGGCATGCCAGTAATTACAAGTCTCAGAAATCCTGCGCTGAGAACCAGACACTGGGAAGCTATCCAAAATGTTATTGGAACACGTATCGTTCGTGACAAATATTTCACTTTAGGACACCTACTACAACTCAAGGTAACTGTTTGTCATACACCTAGAGTATCATGAGTTATTCTCAACACTGACAGATAATGGGCTCACCGAGTTACTCTTAAAGTACACCGTAAAAACAGTGAAAATTTAATGGATTTTAGAGCGCCTGTTGTTTGACTGTAGAAAAACTAAAATAAAAGTTATCTCAACGACCAATCAGAAGGAAAAAAATACCTTTAAAAGACAAACTACCTAAAGCTTGGGCAAACGCGGGCAACCAAGTTGTGATTGGTAGTAGTTTTGCATCTGATTGGTTGAGAAAGTGGCGCGTGTTTTTTAGACCAATCACAGAGCGGAGTAAATGAAAACCAATGCAATTTCGGATTACTTTCGCCACGCGATTGAAATTTGCTCTCTTGATCAATAAAAACGTGGTTGGTTATTACTTTCAGGTGTTTCAACACAAGGAGAAGATTTCGGACATATCTTCGCAGGCAAGTAACGAAGCAACGCTGGAACAAATGCTGCAAAAGGTAAACAGCACTGTTGACATGTAATAATAATTAATAATTTATTAATAATTAATAGTAGGACTAAGTGGAGTCCAATTCGGTCTGTAATCATACAAGTGATTAACAAAATCGGACGAACTCGAAGCGGGAGTCCGATTTGTTTATCATGAGTATGATTACAAACAGAATTGGACGACACGAAGTCCTGTAAACGATTCATCATAACCATTACAATTTCCGAAAAAAAAAACATCTAGAACAAATATCTCCAGTGGAGACAATGTCTAAATTTTAAAATTTCGGCATTTTGGAAATTTCCCAGTTTCTTCCAGGATAAATAGTTGTTGCTATGGTTATTGTGATCAATTCTGTGATTGGTGGATTTAGCTGAGTGGACTTAGCATGATTGCTTTAAATGTCCGACTACAGGTGTCCGATTACAGCCAAATGTCCGATTACACTGTCCGATATAAAGCAGTTAGTGCACCAATCACATTTGAGGAAATTGTAATGGTTATGATTATCGGTAATCATGGATGCCATATTTTTTGGTTTTCAGTTAAGGCAGGATTAGTTACTGTCATTCGGACAGAAACTCACCAGGAAATGAGTACGATTCAAAATGGCAAGCTAGGATACGAACAAATTTCAGTGTATGAAAGCTTATGAATGGGAGGTGTTATCTTCTTTAGCGGTTGTTTGATTACAGTGTTCGTAACTGCCTCTCTTCCAGGTGATGGACTATTGGAACCACACAGACTTCCAGCTGTCTGCCCACATAAGCCGTGACATTGCTATTATCACAGGTGCTGATGATATTATAACAGCTGTAGAAGAGAGCCAGGTCACGCTTTCTAACATCAGAGGGTCACGTTTTGTCACGCCAATCAAGGTATTGTAAGGTTGATAAAATGTTAACCAGTTACGCTGAATAATCATTTCAACCCTAACAGTGAGTAGCATCAAAATTTCTCCCTATAATATCACCCCTGAATCACACGTTAAGGTCATGAAAATAAAGGAAATGATCTCCATTGAAAGAAGCTCTTGATTGGTGTACAAATTCTCCTTTTCAGCACCTTAGGAAATGTATAAAGAGCAGTATGGAGAATATGCATACTGATATTAGGATGTAAAGGAATAAGGAACGATTCATTTAGTACGACTGTCAAAAGGCCGACGAGAAGTCTATAGAGCGCTTATTCAACCAGTCATGCAGCTCCTAACCCTTTACACCCTAGCATCAGTATGTATATTCTTCATACTATGCTCCACTCATTTTCTAAGGCGCAGGCAAGGAGAATTTGTTTAACAATCAATAGCTTATTTAGTTAGTGATCATTTCCTTTCTTCTCGTGAACTAATGTTTCGTTCAGGGGTGACATTGTAAAGAGAAATTAGGTGTTGGTCACTCCTAGGGTTCAGGAATTTCTTATGGCTCCAGAAGGAACCTGAACATTGTTGGTAAAGGATGAATGTGTTACTTGTGTCTTTTTTGAAATATTCGTAGGCTTTGGTTGAAGAATGGGACAGAAAATTGAAACTGTTTGCCAGCACATTGGATGAATGGCTTCTCTGTCAGCGGAACTGGCTCTATCTAGAGACAATCTTTTCAGCGGCTGACATTCAAAGGTGGGAAAATTGTCTTCTAGACCGCTTTTCGATTTTTGCGAAAGCGGAAGAATGCATTTCGACATACCGTAACTTTCAACTACAATGTGATCAAAGAGGTGAAGGGGAAGGACATTTTTGAAAAAAAAATAGATTAATGTTTTGGTTTGAAAGACAAAAACATTTTTGAAGTAAAACCAATTTGGTAAGTCATAGTCCAAATGCTTTTTTATTTTGACAGGCAACTGCCAAATGAAGCCCGCCTGTTTGCCCAAGTAGACAAATCATGGAAAGACATCATGAGAAGAACTATTGATAAACCGAATGCTTTGAGGGCTTCAACAGCTGCAGGTAACAATCATTGTTTAAAAAAAGACAAAAAGACACTTTTGATCCCATGTTAGATTGGCTAGGGGGCTTTTTTTCAGGACTGGTCATGCCTAAACGATGTACGGATCGTTACACCAGGAAGGAGCGTTGCATGACGATTCAAATAATACCATGTATGAGAAGTGTCACGACACTTAAGCCATTGTGCATGTGATGATGATATTCTGTTCATATTTTGTGAATGAGAAATTTTTGGAAATTTACTGGCCTCTTGGTAGTCGGGTTGCATCATGGACCATGACCATGAAATTTTGCTTTTTTGAGAGAGGTTGGCAGGATATGGAATAGAATTGAATCGAAGTACATGTACGGTTGCGGGCAGGAGAGCGGGATCGAAGATCAGAAGCAGGAATCCTCATACTCAAATTTCACAAGAACACATGACCCATTCCACCCTAATAAAAACGACAAAATAACAAATTATAACTTCCCACTCAATATAAAAGCTATCATGTGACTAATCATGTGATAGTCTTAACTTACATTTGTACATTTGCATTTTGGCCACTGTTAGGTGTGTTGGAGGTATTGCAAGCAAGTAACTCTCACTTAGAGAAAATTCACAGATGTTTAGAGGTGAGTTTCCATAGTAGACTTAATAAAAACATTATAACTCTTAAATAATCCATCGGTGAGAATACCGGTGATATTCTTACAGATAGTTATGTCGCCCAGGCTTCACTCGGTATCGTTTCGGAACGGTGTAGGAGGCGAAAATATCAACAGTGAAAACTCGTCAGATGTTGTGATGGCTCTTGAACCTTTTCGCCCTCAGGAATGGCCAACAATTCACATTAGATAGTAATCAGAAGCTCGAAAAGACTCGAGTAGGGATTTTTTTATTTGACACCAAATTATCAGGTTTATAATCCTAAGACATGTATGGCAAACCGAGTGGAGAGAATTTAGATTTAGTCCTTGGAGGTTGAAGTGTTGTAAAAGACGACTTCTCTTTTGTTATTTGTACGAATTGGGAGCTTAGTCGTCTCCCTTAAGAGCTCTTGAGGGCTTTTGTTTTTTAATTTTTAGGTTTTATAGGGCTATTTGTGTCTCGTAAACCAAAACCATAGTAATCTTAATAGCCATTCAGATAGTAGAAAGAGTTAATGACAACGCAAAAGAAAAATCGTTTGAGCAGGTGGCGCGAGTTTTCTATACTTATGATCAAGCACTGCAAAGCTACGGGCGTCTTTCGGCAGTCAAGCAAAATATCCTTATAAACTCCTTCATCAGACTATAGGCTATTGTCTAGAATATCGTGACTCAATCGGGACTTTCGTGTGCTTTAAAGATGTTTCGCTGTATTTGTGTTTATTATTTGTACGTAATGTTTCTGGTTTTTTTATTGTTAAGGACTACCTTGAAACAAAGAGACTGGTGTTTGCGAGGTTTTACTTCCTTAGCAATGAAGACTTGCTCGACATTTTGGCCAATTGCAAGAACCCCAATGCTGTTCAGGTGTGTAAACCATCATATACATAAACAAATCCTTTGTTTTCCCCAGGAACCGAACAAGTGTTTTCAGTAAAAATCAGAGTAGGTGATAAAAATTTAGGAATGAGCTTTGGGGGGTGGGGGGTGGTCAGGGAGTTCTCCAAGTGATAATTTTAAAAGTTTTGACCCTCTTAACCCTTTACACCCTAACATCAGTATGCATATTCTCCATGCTACTCCCTAGACATTTCCCAGGGTTCTTACAAGGAGAATTTGTTGAACAATCAAGAGCTTCCCAGTTTAGTTGGTGATCATCTCCTTTATTCTCATGACCTTAATGTTTGATTCAGGGGTGATTTTGTAAGGAGAAATTAGATGTTAGTCACTCTTAGGGGTTAAAGGATTAAACATATTCTTCGTATCCTGTAAATCGAAGTATGTCGACGTGCCGTAAAATCTTGGGTAATGTCTCAATCAAATTGTAGATGGAAAACGTAAGATATATACAAGAATTTTGACGGCTGCCAGATGCTGTTAAAAAAACCTACCTAATTTTGTTCTCTTTTTGCCTTTTTCTTTCTACAACAGCCTCACCTGAGGAAGTGTTTCGGGAGCATTTATCAGCTGGGCATTGTTCGTCAAGTACACTCGCCAGCGCAGATTCAGAACATGACTTCAGAGGAAGGGGAAAGTGTATTACTGCCTAAGTAAGAAAACAAACCCTTTCAGTTTACATTGAGCTTGTTCTGAGGCGTTGCGCTGATTAGGCAAACCTTGTTCTAGGGTAAAGCCGTGGGAAAGAGTTTTTAATATTGACTTTTTTGTTTGTTTAATTTCTTGGGGAATTAACAATTTGGATTGGCCTTAATCTGTTAGATCCACTGTTCCTGGCTTGCGTTCAAACACATCGAACTCAATCTTCTGTAATCACAAGTTAATGACTTCACTAAAATGGTGTGTCCGGTTGTTCTTGTCTGCCTAGCGTCTTTTGACCTCAGCCTTCTCTTTTCCTCCAATAGAACTTTAAGAGCGAGAGGAAACGTGGAGTCATGGCTGTACAATGTCGAGCTTTCTATGTATGAGACTGTCAAAATGTAAGTATCCTTTTTAGTAGCGTGATGCTCAGGCAGTCTCCTATTTATGTTTGTGTTCCAGAGGTTCAAGGTCAGTTCTTAAATCGATGAATGAAGGGAGTAAGTTTCTAAAGAAACTGTGGTGCTGCGTCGGTGGGAGAGTATAACAGGGTAATTTGCTATTATCAGCTGATTTGGCCACCATGAAGAGTTTCAAAGCTGATGTTTCGAGTGTTAGCCCTTCGTCATTCGCTCTGATGTGGCCAATTTACGTTGTCAGCTCAGGTGATAATACCAAATAACCACATTTCTCAGATCGTTTTTTTTTAAAGTGAATTACTTCAACGTTTGTTTTCTGTTTACACGACAGGCACTTAAAAAAGTGTTTAGTGGATTATGGTACAAGAGAGTATTCTGCGTGGGTTTTGGCTCATCCGGGACAAGCAATACTGACTGTTGTAAGTGATAAACTTAAAACACAAAGGAATATTATTATTTTCCAAGTTTTCCTCCTTTTAGTTGCTTCGGCTTGAAATTCAGGGGCGTTAAAGTTCAACACAATATTAAAAATACTAAATGTTCTTTCGCCTTATTGCAAGTTTGTCTCTCACCACCTTTGCGAGTTTGCCACCTGTAATAAAACAACTCCACCCCGCCTTTACCAGTTCCCCCCAAGTCTTTCAACGCGTTTCGCACCAGTAGAACGTGTTATATCAACATTGATCAACATGCACTCTCACCACCTTTGCGAGTTTGCCACCTGTAATAAAACAACTCCACCCCGCCTTTACCAGTTCCCCCCAAGTCTTTCAACGCGTTTCGCACCAGTAGAACGTGTTATATCAACATTGATCAACATGCACTCTCGTCCTGACAAGTTTTATCGGTAACCTCTTTCTGAATTTTCAATGTTTCCCTCCCGAATTTTCTTTCACAATTGGCGGGTTGATGGATAAACTTTTCAACGCATGAATTAAATAAATATTTGCGCATTTTTAATCTCTTTAAGTATCAAATTAAATCGGTAAATGTCAAATTCTGTTCTTATTCTAGTCTCAAATTGTCTTTAATCGTGACGTACTGACGTGTTTCCGTACAACAAGACCCAAAGAAACTCTCCAGAACAAGAGAGAAAAACTAGTCTCAGTCCTCCACAGTCTATCACAGATGGTAACGTCATCACTAGTTCCTCATAAGCACCAAACACTCGAGGCCCTGTTAACAATTGAAGTGCATGCCCGTGATGTCCTGGACTCCATGATTGCTAATCAGGTCTATCAGATGGAGGATTTTCAGTGGACCAGGTAGCGGCACAAATATTTGTTACAATCCGTCAAAAAGTAGTTGACACAGAACTCGCTATCTTTTCCGTGGTAGATAAGGAGTAAAGTAAATAGCACTTGCCCTTTTCTGTCATTAATGAAATTTCAATTGAGTGACGACAGTAATCCGGGAATTCTTTGTTTTCCGCTTTCGCTCTGTGATTGGTCCAGAAAACTCACCCACTCTCTCAACCAATCAGATGCAAAAGTAAAACCAATCGTGGCTTGGTCGCCCGCATTTTCCCGCACTTTAGGTAGTTTGGTCGGTTTTTCTTTAAGTTCTCATTTGTTTTTCAGGGTATTTTCCTTTCCTCTGACTGGCTTTTGTGATTACTGTGGTTTTGGTTTTTACGACACGCAATCGAAAGGCGCTCTATTCAATTAAAACATGATTCAGTCGAGTGGTTAAATTTTGAACGACGAGTAGACGTACTCCCAAACAAACTAGATCATTCACGCTCGATTTCTATGCGTGAATTGTCGCCCCCAGGATTCTATCCACATACACAATGGTGTGGGAAAAAAGAAGGCTGGTACCTAATCAAAGTTTCTTATCATGCCATAAAGACCGAAATTGTATGCGGAAAGGTTTTCAACGGCAAATTCTCTCTTAATGCTCTCCATCTGGCAATGACTCTTAAAATACCTTGGTCCTTAGAGCTCTAATACCACTCCCCTATTTGCCCACTGAAGTAGAAGTAACTCCCTAACAGGCAGGAATGCTCTTATTTTGTAGGCAACTGCGTTACGAGTGGAATGACGAGCGGCAAGCCTGTATGGTCCGTCACAGTAATGCAGTATTTGAATATGGGTATGAATATCTCGGCTGTTCTCGGCGGCTGGTCATTACCCCACTGACTGACAGATGTTATCTGACACTGACTGGAGCACTCAATCTTCATCTTAATGGTGCTCCTGCCGGACCGGCGGGAACTGGTAAAACAGAGACTGTTAAGGATCTTGCCAAGGTATTTACTAAAAAGTACTTACTTTTCATAAAGAATACTGATGTATTGTCTCGTAACGAGCGCGGGGCAAGTAATATATATATAGAAAATGTTTCGTCTCATTCCCGTCATAGGACGGAAAAAAACACCTTTCTACAATCATTATCAGCTCAAAATTTCCATGCTTTTCGACATTGCTAATCCTTTCAGAATTAAGGACGCGTGTCTTGTATGGAGCAAATAATGGGTGAACTTTCGTAGAGTTCTCTAAAGCCCAATGGGAGAGAATTGGGGCACGAACTCCAAAGGTCGTGTTAGGTTTGATTCCTCATGGGGACTTAGGTTTTTATACTTTGTCCCATTCTGTCCCCTTTGCTCTTGTGCGTAATGGCGAATGATTTCTCCTGAAAAACTGTCTTTCAAGTGAACTGACACACTCATGTTATGTTTGGTTTCAGGCCATGGGAAAGCAGTGTCTTGTGTTCAACTGTTCTGAAGGACTTGACTATAAGGTAACCAGATGTTCGGTTTTACACTGAGGATTCTCTCTCAGTGATTACTTGTTCAAATGACGTACTCTGCATTTGCTGTTGTTTGTCTTGAAAAGAATTGCAACTAGCCGTAAAGATTGTTTCAATAAATGTCATCCTAATTCGACGGGGGAAGAGGTATTTGTTATGTTGCTCTCTTAAGACGCGCGTAGATTTGACTCAGAAGATTTCCGGGTAGAAAGGAATAGTTGTACTCCAAAGTCCTTTTTTTACTGTAAAATAATCAGCACTCTTAGTTGTTACACCGTTGAAATTTTCTTTATCATAATATCTATCTTGATATTCCGCGTCAATAAGTGATGGCACTCTGTCTAACTCCCTGATAGGACTGAAACGCTGTTTCTCAAAGTACACTGGTTCAAGGGAGCTTATGCACAAACGTTTTTGAGACGCGGACGGCAGAAGGAAGTTAAAAGTTCTCATTCCTGCTGCTCATTACACCTTTTTGGCCAGCACAGTTTGGTTTAAAATGCTACAACGGCAACCCTACAGTCTTTACATTAGCGTTAACGCAGGAGTAGTTTTCTTCTTCCTGTTGCCGTCTGCGTCTCTAAAACTTCTCTGCGTAAATTCTCTAATATTATAAACTTGAAAATGGCGAGGCTAATGTTACACATTTTTGGAAACAATACGAATTGGCATTGACATATTTTATGTTGATTTTTTTTTAAGGATTTCACCTCATGACTCTGTTTTTTTGTTTGTTTGTTTGTGTACTAGATGATGGGCAAGTTTTTCTCCGGTTTAGCTCAATCTGGATCGTGGTTCTGTTTTGATGAATTCAATCGTATTGATGTAGAAGTGTTATCAGTCATCGCTCAACAGCTTCACACTATTAAAACAGCTAAAGATAATAACGTAACCAGGTGAGGCAGGTCAAATTATTGGAACACAGTGGTCAAACTTCTGCGCATTACGACCGTTGGAGAGGCTAGCTGATTTGCCTTCAGGATGTCAAAACCAAATTTTCCTATAAACAACCACTAAAGTAAAAATGTTTATGTGAATCTCAAAACAAAATGGTAAACCATGAAAGAAGGTTAGCTTTGTGTACCATAAGTCTAAAGTTTTCCTTTTCTCTACATTTTCTTTTCCAGATGTCAACGTTTTTTATTCGCATATTTGGCCTGACAGCAGTTGTTTCTCGTGTTTTCCTTTGTAATTTTGCGCGGGAAATTGGCAGGCCAAAATTGATCCTTTTGCGCATTCCCGACGTAAGGACTTTCTGTTTCACCAGTAATTTGTTTTAGTTCGTCGTGAAACGCATCTTTTTATCCAAAATTTAAACGGTGAGGCCTGTCACCTTTTCTCTTTTCTAATCTGATATGTGAACGCGTTTGTTTTATAGGTTTCTGTTTGAGGGACGGGATATAAAGCTGAATACAAATTGTGGAATGTTTATTACAATGAACCCAGGGTAAGCTATGGAGCACAATTCGATTGAGCGTCGTAAAACATCAACCAAAATAACCACATCAGCCAATCAAGAGAAAGAAGAACACCGTAAAGAGCTCAAAGTAAAAACAAGCAAAATACCTGAAGCGCGGGAAAACGCAGACGACCAAGTCGTGATTGGTTTAAGTTTTGCATCTGATTGGTTGAGAAAGTGGTGCAAGTTTTCTAGACCAATTACAGAGAGAATTGAAGCAAAACCATGGCAATCTCGGATTACCGACCCTCAATTGAAAATTGCTCATTCAAGAAGGGTTTTGCTTTATGATTTGAAGCTGATCGTAAAGGATCTCGGAAATTGAATTAATTTTGGAACCTGAAATAATTCGAATTGTTTCTTTGTTTTCAGATATGCGGGTAGAGTCGAGCTGCCGGACAATTTGAAATCTTTATTCCGTCCAGTTGCCATGATGGTACCCGACTATGCGTTAATCGCCGAAATAATCCTGTTTTCTGAAGGATTCACTGCCGCTGCGCTGTTGTCGGGGAAAGTTGTGAATCTTTATCAACTGGCAAGCAAGCAGCTTTCACAACAGGTAACAAAGCTCTAAGGCAATTAACGTTACTCTAGATAGTGGACAAATGTAACTTTTATGCCGGTTTCTCATTTTGCTCTATGTACTAATCGAAAGAAGGTAATAGCTTTCATGGGAGTAATTTCAAACTAGGGCTCGAACTAAATAATTAACGCTCGAAATATTAGTTTTAGAAACTCTTTACGGTGGCCAATTTCCATTCTCAACTCAGCTAATTAAACCAAACCATCTTGTAATACACCAAATACCTCTTGCATCGTAATGAATAGTACTGCGTGGAAGCTTTCCTTTGATTGTTTACTCGCCTTTGTTTCTTGAGATACTTCAATGTTAAAGTTATTTCTCATCACGCAGGATCATTATGACTTCGGATTACGAGCGATAAAATCAGTTCTACTTATGGCTGGACAGCGCAGAAGGGCTGCAAGGTAATTATAGCATCCTTAACAACGCATTTCGATCATGTGTCGTTGAATTAACACTAAAAGAACCTCATCAGCCAATCAGAACAAAATGTAATATTCCAAGGAGCCAATGACAACTTAAAGTAAAAACAAGCAGATTGCGCGGGAAAACGCGGATGACCAGACAGGCTCAACTCCAATGTGGTAAATCCCAAACTGCGGGAGAGAAACAAGTTGAGACTCTGGCCTTTCATAATACCTCCTAATTCTCTTTCAGTCTTAACATGGCGTCTGAGACGTTGGAAGAAGAAGAATCACACCTGATTATTAACGCAGTGAAGGACGCCAATATTCCCAAGTTTGTCGCAGAGGATGTTCCACTGTTTAAGAGCATCTTGGCAGACTTGTTTCCTGGTTTAGATCCACCGGTTCCCGACAACAAGTTACTGAAGGTGATTATAGAATACAGAGTATACGCCGTAAAGTTCCGTAGTTAACCCTTACACCCTAATATCAGTATGTATATTCTCCATACTGTTCTCTATACATTTCTTAAGGTGCTGACAAGGTGAATTTGTGAATTTAGTTTGTGATCATTTGCTTAATTCTCGTAACCTTAATATGCGATTCAGTAGTGAAATTGTAATGAGAAACTAGATGCTGATAATTGAAGGGGTCAAATGTTGTCATCGTCTGTATCCATCCTTATCCTCCTCTGATTTATTTATACTTCTCTCTGGTTATCTAACTTAGCAAAGTATATTTTATTGATTTGTTTCCCTACAAAGTCGATTCTGTTCGTCGCAAATCAGAGGTCGTTTACCGGTGGTCGACGCCGCTTACAAGACCTCTTTCGCCTGCGCCCGGGCGCTCGTGTTTGGATTCCGCTACACGGCCGTTTTCGGGCACAGCCCTTATGGAAAAAGTTATTGTGAACCTTGTGGAAAATTTGTCTTATCGTAACTAATACTCATTTGTGGGGGGGGGGGCACAATCTGGAGTAAGCACCGAAGGGAGGGTATCATTATTTTAAAGTTTTATACAAGTTTTCTTACGCGTACGTTTCTCCTCTTCATTTATACGTGATCTGTGTTATGGTTTGACAACATCTTTTGGATTTCTTATTCTAGAAAGCTGCTAAGGCCGCCTTGGGCGAGTTGTCTATTCAGTATTGGCCCTCACAGATCGACAAGGTGATTCAGTTGAACAGTACATTACAAGTGCGGCATGGTGTGATGTTGGTTGGACCAGCTGGTGGCGGAAAAACCACCACGCGTCAGATCCTGAAGCGTGCGCTGGTCGTGTTGCCAAGCATTCAAGCGCGGGAACAGTTGGAAATGAAAGGGACTGGGGACTACCCTGAGGAGACTGGATCGTCGAAGACAGCCCAATCTCACGCGGTACGAGCTTTTGCATGCGTTTTGTTTTCATCATGGGTCACTTTTATCGTTCATACCCAGCAGTGACCGTAAAAGATTTTTTTCCGCACAATGTTGAAATGCTTTTAAGAGGAGAGTGAATGAGATGCAGATCCAGATGAGCCGTTTGGTTCGATGACTCACGTAACTTTTTTCTTTACTTTAATGATTTCAGGAAATCCATGCTTTTTAAATTAATTCATGCTGTTGTTTTGTCTCTTTTTTCATCTCAGCGCGCTGCCAAAGCGAGGCGTGGCTCAGTCTATGTATCCACACTGAACCCCAAGTGCGTGACAGTAGGTGAGCTGTATGGCGAGGTGAATTCCACAACTATGGAATGGAAAGATGGCCTCTTGTCTCACATTTACCGTAAATATGCTAAGAATAGTAGAGGAGTATTACAAGGAACCAGAGGAAAGCAGTCGAGCACACCTCCCGCTAACGCATTCAGATTATCAAGGAACTCATCGGCCAAGTCTGCTGTCACTAGTGTGTCGGCTATCAGTGGTGAGGAGAACAGTGAAGGTGAGAGTTTGCTTTACCACGGCCAATCAGAAGGAAGGAAAATACCTCAAAGAGCCAATGAGAACTCAACTGCCTGAAGCGCGCTGAAGTGCATGAGTGACCAAGTGCCTCTGATTGGTTGAAAAAATGGCGGGAATTTTCTGGGCCAATCAGGGAGCGAAGTAAAGCAATACCAAAGCAGTCTCAGATTATTTTTGACACTCAATTGAAAATTGCTCTGTAAAAATCACATCTGAATTTTGTTTTTGTTACGTTTAGCCCATAATTCAGATTCATCTACTTTACATTCTTAAATAGCGACCCCTCTGGTCGTAAGTAAAATCAGTGGGAAAACTAGTGACCCACAGAAGAACCCGGATCAAGCACCATTTTGTAATCGTCGCATGTTGATGATCCATTTACCGGAGGAGCTCTTGAGTTTGGTTGAGAAAACTCGCACCAGTTCCTTAGCCAATCAGACGTAAAAAGGGACTCGGTTACCCGGATTTTACCGTGCTTCCAAGGAATGCACGTGTTTACTTCGAGATCTCATTGGCTCATGATATTTTGCCTTGTTCTCATTGGCTGTAATGTTCACTTTGCTTTTGGTTTGAAAAACGCTCGAAACTATTAAGACAACATTACACCAGGTTAGGGAAATTTTTCGAATACTTTTTTTGAAAAGCACTCAAATTGTTTCTTCGCCAGTTGAAACAGCGACCGCGACAGAAGACGCTAGTAACATTAACAGAGAGGAGACGCCCATTTTTTGGCACTGGATTGTGATGGACGGACCTGTGGATACACTCTGGATTGAAAACCTTAACACCGTATTGGATGATACAAAGGTGATAAGTGAAACCTCGTTCCCAGTGTCTCTGTTTTCCCCTTAAGAACAAGAACCTTACAAACATTGCGTGACATTAAACTGAATTGAGCATTTCCTATTGCGTGACAGGTGTTGTGTCTTGCCAATGGAGAGAGGATAGAAATGGGTCACGGGATGAGGATTTTATTTGAGGTTGACAATCTGGCCATGGCGTCTCCTGCTACAGTCAGTCGTTGCGGAATGGTATACATGGTAAAAAATATGCTTCTTTCTTCTTACGATTAACATAGCTTCCGAACAACTTGCAACTCTGATTCACAGCTACTTCGAAGATAATCAGATATGGCCTGCCGTCAATACTGAACTCGTGACTGGCGATAAATGATTTAATATTAGCCTCGAAACAATTTAAAATTAACATCTTTCTCCATGTGCTCATTCCAAACTTCTGAACTGCTTCCAGGAACCTAAGGATTTAGGTTGGAGACCGTACGTTAAAACATGGATTCAGAGGCTTAAAGAGCAAACAAAGGTAAACTAACTAAAGCACCAAAAACTGTGTACTCACCGAAAAAAAACTGTGTACTCAATATCTAATTAAAATTAAAATTTAATTTCATGTCATAGAGAGAGAAGTTGTTGGAGATACTTTTGTTACTTTCGTTGTCCTCATAGCGGGAGATACAGCGGCTAACGCCCGGGACTCCGGATCGAGAGATTTGGGTTCTAGCCCCGGCCAGCAGTAGTTGTAGTCGTGTGCTTTACTTTCACAATGCCCCTCTCCGCCTCAGAGTTTACACCGAATACGAATAGGGCGGACTACTCGGTCGGCCTGGGTTGAGTCGCACGTAAGCGAGGTTAGTAAGACTAATGACTCAACCCAGGCCGACCGAGTAGTCCGCTCTAATTGCATTGTCTGTAATTAAGGATTGGAGAATTGTGAGAGAGAGTACAGGAGGGGGGGCTGGCAGTTGAATGGTTCCCGTTTAACCCTTAACACTCATAGTCTTCATAATAATCTCAAGGAGAGTTTTTCAAACAATCAACAGTTCTTAAGTTTGCGATCATTTCCTTTATTCTCATGACCTTAATGCGGGATTCATGGGTGACATTGTAAGGAGAAGTAAAGTGCTGATCAAATTAGGAGCCAAAGGGTTACGCTCTTGGATAGATTTTAATTATACAAAGAGAGTGTCTTTGTTTCTATGTGGATTTCAGCGAGAATATTTCTTCATTGATAATTATTTATCATAGGATTTTTCTCTCTAAAGTTTTGTTTAGTTTAACGCGTTTTTCTTTGTTTTGACCAGCTCCCCAGAGAGGTATTCAATCATCTTCTCCAGCTATTTGAACACAGTGTAGACACAGGACTTCGCTTCCTTTCCAACTACAACCAGCTTCAATACATCATAGCACCGGATCTTAGCATTGTTTCCACTCTCTGCAGTATTATCAGCGGTTTTTTAGAAATCATGTACAGCCAGGGTGGTTTCCCTGCTAGCGAAGCTCCGAGTGCTGCCGAAGATGGAGCAGAATTGTCGGAAACAACTTCGGCTAAAGCCGTCACGTTTGCCGATGACTCCGAACAAGAAATCATTCCTATTCGGAAAGTGTCTTTCATACAACGCAATCCTTCCCAGCTTTTAAGCTTTCTCGGAAAGGTGTATGTTTTCGCATATACTTGGGCATTTGGGGGAAATCTTCGTTTTGAAACAGTTGTCGAAGATGAAGAAAGTGGAGATACCTTTGCAAAAGACAGTCCACAAATTTGGGAATTGTTTGATACAATGACTCGTGATTTGTTTGATATCGACTCCCCGATCGGTGTTCGATTACCCCCTGGAAACGACAGCATGGCTAATTACTTCATTGACATGGAGAGCGGACAGTTTTCACTGTGGAGCAGTCTCGTTCCTTCGACTCGCGCATTGATAGCCAAGGCAGTGTCTAATCAATTTGCCATCTCAGATACTCTCAACACTCTAGACGATCCCCCTCCCATGAAAAATCAGCTTGAGATCGATCGTTCCCTCGTTCCAACCGTTGACACAGTCCGGTACGCGTTTCTCCTCTCGTTGATGGCGTTAAAAGGACAACCGGTTTTGCTAACCGGAGAAACCGGTGTCGGGAAAAGTGCATTGATCCAGGACACGTTGGTCCGGTTGTCCCAACCGGGTGGGAGTGGAACGAGCACGGGAACAATCTTAGGAGCAGTGTTTCGAACAGGAGGGATGAACTTGGTGGATAGCATTATGGATATGACAGCCTCTGAAGGGGTGAAGAGTGTAGGGCGTGGTTCTGAGGTGGTGTTCGACTCCACGCCTTTTTCGGCTTATACAAGCTCTTCAAAGGCGCAGAAGTTTATTGAATCGAAGTTGGTGAAGAGAGGAAGGGACGTACTGGGACCGAGACCAGGAAAAAAGGTTCGTCTGTTAGAAATTTCAACTGTCTTTCTTTTTCACTCTTAAGTGTGCAGCAGACAAAGGGAAGTGGGAAATGTAAGGTAACGTTCGAACAACCAAAGAAATTTACCTTTGTCTTGGAGCGCGCTGATAGTTCGTTTGATTGAAATTAAGGCTTGATTATTCTCTTGGTTGTATCGTCACCTGTTGAAGGCAGTGTTCAGAGAGTCACAGATATACCCCCCGCAACACAAATTCAGTTATGCCTCTTCCCTATTATTCGCCATTCTCGTAGCAAAAGTAAGTTATTTGATAAATGGTTTTGCCTATTACGATAGGTTCTTCTCTTTGTTGACGACATCAATCTACCTCAACCCGATGCGTTCCAGTCCCAGCCCCCTCTGGAGTTGCTCCGTCAATTCCTTGACTCTCAAGGTTTCTATGACTCTACAAAGCTTCAGTGGAAGGAGGTTCATGACGTTACACTATTAGCGGCTTGTGCTCCCCCAGGGGGAGGAAGAAGTGCTATTAATGGTCGGTTGCTGAGGCATTTCAGGTAGGGTGGGTAATCAGAGAATTGCGTAGGGCGGTTTCGATCAGATTTCGATCGAGTTTCGTTAAACCAAACCCAAAGTAATCACAACAGCCACTCAGAACAAAGAAGAAGTAGTTAATGAGAACTGGAGTGAAAAAAGGCGAAGTCAAAAAGCTTAAGCAATCCCGGATCACTTTCAACACTCCATTTAGATTGGCTCTTATCAGGAGATTATTGATTTAGGGATCAGTCAGTCCATGCTATTTTTTTTTTCATTCTACTTCCACGTGCAATGGGAAATTTTTACAATGAATCTGACTACCCATCGTATTTTAAATAAAATGTCCCTTGATATCAGCCCCTAGGGGTGCTTTTCTTGTCTTCCCTCCCGCCCTCTTGATTTATCTTTCGGATTCGTGAGTTATTGCTTTCTCTGTTGTAAGCAACGATACCAAAGGGCAGTTTTACGGGAATACCCCCCCTCCCCCCATTCCGCAAGACCTTGTACTTGTTACATCATGGATTGGAGGACATCTCTTTATTTCTTAGTGTGCTTTATCTTCCTCATCCTGACTCCAAGTGGCTGCATCATATCTACGTCACACAGCTTGGACGCTTTTTGGAAAAAGCCGACTTTGTACCTGATGTGCGGGACGCCTGTGAGGTTATGGTGACTGTTGCTATGGGACTGTACTTTGATCTTAGTGCCAACCTCCTCCCCACCCCAGCTAAGTCACATTATACTTTCAATCTGCGCGACTTAAATAAAGTAAGTGAATGAAGCACATATCGTTATTCAATTGAATGTTATTTTTTTAAAAGAAAATCATGACGGAATAGCAAAGGTTTCAGGTGAATACGCTCTGTGATTGGTTCAGAAAACTCGTTTCGTTCTCTTGGTCTCTCAGAAAATCACACGCAAAACTAGAATCAATTGTGAATTATCCAGCGATCAGGCTCTCATAGGCGGTACGACAGGAATGAAGCGGTCAAACGACGGCATGCGCGAAAGGATCGATTTTGGCCGGCCGCGCACCAATTTGACCGCTTAGTTGCCTGTGCTAGGCTTTCGGTTCGTGGCAAATAGCTCAAAGCAGGTTCTCGAAAAAAAGGTTCCCCGGCAGCCATTTACCTGACAACTGCAACCGCCTCTTGTAGCTCGCCCGCCCGCCCTTTCCTTTCTTGTCGCAGCGTTTATGAGAGCCACCGTCATCTTTCTCCGCCTAAAGTCTTTAAGGTATTTCCCGTAAGCTCTAATAAGATCCTTAAATCACTTCATTGAATTCTCCGACTGGTCTTTGTGGACACTTAAGTTTTGCTTTAACTACCCTTTATATTATGTAACGGTCTTGTACGTGACTGAAAAGCTCTTGACTTTGCGCTGACTTAATTTAGCTTTTTTGCCTTGAACTCTCGTTGGATTATTAACAGGTTATAGAAAGCTTGTTACAAGCCCACCCATCCGTCATCACATCACGTGACCATTGCGCTCAGCTGCTCGGCCACGAAGCCTCACGAGTGTTGCACGATCGGCTCACGAACGATGCTGACCGACGGTACTTCCACAGAGTGTTGTCGGAACAGCTCCACAATGGGTTCAAGACACGCTGGAGTGCCGAGGAACTGGAAAAAAAGCCGTTGATCTTTGGGGATTTTCTGGAAGGAAGTGAACCACACAGCCCTCGAGTGTATCGCTCTGTGCGCCAATATGATCGATTGCCTCAGATCTTAGAGGTGGGTTTCGCTTTGAACCCTTGAACTTCCAGAAGTGATAAATATAATTTCCCCCTATAATATTCATACATTATCCAGGAAACAGGTAATGAGGATATCACGGTGAAGCAGCTAGAGGGGAGAATTAACAACCAGATCTTGGAAGTTAAACGAAAAGAAGCAAACAGAACTGCAAACAGTCCTGATGAGCGAGGGATGTGTTTTTTTGTTACAGGCGAGAGTTTTTTTGAGGAAAACTTGAGTATTAGTGTTTTCCCAAGGCATTCTACATACAGATTGAGACAATCGAGAAAAAAAGATCGTTCATATTCAGATAAGCTTGAGCTCCTTTCTCTAACAGACTGATGATTTCCACTCGTGGCCTTAACCCTTTAACTGTCAGAAGTGATTTAAATGTAACTTCTTCGTGCAATTCTAATCAGTTATCTTGTAAAAAGGTTATGAGAGCAGAAAATCTTATCAACTGGAGGGCGTTATTTTGGAATGAGACCATATTTTCATGTGTTGTTTTATGAGGAAAAGTGTAGCAGTTAGAAGGGGGAATTGTTAAGTGGATCTTGGGAGCTGAAGGGTTGATTGAAAACTGCTATCACCTCATTGAACAGTATTTGACTGATGGAGTGTTCTTCTTTGCCAGGAATACTACGACAAAGCCAACCTATCAGGGGGAAGTGTGGAGCATCGTTTTGTTTTCTTCGACATGGCAGTGCAGCACGTGACACGGGCGGCACGTGTTTTCCGTCAGCCTGGGAAACACATGCAGATGGTCGGGGTTGGGGGTACGGGCAAAGCCACGGTTGCTAAGCTAGCAGCGTTTATTGAAGACTGCGTGTTCTTGAGACCTCATGTCTCACGAGTATACAACTTATCGGAGTTCAGAGACGATGTGAAAAAAGCTTGTGTCGTGGCCGGAGTAAAGGGAAAGAACACTGTGCTTTTTCTGTCAGACAATTTGGTTAAGGTCAGTCGATTATTCTTTCTTTGAAAACAGCTACATTTCTTTTGCTCGATTTTGAGACCTTTTGCCAAATTCAAGAGACCACCATTGTGTTTTTCAGTTGAGGGGAGGGGGGGGGGCGGGTAAAAACTCTTTGGAGAACAATTTACCAAATTTACCACACCCCACACAACCTGATACCACAATATTCACGTCGACACCAGGGGTGTTTTGTTCTCTGCTTAGAGGGTATGGGTTTTTGGAATCAGAGTAAAAGTAGCATCAATTTAATGGAGGTGATGTGGTTTACTGGAGCCTTACTGTTAAGTTCTGATTCCACTCGTATGGAATGAGATTTACTCTGTGGTGTGACTTCCTTGTAGGACGAGCTCCTTGAAGATGTGACGAGTATTCTAGCTGGAGCTGATATAGCCAGCCTTTTCGACCATGAAGACCTTGAGCGTATCTCTTTAGATCTAAAAAGAGATGCGATACTTCAAGGCGTTTCAGATACGAAAGAAGCCATCTTTCGGTTCTTCCTTGAACGCGTCAAGCAGAAGCTACACTTGGTCCTCTCCACCACTCCCGCGGGGTCCAGTTTTCGGCGGCGTTGCCGCCTGTACCCGCCCCTCATAAACTGTTGTACAATTGACTGGTTTGACAAATGGCCTTTGGATGCGCTTCAGTCAGTGGCCGTGTCTTTTCTGGAGCTTTCAGAACTGGGGAAAAATCCAGAGTCGAATGAGGCTCTACTGGAAAGTGTTTCTAAAGTCTTTGTTGAAGTTTTCAATAGCGTTGAACAGGAGACGCAGAAGTTTTATGAAGAGTTGCGCCGACGGTATTACACGACTCCGACAAGTTACATGGAGTTTGTTCGCTTGTACCTGAGTAAATTAAACGACAAGCGAGCTGAATTGAGTTTTAACCGCGATAGATTGTGTACTGGTTTGCAAAAGCTGTCAGAGTCTAATGAACTGGTGGGCACAATGCAAACTGAGTTGTTACAATTAGGGCCTAAACTGGAGAACAAAGCTAAGGTATGTAATCTTCCGAGGTTTTCAACTTTCTTTGTTTGTTTGTTTTGTTTGTTTCGATGCGTGCGCTAAAGTGCGTGGGTGGTATATTACTTCGTCCTTTTCTTCCTGTTTGTCTTTACGTCTGCATGTTTTTCTTGTGTCTGTGTCTGTCTTTTTCGGTGTGTCTGTGTGTCCGTCATTTATTTTATCTCTGTTTTGTTCTTTTTATCTCTTTCAATCGTTAACGAGTTTGCCATTCCATTCTCACCTTTCTGTCTTTCATTCTACCTTTCTTCTCTCCTTTTCTCTTTTTAGACGGATGCGTCTTCTGAGTATATCATCTCTTTCTACCATCTCACTTTATTTACCCACACGAAGCTTTGACTTTGTTGATCCTAGCAATATGAGAACTCGTGTCACATTTAGTGAACCAAGTAAGTTCTTTACGAGACAGAAAAACATATTTCTTTATTTCGTTTCTTGGTGTCATTAACAGGACGCAGAAAAGCTTCTTGAACAGCTCGCCTGCGACCAGGAAGCAGTGGATCAAGTACACAGTGTGGTACAAAAAGAGGAAGAAATCATGAATGAGGAAGCCCTTAGAGTGCAGGCGATAGCGGAGGAAGCTCAGAGGGACCTAGAAGGAGCCTTACCACAACTGGAGGCAGCTATTGTGGCTCTGGACTCTCTGGATAAATCTGACATTTCCGAGATCCGAGTGTACACCAAGCCTCCTACGATGGTGATGACGGTGCTGTCGGCAGTTTGTGTCCTGCTGCAGCAGAAACCAGACTGGAATTCGGCTAAACTGCTGCTTGGTGATCAGGGATTCTTGAAGAAACTCGTTGGCTATGACAAGAACAGTGTCCCCGAGAAGGTGAGCTCTTCATGTAACTGGTGGATAGTGTTCTGTGTAATTTTCGACTTGTTATTTGAGACAGGAAGGGTGTGTCTAAGAATTTCGTTGTCGTTTGCATTGTTTGGCTTGTTAGTTTGGGACATGCGCAGTACCCTTGAAAAGTTGAGTGCTTAATATAACTGGTGGGCAGTGGTTTATTACTCAATGCAAAGCGTGTGATCGCAACACGCGTTCACGTTTACAGTGCTTTTAAGAACGTTGTTGCATTATGACTATTAAATCAGAAAACACCTTCAGGACATCTAGCCTTGTATGTCTATGGATACATAAGGTCGAGAGTGACCTTTTTTGTGATATAGACGAGAAACTAGTGAACATGACGAAGAATAGCAGTATATGTATCATAGTGACGTCACCCTTACCCTCACTGTCGTGCCTGACAGCTAAGAACTTAACTTATAGATGAACTTTAAACGGTTCTTGGTGGGGACGCCGTGGTTTCACGGTTAGTGGTCTGGACTCCAGGTCGAGCGGTCCTGGTTCGAGACTTGGCCTGATCATTGCGCTGTGTGCTGTGTGCCTGGCCTGGTCATTGTTCTCCCCATCCAGGAGTTAAAATGGGTATCGGTGAATTATCAGGGAAGTCTAATGAAATGCTGGGGGGTAACCTTGGGATCGACTAGCATCCCATCTAGGGGGAGTGATGATACTTCGCCTCATGCTGTGGAAACCGGGATAAGCTCCGGTTGGACTGTTCTCTTGGCTCGATTACAGCCCTTTTCATGTGTCCTTGCCGTTTTTTAGTCGACAAATTCTTTCCTTACACCAGGTCTTCACGCGCCTCAAACGATACACTCAGCATCCGGAGTTTAACCCAGAGGCTGTTGGTAAGATATCGGTGGCTTGTAAGTCCATGTGTCAGTGGGTGCTGGCGCTGGAGAATTACGCTGAGGTGTACAAGATCGTGGAACCCAAACAGAGAAGATGCGAAGAAGCACAAGCTGCTCTGCTTATCGCTAAAGAAAATTTGCAACAGAAGCAGGTATGACAAACGTGCATTCCTGGATTCCTCCGCTTTCTTTTGGTTTATGGCGAATGCGCCCCATTGCATGTTTGCCCCTCACCACCTTTGCGAGTTAACGGGAAATGAATACGTTCTGTGATAGGAAAATGGGTCGAAAGATTTACGGGCGAACCCGTCATACGTTAGGGGTCGAACTTGCAGTGGGGCGAATTCATTAGCTTCCCCTCTTTCTCGCAGTGCAAAAGCGATTCAAACGGTTTTTTTCGAATAATTTAGGTTTACAACAGAAGAAATGCTCTCTTTGTATGTTAGTCAATAAATCTGGGCCACAAAGCATAAGAGAAATAGTGACTTGCGGTTTGGTCCAAGTGAGTTTTTTTAGAGGCCCTCTCCCTCCCCACTTTGAGATAAGCCCTACCCCACCCGTCAGAAAACCCGGGTAACTAATGAGCCCCCTTCCCGGGGGCTTTTCAAGGCTCTTACGGAACAAGGTATAGAGAAGTTAAAGATGTATCGAATGTTTCTTTAGTAATCTATACGTGTGGTTAAAAAGCTGGTATTTCTGGCTTTTAGCTAAGTCTGCTGAAAATCCAGGAACAGCTTCAGCTTCTTAAGCAACAATATGATAGCAGTGTGGCACAGCTGGAGGAACTCAAACAGAAGAAGGAGCTTACTATTGTGAGGCTGAAGAGGGCTTCAATTCTTACTGCAGCCTTGGCTGAAGAGCAGGTACGACGAGAAAAAAACTTAGGGACTCTCCTGTAGTCTAGGATGCCAGTCTTTCGAAGTGGCATCTCGAAGGCAGTGTTTTGTTACTTCTGTATTTCCTCCTTGTTGAACTAATTAACACCTCAGTGAAATATTGACGTGAGTGTCCAAAGCAAAACGGCATTGCCTTGATTGGCTCAACGTCGCTCGGCGATTGGTCCAGAAACACGCAACACTTTCTCAAACAGTCAGATTCAAAGCTTAGCTCCAATCGTGACTTGGTCGATCGCATTTTCCCGCGCGTCGGATAATCTTGTTTTTTCTCTAAGTTCTCATTGGCTCCTTCTTTCAATTTGCTTTGTTTTGATTGGCTGTTTTGATTACTTCGGGTTTGCTTTTACGTTACTCGGTCGAAATGCGTGTTAACATTTAACTGGCTCTCCCCAGTCTTGTTGTACTGAAATAAGGGAGGTATTGTGAGAGCTAAGCGTCTTGCCAGCTTGCATAAGAACGCAACAAAGTAACCTGGCCATGGTTCAGTTAAACCCGCTTTTTCTATCTCGGGTTTTGCGCGCTAACCCCCAGACCAACGCGTCTTCCACTTAACATGACTTCATAGCCGCGGAACTCAAAATCTTGCGGTCTCAAATCGAGATGTATTTGTATGCTCATCTCATGAGACCTTTTCATAGGTTCGCTGGAGCAACTCGGTGAGCTCTCAGGAGGAACACGCCCACGGTCTTATTGGCGATACACTGGTGTCCTCTGCAGCGGTGGCTTACCTAGGTGCCTTCACGTCATCCTACAGGCACCGGCTTCTCTCGCACTGGCTGCAGCTCTGCAAAGCGGAGAACATTCCAGTGTCGGAAAATTTTGAACTAACAGAGTTTTTGTCTGAGCCGGTCGAAGTTCAGACTTGGTTGAATGATGGGCTACCTCACGATAAACACTCCATTGAGAATGCTGTACTCATGAAGCATTGTCGCCGCTGGCCACTCTTGATCGACCCGCAGGAGCAAGCATCTAAGTGGATCACGCGGACTGAAAAAGATAACGGGCTCAAGATTGTCAAGGCCTCGGATCCAGGCTATCTCCGGACATTAGAGAGTGCCATACCGTTAGGACAACCGGTTCTGGTTGAGGTAAGTAATAAGAGTTATTTTCAAGTGAGTATCGATGGTTCGCTTTGATCTCAGTTTACCGCGCTCCATGATGAGCTTGAAAACATTGCTGCCACTCACTAAACCAATCAGATATGAAACCGAAATCCAGCTCTATAACGGACGGACGAGTGCTCGGTATTGTCTTGGTCAAAATCATAGCTGCCATCTTTGATTTTTACAATAGCGGAGGGCTGGGAAGAGAAAGAAATTAGTACCAAGGGGGTGAGGGACGGTCGAAAAGAAGGAGAGGGGAGGGATGGAGCAATAAATAATACGCGCTTTTCGCCTTTCCCGGCCCCTTCCCCCACCGTTAACTCTGACTCCAATTCAAACATGGCCAGTTGAATAAATGATCGCTAGCTTTCTGACGTTGACAACGTTAACTCGCCCCAGGTTAGCTCTGACCAGGTCGCAACATTGGTTGTTGGCGGTAACATAACACCAGCTAATTTTGTTATTTTTTCTGTTTTCCTCAATCGGATTTGAAACATTTTTGAGTATTTACATCTTCAATAGACAGTATACCGACGTAAGGCCACCTCATTCCTAGAAACAAAGAGGAAACAGTCTTAAAACTGTCTTTAGGAAATGGTATTTGCAAGTTGTTTGGATTATCGACTTTAATGGGAAGGGGGTAAGTTTTCAAAGAAATTGTGGTGCTGCGTCGGTGGGAGATATAACAGGGTAATTTGGTATTATCAACTGAGTTGTTAATGCTAATACGTCAGCCTTGTAACTCTTTACGGTGGCCAATTTACGTTATCAACCCAGTTGATAATACTAAATTACCCCTTTATGAGAAGGTTTTGAATCAAAAGCAACAGGCATGCGGTCGGTGTTTCCGTTACAGACACTTTTTTCGATTTTGCAGGATTTGGGTGAACACTTGGACCCGTCGCTTAACCCAATCCTGAGCAAAAATACTATTACACGAGGTAATCAGGAAATGATGATAATCGGTGACTCCGAGATCGAATACAACAGCAACTTCCGGTTATACATGACCACACCCCTGGCAAACCCGCACTTTCTACCGGAAGTGTGCATTAAAGTCACGGTGATAAACTTCACTGTCACGCTAGATGGATTGCAGGACCAGTTGCTGTCACGCGTGGTCCAAAGGGAAAGACCAAAGCTAGAGGAGAGTAGCAAAGAGTTACTTCATGGCTTGGTAACGGATCGCTACAAGTTAAGAGAATTGGAAGATCGATCACTGTCTCTGCTTCACCAGTCACGTGGTAACATCCTGGACGACGAAGATCTTATCTCCACTCTGGATGACAGCAAGAAAGTGGCGAATGTTATTCACACGCGTGTCGTCCAATCAGAAGAGACCAAAGAGAAGATTAACCTCAGTCGAGAGAAATACCTTCCAGTGGCCACCCGGGGTGCGGTGTTGTATTTTGTTCTCACCGATTTAGCTTACGTGGATGTTATGTACCAGTTTTCTCTGCCCTGGTTTACAGATCTCTTTGACGGCTGCATTGAGTCCGCTCAGGAGCCAGCACAGACTGCGAGAAGTGAGTCACCCATAAGGCCTGGTAGCGCAGGTACGCTTCGACCCATACGAAAGGATAAACTTGCTGTATCAAGTGCGAGTCGACCCGGGTTTAAACGTCGAATAACTGTCCACAGGCCGAAAGATGAAACTTCGTTGCCGCAATATCTCCAAGCCTTGGTAGAGCTTCTAACAGAGAGTGTCTATCGGGTGGTTTCGTACGCACTATTTGCGTGTCACAAACTCACGTTTTCTTTTATGTTATGCGCGGGAATCATGCGTCATAGTATGGCTACATCACGGGACAAAACCATCGACGAGGAAGAGTGGAATTGGTTTTTGCGTGGATCAGCGGTCGCTGCCATAACAGACAGACTCGAGAGTGAAGAGGAGTTGAATATCTCTTGGAAGGGTGAGTACCTGTTTTAACCCATTAATCCTCACGATCTAAATTCTCCTAACTGTTTGCCATACATAACTTGTAATGTTAGCTCTGAGAACTTAGCATTCACATTGTCAGGAGAATTTAATTTTGGATCTCTCTTGGGAATGGGAGAGTTAACTTCTCTTTCAAAATCGATATCGACTTGGAAGTGGAAGACGAACAGTGATTTCAAAACTCGGAAAGAATAACGGCCAATGGAAATTATCTGTTAGGGTCTTGATCCTCTGACAGTCTGCGTAGAAGAGATTCAATTTTAGGTGTTTATGAATAAGAAACCTTGTAACCTGCGATAACGCTCTTTTTCTGCGTTACCGCTTGCGCTGATGGAGCTCAGCAAGGGAGTCCGCTAGTAAACGTGATCATTCTATTTGTTATTTTTCAATGTAGGGTCATGCTCCTCGAAACTGAATTTTCTGGGTGATGAAATTTTGCTGGTGCCTGAAAAAAATTAACGTCATATCCATCCTTGTCACGACCTGACCGAGTGTCTGTCGAAGAAGTGTCCCAACCTTTAATGGCGTTATTTTTTAAACATAATAATCGGACTTTTCTGAAGTAAATGTATTGAAAATTTCATGATTTTCACAGGAAGTCAGACGACAGTCGCGGGAAGCCTGGGTCAATACATGTCGAAAATGAACAAATCTCCAGCCAAGTGGATAACTGAGTCTACCTGGAAGGAATGTCTTCAGCTGTCAGCCTCCATTCCGGCCTTTGCTGGCCTCTGTAGTAACATTGCAGTGAATGTTGCCTTCTGGAGCAAGTTCGCCGCGAGCGAGAATCCATTCAAGTTCATTGAAAATGAGCAAAAGCTCGAGAATACGAAGGCTACCTCAACAGAAGGTATGTGGAGTTACGTCACATATGTATATTTTCAGTGTCGGTGTCACGCAATTTTGTGTTGCGAATTACAGATAATATGGAGTTGTGACTAAATTTTCACGTCCTTTTGAGATGGTTTTCTTTGTTACGCAGTTTTTTAAGCCCACGTATACAGCGGAGTGACACTCTGAAGAGAAATAAAGAGACGCCGGTCACTCTTTGGGGTTAAGGGGTTAACCTTCTGTAGATTATCACCATTTATAGGCAGACACTTTTTCTAACTGCTGAGCGGGGTCTCCCACGGTGGGCTGAAAATTTGGTTTAACTTGTTTTACAGATACGGATCACCACTCTCCTCAGCTCGGCTGGAACGTATCCAGTCTCTCCAGGTTTCAGCGCCTTATCATCGTCAAGGTACTGCGGCCCGAGTGTCTTGTCGATTCTGTCAGACTATTTGTGGAACAACAGATGGGGCCTAAGTTTGTCACGAGCTTTGGGTTTGATCTACAGGAAGTGTTTGAAGAGTCCAGTAGTAGGAAACCACTCATTTTTATCTTGTCTCCAGGTTAGTGTCGCTGCGCTGTTGAAAAAGTACCACAGCATGAGGGCAGAGGAGCATGGATGTCGCAGTGGTGAGAGCGCTCGCCTCCCACCGCTGTCGCCCGGGTTCGATTCCCGGAAACTAGTGTCGCATGTGGGTTGACTTTGTTGTTGGTTCTCGTCCTTGCTCCGAGAGTTTTACTCTGGGTCCTCCGGTTTTTCTTCCTCCACAAAAACCAACATTCTAAGTTCCAATTTAACCTGGAAAGGTGGAAAAGAAGAGCCCCCGAGTGTAATGCTCACTGCTAAATCCTATTTATGTTATGACGTGAGTTAGTCTGTTCTCGAGGCAGGTGGCCCATCCACCCAGGAGTACTGCTACTAATCCTGGATGGGATGCTTTTCCATCGCAGGTGTCTCTCCTCCCCCCCCACCCCCCTTCTCGCTCAAAAGAGAACAGAATTTCAGCATCTTTGTTCATGATGTATGGCACGTTTAGATATATTCTGCCATCGAGCATCGAGATTATTATAATGATTACATCGGAAAACCGTTATGAGCATGGAGTTTCGAATTTTTTATCGACACCAGAATTGTTCTTTTCCGTCTATCATTGAAAATTGTTATCGTGAGGCAATATGTGATCTTTTTCCTAAATTTCTGATACTTTATTGTCTTAAAACAGAGACACAGTTCTCTATATTGCCCCGTTCTTGTGACTACTTATCAAACCGTCTTGTTATTATCTTTTTTTCAAAGGTTCAGATCCAACATCGCAGCTCATGCGGTTTGCGCGGGAGACTCGAGGGACTTCATTACATCTAGACATAATCTCATTAGGAAGGGGTCAGGGCCCCAGAGCTGAAGAGGCAATCACGAAAGCCTACCAACAGAAAGGAAAGTGGGTTTTCTTACAGAATTGCCACCATGCAGCCTCATTTATGCCGCGACTTCAGATGATTGTGAGAAGGTGAGGGAAGTGAGGAGAGGGTCGCATGACAAAAAGAGTCAGGGGAGGAGAAATTAAATCGTGTCATTTTGCTCTATGTTGGTGAGGGTAGGGCAGAGTGTAGGTTGTTATTGCGTCAGTTTGTTAGTCGTGCGACTTAAAGTGATCATGGGAAGGTGAGTGAGGGGGGTCTGGTAACGAGAGGAGTAAAGAGAGTTACACTGCCTCCTCGTGACCTCACTGTTTTTTAAAAATTACCAAACCTTTTCTTGTGATCTTTTAAAACTTCTACCACTTTTGCAAACTTGGTTTCCCTGATGACACCTTGAAAGTATTATTCAGTGCGTGTTAAGTGAGCTCAGGAGAGTTGAATTCTAATCCATGATTTTTAAAAAAAATCAAACCGTCTAAAGGGAATTTAGTTATGACAATAGGACTGGAGTCCAATGTGCTCTGTTACTGTTGACTTTTTGCCGAAATGAAACGAACCCTGTTAATTTAAACTGGCGCGCAAATAACGCTTGCTGTCCAACAACGCGTACTGTCTTATCACATAGTCCCCGTTAAATGTCCAACGCGTACTGTCCAATTATACAGACCCGCGCGTTATCTGTTCCACCTGTACAGTCCCAGTACACATGCCTCGCGCCTTAACTGTCCTACGTGTACAGTCCTAGTACACAAGCCCCGCGCGTTAACTGTCCCACGTGTACAGTCTTAGTACACAAGCCCCGCGCGTTATCTGTCCCACGTATACAGTCCTAGTACACAAGCCCCGCGCGTTAACTGTCCCACGTGTACAGTCCAAATACACAAGCCCCACGCGTTATCTGTCCCACACAAGCCCGGCACGTTAACTATTTAGTGACGAACATGACGCTTACACTATCCCGTTGATGCTCAAATCGGGCTATTGGTAGCCAATCACGTTCGAGAGTTTTGTTTTACTGTTGATTAAAACTTACACTATCCTTATCCTTAGGATATCACATCCTGAAACAAATGTGCATCCGAATTTCCGGATGTGGCTGAGCTCCAAACCAGACCCCTCGTTTCCAGTGTCCATCCTACAAGCTGGACTCAAGGTACTCATCAGCATTTCTAGCATTTCCAGCATGTTGCTATAAGCAGTCACAGACATATATGAGACTTTATGGTGCCATTCTATATTTTTGGGAAGGTATGGTGCGGAAGAATATGGCAAGGCTTTTAAATTTCGCCCCGCGTTTTCCGCCTTGGTTCATGGCTTTGTTCTGACTCGCTGTTTCCGAAGGACAATCCCTCTAAAAATTTGTTAGACACAAACGTAAAGCGATAATGATAAGTGATGTTGCATGTTGCTAGCTTGCTAGTTTTTTCTTGTCGTTAAGAGTGGCTAGACACGGCATGGGATGACCCGTGAGAATAATTTGCGACGTTGTGTTAGTACTGAATCCTCGTGGGATCTCGGAAAACGGATACGGGATTGGCTCGCTCTAAATCCTCCTGGGATCTCCGAAAAGGGAAGTGATCTGAATTAACTTGTCAGGGTGACCATAAGGCAATGTCCACGTGGGAATTAGGTCTCTTAGGCCAATCTTCCCTTGTTTTATCACTCTTTTATTGAGCATGCACGAAACATGTCATTCACTTGTTCTTGCAGATGACGGTGGAACCTCCCCCAGGAATCAAAGCCAACTTGCTTCGATCTTTAGGGGGAGTGGGTGGGGTGGTGACCGAGTCTGTGTGGGAGGACACAGGGCCTGGGCCTAGTTGGAAGAGACTTGTGTTTGGTTTGTGTTTCTTTAATGCCGTCGTGCACGAGAGGAAGAAGTTTGGAGCCTTGGGGTGGAATATTCCGTATGAATTCACCGCCTCGGACCTTGAGGTATTATCTCTTGACTAAAGTTATATGTTGATTCATATTGATTTAATGTTAGAATTATTGTCTAGTCAAGCGCAACAAGTATTTCTTGTTCCTTAAACAGTTCGAATAAGCGAAAAAAACTTGTTTGAACTTAAAATTTCGCAAGCCCTCGTTCTGAAGTTTAGTACGGACCACTGCAATTTGTCTTTTTTTTTTTTTCTCCCCTGCGCCGGAATTTTCCGATTTTCTTAAGATTATTTTTTGCACTTAATACAGGGCTAAAGCAGTTACTCTTTTTTACGCTACAATAGGTGTCGATTTTGATGCTACACATGTTACTAACCGAGCATCACGACGTGCCGTGGAAAGCCATCAGATATCTGACGGGGGAGATTGTGTATGGGGGCCGAGTCACAGACAACTGGGACCAGCGATGCTTGCAGAGTATCCTGGGAAAGTTTTACACTCCTTTGGCCTTACAAGAGAGCTATGGTTACACTGTCGACTATGTAAGCGTGGTTTACTAGATAATTTAAGTCTTTTAGATAACGTCTATATTAGGAGTTCGCGATGAAAATTTACCACGTCTCCCTACTCGTGGAAACATATCAGAGGCCTGGACAATGTAGGCCTGGAGAATGATGAACATTTTGTTTGAAAAGGAATACCTCATATTTGTTTCCACTTTTCATTATTTTTATGACTTAGTTTTTACAGCCTGCGTAGCCGATCTCATTTCAATTTGCCGCTGTCTCCCCCCCCCCCCACCCAAAACTGGAAACAATTCTGCATTCACACGCTTTCTTTTTTTATGAGAAATTTATTAGCCTAATTTTTTTTAAGGCCGTAATTTCCTCCTATTTCCTGATCTGTTAAGGACGTTTTACAAATGGTGTTGGATGAGAATGAGTTAAAGGGCTTGATATTCTATATAGAACTTTAGGGAGTTGAATATCACGTCATGAAGGGACAGGCTTTCTATTAAAATCATAAAAAAGGACCGCGTTTGTTACTTACCGATCCTTCCTTTTGAAAAGTGATGAGAACTGAGGAGGGGAGGGGTGCTGGTTGAACTACAGCTCAACCACTTGAGAATGATATCGTTTCCGATTCATTTTAGGTGTACCGTCCACCTCCCCCTGAAATCTCTTTGTCAGTGTGCTGTGAGTACATTGAAGGTCTACCTGCTGCTGATGCGCCTGAACTCTTCGGAATGGATCAGAATGCAGACACGGCTTTCCTTGCTGGTCGAGGAAGAGCGCTCATAGCTGACCTGTTAGCAGCCCAGCCTCGCCTCACCACGTCCATAGGGTATGACTGAAACATCTTTGTAGCAACCTTTAGCAACCTAAATGAACTTAAAAAGAAATCTGGTGGCGCTTACGCCCTGGCGCGGGCGCAATTACGGACTTTGTTATCATTTTTATTTTTCAATTTCAGGCGCGCACTCATTGGTTATTCAAATGGTTTAAATTTTAATGACGTAATATGTTTGGTCGCGCGTACAAAACGAAGTGGTTTTGGGATTTTTGAGTCGAACTGGACTTGTCTTGTTCCTTCGGTATTTATAGGGTTTTACGGATTTTACGGATTTTGAGGGCTGTCGGGAAAACCCTCAGAACAATCATTTCTTATTTGTATTAAAAAAAAGAATAGAAAAAGGAAAAACTCTCAGAACGAAGAAAGTTGTTGACATTGAGAACGAGAATCTAGTGACTAGTAGAAAGTGTTGTGGTCTATTGATGTAAGGGGATGTATTTTGATCACAGGGGGCTTCCCTATGCTGTTTTTTTGTTTTGCAGCAGCACCTGTCAAGGATGACGCGCTGGTTAGAGCGCTTTGGAAAATTTAAGTTACTGCTTTCTGTAGGCTGTAACTCAAATTACTGAGTTTGAAATTCATCATACCGAAATTAGTTCCTTGTTCATTTTACGGCCGGTGTTTGCCTCTCTGTGCTGTCAATCTAACTTTTATTTCCATTATTTTTTATTCTTAATTTTTACCACAGATCTAACAAAACCAATGACGACACAGTCCTGGATCTTGTGAATGACACATTAAAGTACCTCCCTCCACGAGTGGACTTCAACACCAATGACTTTACCGCTGATCTAATGAACCCAAAGCGCGGATCTATTACTCCAGACCGCCTGAGACAGGTGGCTGAGAAGAAGCTATCCCAGGATCCTTTGGCCGAGCACGCAGATCAGTCCGCATTTGTCACAGTTTTGAGACAGGAAATAAATCGGTTTGACCGATTGTTGGGGATCATTTACACATCACTTTCATCGTTGCGACTGGCCGTTAAAGGGGAAGTGCTCATGTCTGAACAATTAGAGGAGGCGTATGATGCGTTGCTTAGCAACCGTGTTCCAAAGGCTTGGGTGGTTTGTATCATTCATGGAGTGTCTCAACTCTTTAACTCCCAAAACTGATCGACATGTAACTTCTCCCTCTAATATCCATACATTATCCAGCAAACAGGTAATGAGAATACTCAGACTTATCAGGTAGAAGTTGTCATCTTGATCGAAAACCAAATTCTCGTAACTAATTTACAAGGGAACTTAGAGAAGCTAGAGGAGAGAATTTAAAACAATCAGATTTTGGGAGTTAAAGGGTTAAGTATTGTGAAGTACTTGTAGACCATTACTGACTTGAGTTCCATGTTAAACTTTTTTCATTTTACGGTATGTTGCATATTTTTGTTTAGTTTAGGTAGCCAAATCCAAGAATGATAACATTTGACAATAAATTAGTGGTCAGTTTTTATTTAGTAGGCACTGATTCCTAGGCCTGTTGGAGACACTTTACGCCTATGACGTCCAAACTTAAAGGTCTAAGTGCATGTTAACACTAGTTTTATTCATTATAGCAAGCGGCATATGAATCCTGCAAGCCACTGGGAGCATGGGTTGACAATCTTGCCAAAAGGGTGGATTTTTTTAGCTCTTGGTTAGACTTGGTCAGGAATGATAAAAGATCAAAGTCCCGAGTGTCTCGCGAGACTGGCGTTACGCCGACACCAACCACCAGCCAATCATCGATGTCCACGCTCCCGCCACGTGATCATCCGAACGCTTTTTGGTTACCAACCACCAGCCAATCATCGATGTCCACGCTCCCACCACGTGATCATCCGAACGCTTTTTGGTTACCAGCTTTCTTTTTCCCGCAAGGTAAATTATAATTTGTCTGGTTACCGATGTTAGTGAACGAAATAGAGATAAAGATAAAGTAATATTTATCAGCATGATAGTAGACAGTTTCGTTTCTTTTTCTTAAGAAAAATATATATTGCTTCATTTTAGCTGTAAAATATCTCTCCTCTTAATTAACATCATCCTTCTCCGTCATTGCTTCTTGTCCGTCATGTTCCTCCTCGCCCTTCCCTTCTCACCCTCTTATTCTTTCTTCTTCAATTTTTTCTTATCTCCCCCGGCTATTCTTCATCTTCATCCTCATTTCCCCGCACTTTTTTCTCTCTCCAAGGGCGAAGCCGAAGGGGGGGGGTGGTCCTGGGGTGCCCGTGACCCTCCCCCCTCATTTTGGAAGCTTTTTTTTTTGTCACATTAAGTAAAACATTGCGTGGAGGTCGACATGACTATTTGGTGATTACCCTACGTTTGACATAGTGTGACCCTCCCCCCCTTGAAAAATCTTGCCCACGCCCCTGCTCTCATAATTACAAAATTACAGTCACCCCTCTCAGCTATCGCTTCTTTCTCTTTCTCTTTCTCTTCCTCTCTCTTCCTTGCATCCCTAACATTTTCATCTTTTGCGTTTTTGGTGAATTAACTGTCTTTCTCTATTTCTCAGGTTTTCTCACAGCTGTATTACAGACACATGCCCGACAGCGTAACCTCCCAGTTGACTCGTTAAGCTTCTGCTACCAAGTGCTGAATGACAAATGGACGAATGATGAACTAGTTCATAGTGAAAGCGACGTCGATTTCAAGAGAGTCGCTTTTCAGGTGAGATATATCAGGGGAGCGACATGCACAGAGTATTCTTGAGGTTACTTTTTTTTATACTTGTTTAGACTCAAAATCGGGAGGTGCCTCGCCCGGTGCAATAAACGGGAGCATGTGGAACTTTTGTTGATTAATGCACGGCATTTCGTAAAATTGCTGCTGAAAAGCCGTTCGTTCTAATGGTAGAATACTACAGGGTATCCGCCACAGACTTAAATTTCCTTGTTCAGAGAAATTTGCAATACTATATCAAAGTAATAATCAGTAACCTTGAGTAGAATAGTCACGTAAAAGGGTTTTTTTTTCAACAAACTCGAATACGAAAAATTCTGGTCGACCTACCTGAGAATTTCACATATATTGAGATCAGAAAAATATCTTTCAAATCTTAGTGTAGCACTACAACATAACCATAGCAGACTATATCTTTAGAAGTCTTTACATAACTTTTTTTTTTAATTAATAATGTCTCTCTAAACCAATAGAACCACTTTTTTCTTAGGGTGCTCCTACGGACGAAGGCTCTCTTGTTTTTGGACTTTATCTGGATGGAGCATCATGGGATTTCAAGCGAGGATGCTTGCAAGAATCCCTTCCTGGCCAGCGGTTTTACCCTCTTCCCGAACTGCTCGTCATTCCTGTACAGGTAAGCAAGCATTTCACTGTGAGCATCTTACTGCAGAAGCGTTACCCTTAAAGAAGGAACTCGAGCGTTTGCGCGTTCAAGTTATACCAAAAGTATAGCATAATGATTTTTCATCTTTTACACTTTCAGCAAAACCCATCAACAACACCTGATGGAAAAGGTAAAGAGGATACAGAGGAAGAGCTTAACACGTACGAATGTCCGTTGTACAGAACATCTCTTCGTGCCAGCTCCCTCACGTCCACTGGTCACCCTACTAACTTTGTCACGTCCGTAAATCTGCAGTCTATTCAGCCAGCGGACTATTGGATTACCCGTGGCGTGGCTCTTCTCTGTCAACTGGACGAATGACGTCACTGTTTTCCAATGCGGTGTGAATTTCGTGAAATTATGAATTGAAAAGTTTTCAAATAAGTTGTTGAAGAACATTTTCTGGTTTTGAAGTCAATCCATAGCTGAAATGCTTTAGGTCACGAGTCTTTTCAACGATTCTTTTCAATTTTAGTTGCCACTAGGTTTTTTGCAGATGTTTATTTAAGATTAAACTGGAATCGAAGGTTCTTATCCCAAAATACCAAATATCGCCTTCCATCCTACTTCATTTGTCTCTTATTTTCGAGGGACATTCATTCATTCAATACTAATGGAATAACACCTCTGGCCCCGGTTGTTTGAAGGATTGATAACGCCATTCACTGGATATAATTCTATCCGTTGTGTAGTGCGGTACGTTTTGTTAGTGATTCCTGCCCTTCGAACAATGGGGCCCTGTTCTTTTAAACACATTCAAACCTGTTAAAAAACACCAAAGTTCGCATCGCACAAAGGTGTTTACTCGTGGACGGGTTTTGAGGCTTGAAGAGTGAGACATTCGTAGAACCCCAGCTATTTAACTGCTCCTATGTACATTTTAAGGTTTTATTTTCGTTACTTTGAGCCATAAAACGCACTAGTTACCGCCTCTCTATTTAAAACACACTCGTTGCCTCTGTGTTGTGAACCTCTTTTGAAAAGAAATTGTGAAAAGAAAAGTAGAATGTACGGCAAACTGTACAGTACCCTTAAGTTAAAACGTGTGCAGGTTTTTATGGTTTTACTGTAAATAAAGTTATTTTTTTATCATTAAACTGTTTCTAAATATAAATGGTGTTTTTGTTATGTCCAGGTTTATTGACTGGTTCCACGAAGGGAAAGGGGGGTGGTGGCAGTGAATGCTAACGATCAGGGGGGTGGTGGTGAGGATAAGAATTTTAACTACAGAGATAAACTCTTCGGGTGTGATGGAAATTTGAAAAGATTATCTGTGAGTCGAGAGGGTGTGGGATCAGATTACCCTACGGAATAAGCATTGCTGAATTATAGGCATATCGTAGCAGACCATTATAAACAATGAAAAAAAGTAAAGAAATTGAAGTTCAACCTTTCACACTCAAACATCAGTATACAAGTACTCCTTACTGTTCTCAATACATTTCCTATGGTGCTCACAAAGATAATTTGTCTAACAATCAAGAGCGTCTGTTACAACAAATTCAGGGCCAGCGGTTTACCTGCCGACTAGGCTTCAGTCCCCGCGCCCGTACATATATATTTAAATTTTCGTGCGAAAAAGAACAGAATGTTATTCAATTTGTCGTCCTTTTATCGTTTCTTTGTGACATTTCGTTTACTCCCTTTATCCAAACCGTCAGAAACTGTTGCGAACACACTGCTTTCGAATAAATTGTACGGGTACGAGTAACTATCTGGAAATTTACCGGTGCGTTCGCTACAGCGTCATTTTGATTCGGGATTGATTCGGTGGGGAGAAATTGGATGCCAATCACTCCTGGGGGTGAGGGTTATTGATCTTCGCTGTTTGCCAGAGAACAAATCGGAACACGCGAAAAAGAGCGGTGCATCAGTGAGTCATATTCCTTACGGCTTGCTTTGTATTTTACGATTCCTTCGTAGGTTTCTTCTTCATTTAGGTTTTTGTAATTTCAAAGTGAGGCTTTATTTTTTTAATTTCTAGTATAAATTTATGACATTTTATTTAAGTTCCAGCAGTTACCACACCGTGTACACCGGTGTATTTGTTAAATCAATTTTGTTAGTTTCGTAGCACATTTCAATTGTTGTTAATTCATTCCTCTTTTCAGGTGCAAATTCGTCGCACACAATGCTTTTCTTTCCTTCTTATTCTTGATTACCCAACTGCACGTGAAAACAAAATTCTTTGACAAATCTGTGACGTATCAGGCGCTTGTTGGTTGACGTTGTTCATCCATATTCATCAGAAACTCAAGAATTTTCAGAAAACCATGCTGTCCGCCGGAGAGTGAGGACAGTGTGTGTAAATTTTTTGGCCGTTTTACGACTTACCTTTATCCCCATTGAGACACTCTAAGAAATTTCTCAGAAAGTCCTTGAATCAGGCATTAGGTTTTAAGATGTTACGTATTTATTTCACTCTTTAAGGAAGGACTGTTTGATTTTTTGCCGATAAAGTTGTCAGGGGGAACTCTGTGCAAATTCCTCCAAATTTTCCCGCCAAAAGTCTTAGTGTATATATACGAAAACTTTTTTTCGAAACTTAATTAAATAATTTACTTAGAACTATACACTTTAAAACAAATAGAATTATTTGTAGTGTGAAACACGTGTGATTTATCGAATAGATAACAAGAGACAATAAAAGATTATGCAAGAAACTGTCGAATATTTTATTGATGGATTTTAGTAATGGTAATACAAGAAGACAACAGATGGAAAGTAGTAATTTTATTTAAAAAAAAACGGCGCATGTGTATTTTGAGCACCGTATTTTTCTAAGTTTTTTGGCGGGAAAATTCGACGCATTTGAACAGATATTACTTACAGAACCAGTAATGAAAAAATTGGAACATGCGTACTTCTTTCTTGGCGGGAAAATTGCAATTTTTTTTAACAACCTTGAACATAATTTTAAACTGTCCTACAAAATCGCAAAATATCATTTGTTTGTCTTTTAGTCCTTTAGTCCTCTCGGTGAGCGCTTGTAATTTCTCTGAGAGCATGTCGAAATTCAACTGATACTTTAACAAGTTTAACTTCTACTGATCTTATGAACTAAAAATACTTTGCTCCTGTTCAAATTTCTCAACCAGAAAAAGCCAGGGAAGTGAAAAAACCCATTAAACAAAACAACAACAAACAGACAACTATTCCTGCGAGTTTCTGTTCGCACTGAATAAACGCACGGATGTAACTCATGGTGTGAAAAGAATGGTGATTGTTTTCAAAAAATAAAAAATCGAATCCCCGAGGAGTGTCTTTTAAGAATGAAAGACAATTAACCCTTCAACTCCCAAGATCTCATTGGTAATTCTCCTTACTGTCTGCCAAACGATTCTCATCATGTTAGTTTGGAGAATTTGGTATCGGATCAATTAGTAATCTCATAATTGATATTTTTCTTAATTCTCATCACTTGTCTGCATGATAATCTATAGATATAGTAGGGAGAAATTTTGTCTTGGTCACTCACGGGAGCTAAAGGGTTAATGAAAGGCTGCAAACTACTCTTGTAACAACACGTATTTTTCAAATAATACTCTGGTAAACAATACTAGTGATATTTGCTCGTGTAAAGATTTCAGCTGATGAAAAGTGAAGCGAGAAAAGTGAAATAGTCTTACATATAAAATTAAGTTCTCAATTCTTTTGAAAAAACTCTATCGTTGCGAAGATCTTTAAACCAATAGTATTTTTTTTTTTCAATCTTTGGGTCATACAACAGCTACTTAATGAGATATGATATCGAACCCCTGAAATTTGATCAAGGGAACAGGGTACAGTTTATTAACGCACAGGGGTTTGCGTGCGTGGGAAGCGAACGCAAATGGAAATGCAAGTGCAAATTTTAAATTCCTTTTCGTTAACGCTTACGTTTGCATTTGGATTTGCGTTAGGGTTAGTCACTCGTGTGTTTCCTTGCATTTGTATTTGCGTTCTGTATTTGCATCAGATGTGTGAGCCATTTTTTCCAGTACATGTACTCAGGCGAATAAGGCCAAATAAATGCTGTAAACAAACCGAAAAGTTTTCAAAAGTTTGTCTTCATCACTCAAACCTATCAGTTTCTTTAGAAAATGGGATAAAAAAATCTGTTTCACAAATATCACAGGAAAGTAAACTGAAAACCAAAGACTAAGTTCCTTTAAGATTTAAACTGAATACCTAAACAAGTAGAATCGATAGCCCTTATTCCAGATCCGCGTGCGTGGTCTGATTGGACGGCGGTTTCCTATATATATATTAGTATATGCGAAAGCGAGGCTATCGCGTTTAGCTCCCAAGAATATTACCAGTAGAAGTATACAAAATTTTTACAAGCTGTGAAATTTAAGGTATGACATCATGTTAAGACACTGCATAGCTTTTGGTTTTTACGAGCCTAGGTTCGTAGGAAGATTGTTGTTATCTGAGAATTGAAAATAATTTCTGCAAATAAGCGAAGGGAGGAAGACTAATCTTTTGAGCATACTTATAGAATTTGTTTTTAGCCTTGAGAGGTCAGTTATTTAGCTAGTAGGCTTCAAATTATTACATTGAATTAAATCAAAGTGCTCTGTGAGCAAACTCGTGAATTGACAATTGATTTTTTAGACTATGTTTAATGTTATCTGGTTTGGGGAATTTTGTGGTTGATTGTCATATCTAGAGTACGAGCAGTAGTTCAGTGTTCGCTAATGTAGCAAAGAAACAAAGTAACGTTGGGATAAGAAGGCATTACAATTGATATGATCATGCTAGTACATTTGACAAGGTGGATGATGTCATGTGTTTTAAACGTCTATCATTTTTGTTTCTGGTTCAAAACAAAAGGTTGGAAGTAAATGTGGGTGAAAAGTGAAATTTACTGTCTTTCGTTGTAAATATTAGAAAATCAAGGCAATACTGTCTTAATGAAAACATTAACGATTCCCTCTTTATCAAATGAGACAAACGGGAACGAGTTTTTAGTGATACAAATGAGCCAAGCCTGCCACCGTCATTTTGGATCTCCGCCTGGGTAGATTTAAGTCACGTGCTAGGCAACGTATAATCAATAACAAGATAGAATTTCATTTCAGGCCTATTTATCTATTTTGTGGTGTGTAACTTTCGCATTTTAGTACGTTGTATGTATGTTGAATCTTCAAATTGTCTTGAAACTGAAAAGAAAATTGTTCTTTAAAAATTCACTGAAAATCGGTAGCTCAAATTGTTTGTTTAGGTGTTATTTGATTTTCGTGTTAACTTGTTATTTCGTCAGTCGCCGGCACTTCTGTTGCTTCACACAGGAAAAACACACGCGACGAAACGTAATGATTAATTTTGTCCTAAATCTCACGCCATAACAGAAAAAGCTTTTGAACATCTGTAAACTCGGAGCGCTTCGCAGTAAGTGACATTTTCAATGAATCTCCGGATTGTTTTCAAGTTCAAGGATTGTAAATTACAATTTTATGAAAAACGAAGGTTGTTCTGTTATTTCAGTGTGAATCCTTGCATGCCTGCCAGTCGCTGGCGCCGCTTGTTGAAACTAAAACGAAAAAAAAAACTCTTTTAAGATTATCATTGGCTTCTTTTTCACCCCACCACTATTCTTAGCAACAAAGGTCGCCATTTCGTCTGTTTATTGCTCGCCAAAAACTATCAAATGCACTCAAAAGCCTAAAATCTAAAAAAAGTTTACAGGAATCGACCAATCGAGCGAGCGAATGGCATTCCCCACATCGTATCTATAACTCGCTCTTGCGCATGCGCGCAATTCACGAGTTAAAAAGGGGTTCGTTACTAGTTGATAGTAAACTGCCAAAGTATTTTGAGGAGCAAACAACTTTGGCTTAAATTCATCGAATTTGGTTAGAGCTTCAAGAGCCTATTAGTTGATACATTTTGAAAGAAAAATAAGAAACAATATTTATGTTTGGAAGCATACTCTTTCAGTCTAGTTTCAGCCACGAGGATTTATCATTTACCATTTGACAATTAGGCTCCTAGCGTTTTTTTTTATAAGTAAAGAAGCTCTAATTTTGAAAATGATACCGTCAAAGAGCTCAACATACCAGGTACAGATATTAAGGAAAAGAATTAGAACTACTGATGTTACGAGCTTACGTAATCTGGTTCCAGCCTCAAGAGCCAGACCTCACAATTTAAAATCAGTGATTAAGTTTTTCTATTTGGTAAAAAATTACCAGAATCTAAATTTTGTCGGAAATCTGAAAACCGATTTGCAGAAAAAAAAATTTTGTCGAGATAGGCGAGTACTTCTTATTGTGAACGATAAAGAATCATTGTCGAGGAAGATAAATCCATGAAACAGTTAAGCCACTACATCGTGAAAAGAAATTCACACGTCCTTAATTGAACGCAGGTAACACGAAATTTATTCAAACGTCTCGGAAAATATTTCAAAGCAAAAAGCAAAGATCACAAAGCTCTCTTAGATTTAGGCACTTAAACTTGAAACTACATGGGTAAACCCGTTGATACAGTAAATTGAAGTCAAAAGGATTGTCGTCACACCAGCAACAATGCCCAAGGATTTCTCTTAATAAAATTTTACCGGCAACAAATGAAGAGCAACAATATTGCGTCCTTACTTCATCAGTGCTGCGAGTTACTGCCAGTCAATTTAATCGAACAAAAGATCGAATAAATCAACTGTGAATAAAATAGACGAGTTTTTTTTTTTGTAAGTTGGTTGTTGGCATGTTTATTGTTTTTTTTATTGGTTTTGAATTGTAATCATTCACAGAGTAAAGTTTAGGTATTAGCCTATATGAGTTGAATTCGTAACAAAGCTGAAAAACCAACCTTGTTAATTTAATGGTGTCCTTTCCACTTTCCTCTCTTGTATGTCTTGATCTCCAAATGTTTTCATTTTATGCTTGGTGCTGTCATAACAACAACAAAATACGATGGGAATACATTTACACCGATCTCTAGATAAGTACTGATGAAAATAAATAAGAATCAGTATTTAGAGAGCGAAAGAAAAACTTGTTTGGAGATCTAGGATTGGCGACATTTGTTGAATCGAGGAATTAACAGCCGGTTTGCTAGAAAACAAAAAATGCTATAATGAATGAGGTCATGAAAGCTACCAGTCTAAAGTAGAGAGAAACTTTTCCTTTCAAAAAACATTCTTTACGTCAAAAATTTCTGACAATCAGCGTGTATATTCTCTGGCGAATGTGAGAAAATCATTTTCCATAAAAGCGTTTTTAACAAATTCAATATTAACGTAGTATAGGCGTAAAAATCTCTACATGGTATAAAATTAGGTAAAGAAATGAAAAAAAAATTTGAATAAGTAAATGGGTGATCTACAAACTAACACTGACTAAAGTATCGATTCTATGCCTCTGCCCTAAAAGTCACATGGTTTAATAACAACTGTCATGGCGGCCTTTCTGAATACGTATTTGTCTTTCAAATACACCGTACAAAGTTTAACATACTGTTCCTTTTACATTCAACTTTACAACTTGATTTTAAAAGAAAATAACGATAAAACGATTACTGTTTTTTATTTACGTTATTTACCTTGAGAAATGTCGTAACAAAATGGCTTCGATCAATCCATCCCGTGTCGAATTGAACCGCTCGATTCAGCAACTTCGAAGAAGCCAGCGTCGGGCGCGTCTGACAGAACAGATGATATTCAAGATGACAGGGTTGAAATGACGTGTTCCATGGCCCAAGAATGGCTGAAAAAGAACTCGAGCCTTCTTGTACTTCGAGAGTTCTTTCCACGTGTAAGAGTGATTTCTAAACTTGAATATTAATTCAAAGAGTTACTTGTAATTCAAATGAGTTTCCAACAATGAAGGGCGGGCTGAAATTCATTAAGAGGGTCTTTGGTTTTTTTCGATTTAAACCTCAGCAAAATTCAGTAATGAGGTGAAAACATCGTTGAAATTGTTGAAAAACTAACTCGATCTCGGATAAAGTTGAACTTAAAAGAAAAATTTCCCACGAGAATCACTTTTCCATCATTTCATAACAGCTTACCCGATCATCTCGTTATATCTCAGTCGGATGTTTCTTTCGCTGTAAAAAATAATTACTGTTCTCTGTTCATTTCCCAAGGTGCTGAAAAGGAGAATTTGCGTGACAATCAAGAATTTCTTTGGTTGCTGATCATTTTCTCTATTCTTATAACATTCATGTTTGATTCAGGGGTGATGTTGTAGGAGAAATAAGCTGCTTATCACTCTTAGGGATCAAGGTAGTAAATAAATTGATAGAGAGGTCACCCCACACATCGTTCTTTGCTGTGGTCCTTGGTGGCGTACAAGGTAAGAGGTTACAGAAAACCTCCATTGATGGAACAAGTCGTCTTTAAGTTATCAAGGGCGTGAAAAATCGAAACAGATAGGTGAAGATTCGTGCGCCAATCGTGTGATGCTTTATGATTTACAACACTATCCGTATAATCCCGCTCCTTTCATACTTTGGCAAGTAAAAAAACCCACCCGATTCAAAAATGGCGTATACCAGAAATTCAGACATGAACAGTGCTTGTATTTTCTTTCCAGCTTCTACACATTTTGAATCTTATTTCCCGACAGTTCCATCGAATCTTCACAACATGAGATATTTTCTTTAGCTCGAAGACAAATTGTTTCCCCAGTGAAGGCTTCCTACACGACAAACAAACCCCTTTGCAGCTTTGCGCACCGTATAGTGACCGTTCAATTTTTTTGGAATTCAAAACAGACTTCATTATCGAGTAGGTTTTCCCTTTTATTATCTAATAGTAAAAAAATACGTTATTTACATTTAAATATTTTAAAATCTACATTTAAATAGAAATATCTGACACATGATTTATAAAAAATTTAGTTCTAATGAAAATAGGTGTAGCAGTTTAAAAATGCATTCTTCACAACTGGTGATTCTAAACACTTCAGAAAGTGCTAATTCCTACTTTAAAAAATTGATTTCTATGTGTCTTTAAAAAATTGATTTTTTATCATGTGTCACTTTTTCCTCTTGAAAATGTTCCCCAAAACTCCTTTCCTTTTTTCGTTCTTTTTGTCGTCAGGCGGACTCTCCACGCTGTGTACCGTTGACCGTAAAGGGCTGGGAATGTCTTGGGCATGCCCATTATCTGATGACCGCTGTCCATGCAGATGAGTTCTGTCAAAAATGGGTTTAGGTTTGACGAGAGGTTTTGGACCTTTTTGCAGCGAGTCATTAGAGTCTGATCGCGTGCGCCCCTCCGGCTTAGGTGCCACTGGGGGAGGGGTCGGTCTTGTCTTCTCCTTGGGAGATGCAGCAGAGTGATGCATTAATGAAGGTTTGTAAGCAGGAGAGGAATCTTCAAAGTCGTTATCAAAAGCATTCTCATCGTCAGAAAGAAACTCTGGTGGAGGTGATGTCGGTAAAACAGGAAGCTCGTCATCGGAGGGGCCGTCAAAGTCAGCAAAATCCGGGGGAGGAACGGTTGGGGGATCATCCGGCTCTAATGGAAGGCTCTCTAAATCCTCTACGAGGTAAAGTTTATCTTTGAGATCGCCGCCCACAGGTACACCAATGTTGGAAAAGTCTGAAGGAATAGAGGGAGGGAGGATACTAACAGGGGGAGGGGGTGGGGGATCTATGAGGACGTCCTCGTCGTCATCAAAGCTCGTAACGGTGATTAATGGTTTATAAGTTCGACCGTAAGGCTGTGTTCGCTTCGGGGATTCCGGGCTTTCCTCGCCTTTGGTTCGTGGTGGAGACTTTAGACTTACTGGCCGTGCACCTTGAGGTGGCGGAGGAGGACTGGGTAGGTCCGTTTGGCCAGCCGCTTCGCTAATGCATCGGAGCCAGCGCTTAAGATCGGAAGGATCTTTCGCTATAAAGAGATAGTCAGAGTCGTCATCACAGAGGACTCTAAAAGCGTTCCTCCTTCTTGCAGCATCGCTAGCTTCCTCGCAGAAGCCATCTTTCACGTCAATGGGAGGGACAGCATAGTTTGAACTCTGCGCGTCCTTCTTTTCGCGATAGAAGAAAAGTTGGTGACCGCGAAGTACAGTGTACAGCGTCTTCCATGCACGTAACGGCGACTTTTTCGCACCCGGTTCAAATTCCTGTTTGCGCTGCAAGATTCCCTCAATAACTGATGTTGAGGAAGCCTGGCGCTCATCTTTTGGACTACCAATCTGACTTGGCTGTTTGTAGTTTTGATTTTTATCGAATCGATCACGTGCATTCCTATGTTCACCTTGCGTCCTTTGTTCCTCAGGAATCACGCGCTGTCTTTGCGCTTCTTTCTTCCTTTTCTCGTCCATTTTCGCTGTTTCCTCAGCCCTCTTTCTATCCTCCAAAGCCCGTAATTTTTCTCTTTCCTCCCGTTGTTTCCTTTCTTTTTCTTTCCGATCATTTTCCTCTTTTCGCCTCAATTCTTCCTGTCTTTTCTTTTCCCTCAACTCCTGTTCTATCCTTTCTTCTTCCTCTTCCTTCTTCCGTCTCTCTCTTTCCTTCCTCATCTCATTTTCTTCTTCCTTCTGTTTATGGATTCCTTGTTCCTGTGGAGTCAGTTTTATAATTCCCAACAACTTCATCTCCTGCGCTAGTACCATGTTCTCAAACTCCTCGTGTTTCTTTATCAATTCCTCCACAGCATCCAACGAGTCGCCCACGTCACCGGACTCCTGATCAAGGTCACGTGCATTAAGCCACGCCTCTAATTGGTCAGCATCTCGTTTGAAGACCTGCACTTCTTTACTTCGTTCTAATTCTGTGCCCTTCTCCTGCCATGTGTTTTGCAACGCCAACCACTCTTTATAAAGTCGCTGCTTCTTTTCCTTAACGTCTGCAGACGCAGAATGACCATCGGCGATGAGAGTATCAGCGGCTTCAAAGAATTCATTGACACTCTTTTGCCGCGTGTCTATTTCGGCCTTGTGCTCCTGGTGACGAGCCAGAAAGTTTTCTGCGCTTGTGACGTCATCAGGCTGTTCGTCGTCTTTGAGGACAGATGACATGTGGTTGATCCACGACCTAGGAAGATAAAACGTTTCCTCTAAGAAAATGGGTTTCGATCTTTCTAACAAACTCGTTTATTTCAATAACTTACGGATCAACGACCACTTAAAAAGTGAACAGTCGTAAGAAATAGCTTCCTGTTTGTGCTACAACTGAAACCAGGGATGGAGAGTGTTTTCCTATTTTACAAAGCAACCTACAAAAATGATCAACATTGTTTCCAGAGTCTCTCTCATTCCCGCCAATGGAGCGATAGGGAGAGACTGGAAACGAGAACGAACAATGGCCTAATTTCTCTGTGACAGAGTAAAACATCCTTCAAGGCTCCCACCGAAAGTGTTGTATGTTCGTGAAAACGTTTAATCCCTTCAGTTGGTCACCTTGCCCTATCAACCCCACAGCAAAAAAAGGGACGTAAACAATTTAATTGAGCAAACTAGAAAGTACACTTACATAAGATCTCTGAAGTCATTTAAAAACTTCTGCAGCTCCTCAGATTGGGTCAAGTTGGATTTTTTACTGCTGGCTTTCTCCTGTAAGCGACGCCATGATGACACCACCTCGTCCCTTTGTTCTGTAAGATGTTCCTGACCCTCAGGGAACTTTAAAGCGAGGTCCTCTGCTTCGTTTGCGATTGATTGCACTTTTTCTCCAAGGGCCTTCAGATCCAACTGTAAAGGAATACATAACCTAAGTCCAGAGTGATGATATCGGGTATGGTGATGTCACGAGTGTCACGCCATATTTTACATGCTACGTCACGTTATTTAGGGTGCTCGCCCCATAACCCCCAACGGCATAACGTTTTGAGTTTCAGTTTTAATTTTCTTCATTTATTTCTTCGAACATCATTGACATTGACCATAAATCAAAATAAGCCCACCATTCAACAAAGTTTGCTTAGCAAAAAACAACAACAACAAAAAGGGAAGGGCATTTGTATTATTAATTTATCATTAAAACTAGCTAATATTTTAAAATTAAAGAATTACTCACTTGGAAGCCTTGATGCTTCCTTTGCAAGGCCTGGACACCACTCAGATCACGTGCCCCATCGTCAAAGAACATAAGAGCCGCCTCTTTCTCTTGGATCCAGGCCCTTGTATCTTCCACATTTCGATTAAAGGCGTGGATTTCTCTCGCTCGGTCCAGTGCTTCAAGGCGCGCGTTGGTTCTCTCTTTCAATGTGTCCCACATAGAACAAACCTCCTCCATACGATTCTCTATTGCCTGAAGAAGAGAATAAACAATTCAGACCTACCTCACTCGTTGATTTGAATAGATTTCTTTGTTATGCTCTGTATATTAATATTATCTTGGTAATCAGTATTGAGCACAGCTTCCTCAAATTACGAGTATAGAGGAAATTACTTTTGAGACACTTCTATTCAAGGTCACGAAATTTAGTGTAAAGGGCTTCCCTTCAAAGGAAGTTCCACACTGTTGTGGACGGACAGACTAAGAGAACAAGCATAGCCTGGTCCGATTTATACTTAAACAATGTAAGAGGATTTTATCCGTGTTTACATAGTCTAAACTAAACAAGAAGGGAATTATGGAAATTTGAGAAAGCTACGAAAACCTCAGAGGCAGTCGCAAAAATACCCCCTCCTCGAGAGGTGAGATGGTGCTCCGTTAACATGGAATTATTGTTTTCATAAAAATAGTCCTCAAAAAAACGTTAAAATCTCAGATACAACTGACATATCTACATACTCTTATTTCAAAACAGCCATCGACCATAAAGATCATGCGTAAGAAATGGAGAAAAGGCATAAAAATGATGAGGAATTTATATAAATTAGTACATTTTCAGGAAGCCATACCCAAATACAAACAAAAAGCCCAACATTACTTACTTCTCCTTCGCTGTGACCCTCATCCAGAAGAGTTTGCGCTTGCGTGGTAAGACTAGCAATCCTCTCGCCAGAAGTCACCAAGTCACGCGTGAAGTCTTCAAACTTCTTGAGCAGAGTTTCTACATGCTCAATATCGCGACCGTAGTCATCCGACATGGCAATCGATTCCTTGTCAGCAATCCACGACTCAACTTCGTCGGCTTCCCGGAAAAAGTTGAACAGCTGGTTGGAATCTAACAAACGCTGGCGACGATACGAGGATTTTTCGCTCAGTTGTTCAAAACGAGTCTCCATCTCCGACTAAGGAAGAAAAGAAAGACAATTACGCCCTTTGATTCCATGGAGCGATCGTAACACCGCTTAAGAACAACCGATAACGGGTTAGGAGAATTAAGACGGTTAGCAACTGTAGCTTGGAGAAATTTTCCAATAAGTGTGTAAACCATTCTCGGATTACATAAATTTAACTTTACCTCGGTCACCAATTGTTCAGAAAACTCGCTCCATTTTCTCAACCAATCAGATGCAAAATCGATAATAATCGCGACTTGCTCACTCGCGGTTTTTCACGCTTCAGGAAGCCTGAGTTAACTATGAAAATGTAAGCCTGGCCTACCCTTTGATACGTTAAAAGGATGGCACGTCTGCCTGGGCAATTCATAGAGCAGAAGTAGAATAAAATGAATTCAATCCCATATTTTGTCTAAGCTCACTTAGTTATAAACGTTACAAGTCGTTTCTTATTACCTGGCGTCTTTGAATCTTTTCAGCGTCGAAATTCCCAGCTGTTACAAGCACCTGGCACGTGTTTCTGAGATCACCGACTTTTGCCCTATAACTGTCTAATTCCAGTTCCAGAGTCTCATGTTTACGCAGCAGGGACTGGGCCATAGTTTCGTCCCGGCCATAGTCATCGCTGGAGACTCGTGGCAACTTTTCTCGAATCCAGGTCTCCACCTCAGTAACTTCCGTGTAGAACTGAGGAAATGAAGGTAACACCAGTGTTACAAGACGAAATATATGAAGACAAAGGGCGTGTTTTTTCAAGAAAAAAATATTCAAAGTCGGACGAGAATCTTCAAGAATGTAACATGTTCCATGAAAGGACCATCTTCGATTACAACATTACGATGACTCTGACACTGTATAAAGACTGATTCTTTTAAACACCTGCAAAAGGATGAGTATTGATATGCCGCTAACAATTCAAAAATAACAAATAGTTCGCCGTACTAATGTTGGAGCTACATATAAATAAATGTAAAAACTTAGGGCCCGTTATTTACGCAAAGTCTAACCCAAACCACGGTTTTACGAAGTCAGTGGGCTTCAGGGATTCTTTGATTTCGAAGCTTTCGCCTTCTTTACACTGTTCACCGAAAAAAATTATGGTTGCTCTGGAACGGCTAAACTTGGTTTAAATAATCGGAGAAGTGACAAGTGGTAACTTTATCAGAGCGAAAAAAAAGTTATGGTTGCAAAAATCGTTACGGCCTTCTCGTTTCAAGGTTTCAGATTCTATTTCTGACCTGCTGAGCCTTGAGGGATTCCTGCAGATTCTGATGACGTGTTGCTGACAAACTCGTCAGCTCGGCCCATTTTTCTTGCAAGTCAGCACATCGAGCCTCGATCTCGTCGGAAGCATAATGCTCACGCTCAATGAGTTGGTCAGCGGTAGACATAACGGTATTTATCAGCTGTTCATGCGCTGTGATCTCCGAGTCCACTGTCTCTTGTTTCTTAACAAGATTTTGAACTCCTGCAGATAAAACATGTTTTTGAATTTTATTTGTGATTTATAGAAAAGAGAGAAGAAATATTCTTTTCTTTGGCATGTTCTAGTTTTTCATACCGATGAGGGTGCGCCCTAAGTCATCTGACTTGACCAGCGGTTCCTCATCTCGTATCCAGGCCAGCTCTTCTTCCACATTAGAGAGGAACTGCTGAAGAGCGAGTGAATCTTGCAGTTTGTTTCTTCGTGCTTCAGCTGGCTCAGAAAGGCACTTAAATCTAAAATAAAACAAAAGAACACTTAACAAACTTCATACCAGTGTTTATATTCTCAAATGAGCAGTGCCTTCATCTTCAAAAGTATTCGTACAATGCTATAACGTTTCCTCGATTAAAACTCTGGTTTTCTGAGTTCTTTTCTCAATAAAAGCTGAAATAAGGAGTGTCAGTCGATCGCGTGGAGCCAGTGATCATTCAGGTGAGTGTATTCCCAACATCAGAGTCAGTGAAAGTGTTGTCTTTTATTGGCTAAATGTCTTAAGTCTGGTCTATAATGACCGACTGGTCGTTTTTTACGGATGAGGGCTACTCAAGTCTTCGGCCGATAACAACACTGCAAAACTAAAAGTGTTTACAATAATTTTCACGGAACAGATATTTGACTGAAAAGACAATTCCCCGCTTGACTCCAAAGATGACTTCAGCTCAAGTTGTCGAAACGTCAGTAACTGTCACTGAGTACTTTTCAGAACCACTCTCACCTAGACCATCACCAAACTGGATGGAATGTTTCGAGGAGAGCTCAGGTTAGATCAAAGATACTGATTTCATTTTTCTCTTTCAACAAAGGATTACCTTTCTGCCACCGCTTTCGCTCTGTCTTCAATTTCATCCTTCTCAAAATGATCTGCCTCAACAAACTCTATCGCTTGACTCAGTATCTCATTCACTCTCTCCTCTCGAGATGTAATGTCTGCTTCGAGCAACTGATGCTTCTTGATGAGATTGTTAGCACTTTTCACGTCTTTACCGAAATCTTTTGATGCCAAAGTATTTTCGACTTCGTAAATCCACGTTTCCAAGTCTCCAACGTTCTTCTCAAACGTTTGCCTTTGAATCGCTTCCTTTAACCGCTGACCTTTACTGCTCGACATGTCACCCAAAAGCTTCCACAACTCTTTGACATCTTTAAGCCTCGTTTCCACTGTTTCACGTGATTGGGGAGTGGATTCCGACAGAGTCTGTCCAGCGCGAAGCACATTGTCAAGCTGACCTTTGTTAGCAGCTAACTCGGCTTCAAAAGTTTGATGTTTTTGTTGTTTTTGAAGTAGGTTAGATGTTTCTCTGTACGATGCCTCGGAAGCTGTTTGTAGTTTCTCGTTCATCCACGATTCAATCTGTTACAAGAAAGCGAAATTCGACATGACTGATCCTAGCAATATGCAGGATGCGCGTTACATGCGTGTCACGCGTGAACCTCGTAATTCAATGTAATACATGCACGACATAGACGCGCATCATGGCAATGTAAAGCTGGTCCCTCGCGCAGTTGAAATAGCTGAGCTAAACTAGCTACATTTATAATAACGATATTCAGTCTCTTTCCACAATAGCCCATTTCCGAATCACCTCGGCCTCATTTTCAAAGCGAGTCCTGGTGCTCATCCTTTCATATGATTATAAGTTTTCATTCGCATGCAAATTAAACTCGTATTCATACGAGCGGTCGAGCAGCAGGCCTCGTTTCGAAAAGGAGGCCAAAGGTAATTTAGAAATGGCCTCTACAATTAGTATAGGTAATAACATGATTTCTCTTGCGATTTGGGGCTAATAAACACGAAAAACAAATTTTCGAAGACAACAAAATTGCACCAGTCTGTAGGTCGAGTGCAATTTGTGGTTTTTGAAAAGTTTCGCAAGTGCTTATTTACACCAAATTGCACGCGAAATCATGTTGTTACTCGTTAATAATTTACATAAAAAACGCATCACAGAAAGTCAAGACAAAATATTTTGGCAGCGCGCGCGCTATTTGCAATTTGCACTCGTTTTACATGAAAAATGCACTAGTTTTCAGTCAATCAAAATCGCGAAATTTTTTCGTTAATACTATTACACTGTTGTTAAACTGAAAAAGTAAAACGTACAGACTACCATTGTTTCTCACCTCCTCAGCATCCCTAAGGAACTGAAACAGCTTCCTTGATTCACCAAGATTTCCAATCTTTGCAGTGGCCAGCGTTTTCAGTCGTTCCCAGTTTTCCAACACTTCTCTGCATCTTTTGCTAATTAGGCCCGAGTCCACGTGGTCCTTCTGTATGAGCTGGTCAGCGGATTGTTGTATAGCTTTGATCTTCTCTTCGTAGGCTGTCAGTGATTTTTCGAAGTTATGCTGATTCTTAAGCAGTGTTTCCACTGTGTCCAAGCTGTCGCTTGATTCGTCTGCCTGCAAAAACGCTTCTTTTGTTGAAATCCATGTGTCGGCCTGATCCGCGTCCCGTAGAAACAGCTAGAAAGACAATGGTAAGTGTTAGAGCGCGTTTTGAGGCCAAAAACGTAACTCTGATCACAGGTTTAAACCATTTCAATGAAGCCTCTAAATTGCAGCTAGCAACAAATGTGTGTGTGTTTTTTTAATATACCTTGTAGCCAATCAGTCTTTAGACGTTTGGACTTCATATGGACTTTTTTCTTCTTTAAGGACTGAAAATTTCCGGGATATTTTCGACTTAAAAAGATTTGTATATGGTATCTACACTAAGCGGCCTTTTGCTGTAATGACACGCAACGCAAGAGACGCTCTCCTTCGAAACGTTGCGTGAAGACGGCGACCCCAAGTCACAAATAAAACTTAACCAAATAGTCAAGTCTACCACACCTGTAATTCAAAAGACTGGGATAACTCTATTTGTCTCTCTTCCCAAGACTCCAACAACTCGTCTTTGACAAGACTCATTTCTTCGCAGTTCTCTTGAATCTCTTCTGCTGCAAAGTGTCCCTGGTCCACCAAACTGAGCCCAAACGCATGCGCACTGTTGAACGACTCCAAGCGAGCCTCGATCACACCCTAGGAAAGAAAGAGAGCTCAACACTTTAACCATCAATCTCCAAGAAGAGATAAACATGCAATTCCTATTTACAATATGAATAGATCATCCGGCACACAGACAATTAGATTATCAGCTGGATGAAGTTTCTCTTGTCATAACCTGCAACAGACAGGGCACGAGAAGATCACGTGAAAGAAGAGCAGTCTAGAAAGAGCCTAAACACTCAGGAGTAAAGAGAGTAGGTTTCTAAAGAAACCTTGGTGCTGAGTCGGTTGGGGTGTAACAGGATAATTTGGTTTTATCAATTGAGTCGATAAGTACATCGGCCTCCGTGAAGAGTTTCTAAAGCTGACATGGCAAGCGTTAGTCCTTCGTCACAGTGAACACTCATTCCTCACAGTACCTTTCTCTCTGTGTGTAGTTCGAGCAACGCCTCTGCTTCTCTGACATTCTTGGCTGCTTCCCCGGATGAAATTCGCGTGGCTAGGTCTGTCATCCACGCCATCAAATCGCGGTAATCCATTTGAAAAATTTGTAAGAGTCGGTTGGCTTCTAGTTTACCTTTCCTGGTAAGAATTTGCGAAGGTTGTGTTAGAATAGGATTAAAATTTATCGTTTTGTTAACAACACGAAAAAAATCATTTGCTGCCTCATAACCATGTTGAAAGCCCTCTTTACCTTTCATCGAACAAGTCATTCAGTCGTTCCCAGTTTTCTATAATTCCTTTTTGCCTCTCCTGAATGGTGGCTACCATGTGGGGCTGGGACCTAGCCAGTCGACGAGCCTCGCTTTCGAGCGCCTCCATTTTACCTTCGATGACTGTCAAATCTCGTTCCAGGTCGTCGTGTTTTCTCAACAGAGCCTCGACACCAGGCAGGTCACGGCCGTAATCATCACTAGAAAATATCACAGCCTGAAACAAAAAAAACCGAAAACTTTTCATCCTTTGAACCTTTACATCAGTATGCACATTCGCCATACTGTCCTCTATAAATTTCCAAAGGTACTGACAAGGAAAATTTGTTTAACAAATCAAGAGCTTACTGAGTTGGTAATCATTTCAATTATTGCGTGACTCAGGGGAGATATTGTAAGGAGAAATTAGATGCTAGTCACTCTTAAGGTCAAAGGGCATTTATGGAACGTGTCGTACCCATACCCTGCTCTCGGCCTTTATTGAACGCGAACTACGAAAATGAGCCTTGAAGCTTTCTAGCAAACGTCCAGAAAAAAATTAAGAAGGGTCTAACACGAGTCCGCCTGTTCTTGATTAGCTTTACCTTTAAAAATCCCGACCAGGAATGTTTTTAAATTAAGACTTCGTAAAAACAGCAGTTCAAATGACGAGGTTTTTCCTTTCCATTCTTTCTCCTCCGAGGTCTACCTATTATTATGTACCATTTAATAGTTTATTGGCGCGCAAACTATGATAAATGACTCTTCATCAGAACGATTTTGTTTATGATCCTGTCCTGGAGTACGAACCTTTTCATTGATCATTTCAGATACTTCATTACAATCTCTGTCAAACGCGTGCATCTCGCAAGCCTCTGCTAACCGCTGACGCCTCTCGCTGGCTCGATCTTGCAGGCGATTCCAACGCTCGTTCAGCGCCTTCTGACGTTGGGTGATATCCGCAGACCCAGCGTGTGCCTGCGATATGAGTTTCTCGGCCAGTTTGTTGATCGTCTCTACCCGTGCAGCCTCTACTGCTAAGTCTTGATCGAATCCTTTCATTTTCTTTTGCAGTCGGACGCAATGCTCTATGTCTCTTCCAGTGTCATCGGAAGAAACAACGGCTTCCTGTAATACGAAAGTCCAGTATAAAACAAAGGCATGGATGTACCATTTCTATTTAATTTCCACTACACGAAAGCTGATCTTTTCTGAAGGGAGGGGGGGGGGGAAGGGGATGGTGAACAAGAGGCAACACCCCTTGATCTGGTACAACAGAACCATCAAAGCACAAACGCAAACAAATGGACAAAAAGATAGAATGGAGAAAAAGTTCGCTGTGAAAGGTCTCTGTGATACTATGGTTCGCGTGTTAATCTTCCACAACAAATCGCTGCCACCATCCACAAATTCAAATCAGTTTGAATTGTCACAACTCGACGCGGGGACAACATTCTGTCCGTGGACCCACAATGCATCCTGTCCTTAGAAATATATTGCACAGGAGTACCAACCTTTTCGCTGATACACGAGTCAATTAAGTGGACTTCTTGGGTAAATTTCTGATGATCCCTCGCCTCCTCTAATCTCTTTCCTTTATTGGCTGACGCCTCCAGGAGTTCCTCCCAGTGAAGGTACAGAGCCTCGATTCGGCGTTCCACTTCGTCAGCCGCAAAGTGCCCAGATGTGATAAGCTCTTCACCAGTTTCCCGAACAGCGTCAATGGCTTCCTCGTGTGCAGTAAGCTCCGCTTCAAAAGCCTTGTTCTTCTGTAGCTTAGTTTCCAAATTAGCTGGGTCTTTGTAACTGTCATCGCTGGCAGTTTGGAGCTTCTCTGTTATCCAGGATTCGGCCTATGGAATAAAAAAAAATAGTTGCCATCCAAAGGAAACTAGTCTCAGTATCTCCTTAAACAATAGTATTCCATGTAATGGAGTGGCAATACTCTGCGGCGCACGCTTTGGAACAATTTTTATTTAAGTGTCGAAAGCAATTCAAAATTGCATTGGTTTGGTTCTACCGAGCTCTCTGATTGGTTCAGAAAACTCGTCTCACCCTCATAACCAATCATATGCAAACCCAAACAAGGTTCAGCTTGTTTTTACCCGTTTTCCCGCGCTTAAGGCCGTTTACAGACATTCCCTTCTAGATGCACGATGTGATTATTACGCCAAAAAATTGAGATGTGCCCCGTGTTTAGAACACGGTGATAAATTCAGGAAGTCATGAAACTCAAAGCCTTAGAGAAAAAAATCCTCGATATACTGTTTATTTACCTCAACAACGTCTTGATAAAACTGCGCGATCTTTCTCGAATCCTCCAGTTTGTGTCTTCTTTTCAGCAGCTCTTCATTTAATTTGTTTCTCCGTTCGCACACGCCACGAACTCTGCCCTGTATTTTCTCAGATTCGCTGTGGCTGTTCGCTACCAAAGTGTCTCCAAATTCACAAAGATTTGCCACTTTCTCATCCTGTGAGGCAACGAGCTTCTCTGTGTTTTCGTGTTTCCTGAGTAGCGAATCGACTTCGTCCACGCTACTTCCCAGTTCTGCTCCGGCGAGTACAACCTAGTGATAAAAGAATGCGTCACTGTAAAGAACTAGCATGTATGTGATAGGCATGGTCCTAAGCGGGCATTATATGATAAGTTTTGTTATACGCGCAGTTTGATTGCTTCTTACCAATTACCTATTGGATGGCAGATGCGTAGACGACGTCACCGTTAACAACATTTTGCTTTTTAACTACATAAAACAAATAGATTCCATGTTGCTGTGAGTCAGGAGAGTGAAAGATCATGGAAAACGTCAGAACCTACAAGCAACATTGGTCTCACCTCTTGTGTGCTTGTTAAGGTATCGATTTGTTTCGCTTCTCTGAGAAACACCTGCAGGTCATACGCTTGATCGAGTTCTGTTTTGTTATCTTCCCATGTTGCAAACAAACTTTCACGTTCGGTTAGTAACAGTTCCAACTTCTCTGCGATCTGATAAGAACACAACAAACACATAAGTAACAATAGCTATGGCTAATCAAGCGAAATAAGACGAACGATTTGAAACAAAAAATTGAAAGCCGATCCAAATGTTTCACGCATTCTCTTTTCAAGATGCACAAACTGTGAAAGAACTTGTCACGTGTCTGTATTTTTTTCCCAGCTGGATGGTAAGACTTCTCACAAAATCATTTTGACCGTCCGTTCGGCTAACCCCCTTAACCTATACCTTCCCCTTTAATACTAATGCATTATCCGAAAAACAGGTGGTGAGAAATGACAAACGTTTCAGCGAGACGATGTAATTCGCTGGTAACTATTTCTTCTTCGGAGACGAGAGGCATTGAAGGTGTCTTGGCCTAGAATACAACGCAATGACTCGGCCAGGTCTCGACCCAGGATCTCAGTACACTGACCACTAAGCCACCGCGTCTCCTACTTCATGAAAGAAGCAAGGAAGAAATCAAACGAAACACTGACCTCGTCTGCTGCAAAGTGGCCATTGTCAATCATCCTCTCGCCAATCTCCATGACTTTTTGGAAGCCCTCTTCTCGCGCATCCATCTCAGCGCGATGCTCGTCAATCCTCCTCAACTGAGCCTCGGCGTCTACTACGTCATGCACAGGTTCACCAGATGAGATGGTGCGGCTCATGTCAATGCACCATGACACAAGGTCCCGGATCTACAGACGTCATAAACGACACAATGACAAAAACATTCATCTGGCACTAGAAAGGGTGATGGCAGGATTGGTTGGGATGAAGGCCTACTCTAGCGTTTCACCAGCATCGAGGAAATTTTTTATACTTTCTCAGTAGTAAATTCTTTTTCTTGCAAGCCCCCCCCTCCTTAGTTTCCATAGTGAATTATCGATTCAGAGTGGTGTAATTCCAGGGAAACCGTGCAAGTTTTACAAAGAGAAGTGTATACATTGCGCCCTGCAGAAAAAAATTGGTCCCATTCACACGAGGAACCCTCCCCCCCTTTAAGCTATCCAAACGCAATATCGATTCAGGAGGGGAATCAGCTTCCTTTATAACCGCTGTTTGTTCGCGTTACGCAAAGCGTTCTCTTCCTCACAAAAAGACTTCGAGGATGACTTTGTCATTTAATTCAGCATTTATTCCATTTAGGATTTGGAGGGAAAATCTGAAAACTTCTAACGTTTAGAGGAAGATATTCCCACCTCGTTGTTAAGCTTGTGGAAATCGCTTGAATCTTGCAGCTTGCATTTCTTCCGAGTTGTTTTCCTTTTCAGCTCATCCCACAAACTCAGTACAAATTCTTCATGCTTTTTAATGCTCTCAGCTGTGTGACCTTGGTATTAAAAATAAAATGATTGAATACGAGTTCTACTGTGCAATCGCGAAAATTTCAACCAACTGTAATCCTAAAATGCATTGGTGTTGCTTCACTTCGCCCTGAAATTGGTGTAGAATATTCACTCTATCCTTTCAACCAATCAGATCCAAAGCTATCACCAGTAACAACTTTCCTATTCGCGTTTCCTCATGCTTCCAGTATTTCGCTTGTTTTAAGGTCCAACGCTCGCACTTCTCTTTCAACCAATCAGATACAAGACGATAACCAATTGCGACTTTCTTACTCGCATCTTCCCGCGTTACAGACACTTTGCTTGTTTTACCTCGAGGCTTTATTGGCTAAGCGAGATGTTTCCTCTGTTCTGATTGGCTACTGTAATTACTTTTCTAACGACTCTATTGATTGACTCCTGTGGTTACTTTTCAGTGTCGTAGAAAAGTTGACACAGGAACCAATCATCAGAGTCGTTAAAAAGTCCTCAACTATTCCTTCCTCGCAATGGTTCGTTAGAAGCGCAGCTCACCTGGACCATCCCTAAGTTCAGGTCAATCCGTTAGTTTCTAATTTTGATTTCACAATGATTTGCATATTAGCTAAAAACTCTCCCAAACCTTTCTATTCTAGGGTCAGCCACTGACTAACTATAGTCTCTTACCATCAGAACAAACTTTGCACATGTATGAACAACGTAGGCATTTCAAATTTACCTTGATATGCAGCTTGCAATTTTCCTGACTCAGCTGTTAATGTTTCAACTTGTTGCTGCACCACAACCAAGTCTCTTTCGTGTCCTTCGTGCTTCCGGTGAAGGCCCTGGACGCTAGCCATGTCTCGGCCCAGGTCCTCCATGGAGAGCGAGGAATCCTTTTCCTGGAGACGAGTGATCAGCTCGTTCAAGTCTCTGTTAAACCCGTGAATCTCTGCGGCGCTGGCGAGTCGCTTGGTGCGGAGCTTGATTTGATCCTGAAGTTGAGCCCACATGGATCTGAAGGGTAAAACGAAACAGATGAGACAACCAAAGGCGTGCCATACCTCTGAACAAGCACATCGTTAAGCCTCATTCGGACTAAAACCCTTTTGCCAAGAGAAACCTGATGGCGTTTACTTCTTCTTGTATCGTTTAGAGTTCATTTTAGGAAAAAAAAATGCCCTTGCCAGGTCATCTGCATCGACAAAATTCGTGCATCAGCAGTTTTTACGCAAAAATCTTCTTGTTGAAAAACTAGTGTGTTAAACTTTAAACAGTTTTGTTTAGTCTGGTAACGCAACTTGCTCTTTCTCTCAGCGTATTTTGTGACGTGACCAACGAGCAGCTGAAAAGGAGTGTTACCCACCTCAGAATATCTTGTTGTTCTTTGATGATCACTGTGTCAGTGTGACCTTCAGCCACAAGACGTTTGGCAAAGTTGTCCACTTCGCTAAATCGTTCAGCTTTAGCCATGACGCTGCGTTGAAAGTCCTCAAACTTCCTTTGAATCACCTGGTAATGAGATAAAAAATATTTGCTGGATTGAACTCGTCTTGGGGACCACTATTTACAAAATGCTACGAAATGTGCACGCTAAATGAGTGATAGATTATTCTCCAAAATTTAGTCAAATGATGTTTGACTTTGAACTTCAATCACGCTATAATGTGCCGATCAATTTAAGGCTCCAACATCCCCTCGATTGTCGTCCGCGCCCGCGGAGTGGGAAATTTGAACCTTGTGTTGGTGGGGTGGGGCATCTGAACCGAAGTGTCAAGTCTTTCCAGCGTAATACACGTGTTTTAATGGAGGAGTTTAAAGATTAATAGTTTACTTTCGTAAGTGAATGGCTAAGAAAGACGATTCATCGAGATTTCGATTCGATCGCCACCTAACGCCTAACTTCACAAGAGGCAACCAAAAACAAAGGGCAATGTTAAAATTCGAATGATATAAAGCTCGACCCTTGACCACGAGCTCAACCGTTTTAGCATATTTTGAACACACACCTCCAAATGCTCAAAATCTTTCCCATAATCCTCAGCCGAAGCAGCATGAAGCTGTTCTGTAATCCACTCAGAGGTTTCATTCACTTCACGCAGGTACTGATGTAGTTTCTTGGACTCTTCCAGTCTTTGAAGGCGCGTATTGGTCAGCGTCTGCAGCCCTAAAAACTGTTCCTCTATGTCACGCTGAAACGCAACGATATGAAAGCAAACTTAGTTATTGCATTATGGCTTTTTCCCTTGTAAGATGACAAACCGAGGTGTGAAGTGTCGATGTCAAGTTTTCAGTATCGCCTTGTGCTCATAACAAACAATTTTTCCATGACGAATGCATTTACCTGTCTGGAGGCAATCTTTTCAGCCGCAAAGTGACCACTCTGCACCAGTTTCCTCGCCTGCTCGCCCAGACCTTGGATGATCGGACTATAGGTATCTACTGCTGTTTGTAAAGCAGTGTGCCTGGTCAGCAGCTTTTCGGCGGATAGCTCGTCCTTTCCGTAATCCTGATTGGCTGCCAGACCAGCCTTATCATTCATCCAAGAGTCCGCTTCATTAGCCTCTGTAAAGTACTGAGGAGGGCGACAAAGCATAGAATGACCTTAAATTAATCATCTCTACCACTAATCTTTAATCTCCTACGCTGCCATGCTATAAATCATTCACTGACTGAGTGTGAGGTCGTTCGTCTTTGCACTTTGGTACACTGGTACAAATTAAAATCAGCCATCTTGACCTTGCGCTCTGTCAATGAAAATGTGTTATGGACCAAGCCTGATCGGTAAAAAGTTTTTGGAATTGGCCGAATTCTTTTTTTCCTTTTTTTTTTTCAGCGCAGCAAATTCACGAAACTCGTTCGTGTTTCCTGCGTATTGACTTTCTTCTTCCGCATTTTTGCAACTCCACTGCCGTCAAAACCTTACGAATTTTTAAAATTTTTTTCTAGCACGGAATCAAAGCGGGCAATCCCGAGCGGGCAATATGGGTCCGTGCTACCCGTTCAGGTAGCCAATCAGGACACAAGAAACGGTCTACCTTGCCCACCGGCGCTGCCAGCTATATAATAAAACATATTTATTAACCTTCTGTGATTCCAGAGCGTCGCTAAGTCTTTGTTTTCGCTCAGCGGCAGCCTTCATGAGTAGTTCCCAACTCTCGTTCAGTTCCTCGCATCTTTCTTCTATTTCATCGGCTGCGTAATGATTGCTGTCGATCAAATCCTGACCGGAAGCTAACACAGTGTCGATACGAAATTGATGGTTGGAAAGTTCATTTTCCAGTGCCTGAAAAGAAAAAAAATTACGATAATTGTTTAAAAAAAAAAAAAAAAACTCCCAAAAGGATTGACAAAAACGGGCAAAGTGTATAAGAAAGAAGTTCTACAAAAAAAGACTGTGCTTAGTGACAGAGACGGAGGTTTCAACAACCTCAGCTGAAATCATCATTAGAATCAAGCGTTATGACTTCCGTTCAGGTTGTCGAGATGCCAATCACGGTGACGTCATGCAAGGCTCCTTTCTCCTGGCTCCTACACGTTTCCTTTTCATTCAAAGAATAGAATTTGGTCTTGATCAACTGATGAGATTATCCCGCTGAAAAGTTATTTATTCTTATCAACTGTTTTCTGAATAACATATGGACACTACAAGGATAAATTACTGGTTAATCGCTCCTGGGAAGGAAGAACCTCCACACAAAAAAATGATTGACTTTACACCCCGAGGAGAGGAATTAAATCAAATTTGAAAAGATCCTAAGCTAAATGGATTAAAAAATTATATCTAAAAGGACGAAGAAGAAATGTCTTACCAAGTGTCTTTTCCGTAGTCTTTGAACTCCAATTAAACTCGTACCCAGGTCCTCCGAGGTTGCCATAGTCATGTGCTCTCGTATCCAGGCCATCTCCATTTCAATGTCATAAAAGAACTGGTGAAGACCGAGTGAGTCTTCAAGTTGTGACTGACGGTTGGAGGACAGTTCTTTCAGTTCGTCAAATCTGTGGAGAAAAAAAGTGACACGATCCTTAAACATTACCAGATCGTCATACATTTTAACTAACATAATTTGGGCTTTAGTTACAGAAGATGATAAGATATAAATGTTGTGCGATAACTTTTTTCGGAAGAATATGAAAGTAACTGCACCTTTGCAATACATTCTCTGTTGCCTGCTCAATCTTCCCCGCATCAAAATGACCATCTTCGATCAAGACCTGGGCTTGGTCGCAAAGGGATTGGATCTGAGCGTCGTGAACCTCGATATCAGCCTCCACTCCTTGGTGTTTCTTGAGGAGGAACTTGACACTAGACAAGTCATGGCCCAGATCTTCAAGGGACATTAGTGTTTCAACTTCATTCATCCAAACCTGGTGAAATATTGGTAACCATTGAAGGTGGTGGGGAAAATAGTTGATTTAGTATCCTAAAAATGCAGTTCCGGTCTAGTAAATATTTTCAGTGAAGTGATTCTTATGCGCCTGTGGGTTGTTTATTTTCCGCAATCCATTTTGACTGCGCGAGAAAGCCGTACAGTTTTAAATCAAATGAAATAAATTATGTATCAATGATAAATGAAATAAATCATGTTTCAATATCTGAGAGGCATTGGTTCGAATCGCGTCGCAGCCTGAATTCTTACCGTGTTCTCTTCTATACCCAAAGACTCTGTTCTACTGTTTTTATGTTACTCGCTAAACCAACCTTGACGTCTTCCATAGCTCGGTTGAACTGTTGCTGCTGCTGAGCCTGCTGTAATCTGGAACCTTTATCGGCGGACTTGCTGACTAACTCGCTCCAACTTTCATTTAACCTTCCCAATAAGTCCTTGATTTCTTTAGAACCATAATGCCCTTCGCGAATCAACTTCTTCCCACTCTGAACAAATAATTTAAAATATACTTAAAACGTTTATAAACTCCCGCATTATTTCGAGGAAATTTCAGACAGATTAAGGTAAAACACAAATGTTCAAAAAGTACAACAGAACACTGGATCCAAAACTTTACGCAACCTGCTCTAACTCAACAAACGCAACCGCACGATTCTTTTAAACGTTAGATGCTAGGCATGCGCGATAGATAATCGATTGGTTGAATAGGGTTATCTTCAGAAGGAACAGTCTGTTAACTGATAAAAAAGGAACATCGAGTCTTGGAAAACTTACCACGTTCACACTATCGAAGCCACCTTTGTTGGCTGCGATTTCGGCTTCAAATGCCTGGTGTCTCTGAAGTTTTCTCTGTATGTTGGTCAAATCTCTAAAAGATTCGTCTGTGGCAATCTGAAGTTTTTCTTGAATCCAAGCCTCAAACTGAAGAATAAAGGAATAGTTTCATTTTAAATTTTATAGATGAAACTCAATTATGTAACCATTCAAATGAAAGCTCCTAAGCAGTAATGAGGCACTGCGTATTATCCTGCACAGAGAATGTTTTAGATTCTAGATGAGATCAACAGTGTACGATCAAGTGGTATTGTTTTTTATGCCTTATTAAATAATTGAGATCTTACGAGCGCCTTGATTGGTTAAGTTCATTATATGAAAAGCAATAGACCACAATTTCTGCCGGTTTACCGACTAATAATCCACGAGGAACGTTGGTAAGACACGAGAGAAGTTTGTAAATCACTCGCTTCCAGCTCGCCATAATTTTACGTCACTGGATAAAACCCTGGCACGTAACCCATTAAAATGAAAGCTACTCATGAGCACTAATTTTTGACGTACTTTTTATCATGTCGTTCAAGATAAACTATTCAGTCTGTGGGTGAATTCCCAGAGTGAAAGCTGAGCTAGACTTTCAGGTGGTGCTGTTTATCATTTGTTATGGGTAGCTCTAACTTGTAAGCAAGTGGATGGAAGTTCAGTAAGTGAACATTCAATAGAAAACATTGGTAGTGTGTTTATTATGCAAAACACAAAATTCAATCTTGGGCTGCGATGGAATAGCCGTCTACTGAGGTAAAATGTTAACGGAAGTTACCTCTTGTGTATCTCTCTTGAAGTTCTGAAGCAGTTGAGATTGCTTTAAAGCTTGTCGTCTCTTAGCAGCCAGTTGTTTGACATTCTGTCTTCTTTTGAGGACTTCGTCTTTCCGTTTTGAAATCCTACAAGACATTAAGTTAAAAAAAAATGTCGAGATTAGAGTAAAGGGGTGCAAATCGAGGGCTCGTCTCGGTAGCTGGAATTTCATTTTTACCACAATTGGCAGTAATGTCGCAATCTGATTTGCCAATTTGCCGTTGTCGGTAAGAGTACAGAGCACGCTAAACCACTATCGATTTGTTACATTTGCATGTCTTACAACTGACAAACGAGTTAAGAAGAAAGAAGTTAGACTTCAGTTTTCTCATCCCTAAGGTTGCCGTCAATAACACTATAGAGTTTAAATCTTTTGTCAATTCGCTTACGAGTTTAGTGCGGCTTAACAATTTGCCGCTTTTACATAACTAAGATGAGAAAAATGACGCACCATTGTCTGTCGCGGTGACCAGCGGTGACCAAGCTGTTCGCCATATCATTTAACGAGTGTAGCTTCTCTTCCTGTGCTGTCAGCGTCTTCTCAAAATTCTCATGTTGTTTCAGGAGCATTAGAACATCATCCACAGAATCCTGAAATCAGAGAGCAGATAAGTAAGTCCTTAGGACGCTGATGCTTTGACATTTAAACTTCTATGATCTATATAAAAATTCTCCGCACGTTCTACAATATATTTCTTATAGTTTTATTACTGAGAATTTATGTTCATTCAACTCCTCGTTATGTCTCTCTTTCTTCACATCACCATTTTGCTCAAAAATGTATTGATAATGTAAGGAAAAAAAACCTTGTTGTTCCTTCAATGAAAAAACTTTGAAAGCTGACAAACTCAGGCTGTCAAGTTGGATATTTAAATATTACAGTGAAAGAGTTCATACCCCGAGATCATCATTAGAGAGAAATGCCTCATGGGAAGCTGACAAGGAATCTACGTATTCCGCATCTCGGATGAACGCCTGCAAAAAAGAAAAAATTTAAAGATATGACACACCGTTAAAAATTTTCCGACCCGATCCATGAAAAGTGGAACTTTTTTTTAGGGACATCTCTGATCAAGGGATGCAAAACTTGGTTCCATCTGAAGAAAGTGCTCAGTAATCTGTATCTCATACTTTCATTTAAAGGACACCTATACTCGGATGGCCACCCGAAAAGAAGGTTCACCATATTGGATGATAGGTGTGATAGGTGTCGCTAAGGCAGCTCAAGAGGAGAACAAGAAACTCTTCAGGAACCTAGGAAGTCACTGTAGCAAACAAACCACAGACCAACTCCTGATACTTTGAAGCAGAGCATTGAGAAATCCGGATGTCAATGAATACGTTACCAATAATGCATATTCGGGAGACAGAGGACAGATTAAGGAAACGTACAAGCAATTAACCCTTTACACCCAAACATCATCATGCATTTTCTCTATTCTGTTGTCTCTACATTTCCTAAGTTGCTGACAAGGAGAATTTGGTTAACAATCAAGAGATTCTTTGGTAGGTGATCATTTCCTTTACTCTCGTGATCTTAAAGTGTGATATGGGGGTGATATTGTAAGGAGAAATTAGATGCTAGTCATTCTTAAGGGTTTAGGGATTGAGGGTGAAGGTCACTTTCTGTTTGGTGCAATGATGTGACGGAGAGAGGCAAAACGACGGATAAATCAGTGAAGACTACATGAAATTACTTCAGTTCAGGACTGAACAGCTTACCTGCAAATCTTGGCCTTCGTTTAATGCCTCATTCCTTTCAACCCAAGTGTCCTTCAGTGCTGCCTTCTCTTTCTTCAAAGCTGCTACTCTGTCCTTTAGCTGTCTCACTCGTGGGTTTGAGGCGACCATCCGCTGACCATATTCTATTAACTGGTCAAATCTGCAAAGAAACCAAGGGAACAAGTCAGCTCACAAGAGACACAAAGTACTGAGTGTCGTAAAACCCAACTTAAGGAGCCACACCGCAAATATGTAAAAAATTTCCGCCTTTGTCCCACCCCCCTAACATCTGAATGGGGGAAAAAACCAAACCTTGTAGGGGGAGGCAGGGATGAGAGTGTGTGAATTTTAGGTCCATACCTAAACCTCAAAGTCTGAAAAGGAGAGTTTCGTTAAAAACCACGAATTCTGTATGAAATGTTTAAAAACCTTACTATAAATTATCACCTGAGTGATTCCATTTGAAAATGATTTCAATGTTTCTACGGCAATTTTGTCTTTACCTGTCGTTGTGGGTTTGAATATCTTCCCACTTTCCTTCGTGTTCTTGAAGAAGTTGTTTGGCGCTGTTCACGTCTTTCGGTGTGTCTCCAATTCTAAGTGACTCACGCATGTCTGAGGCCCAGGATAACTGAAAGGAAAGAGGAAACGCATTTTAAAACAGCTTCATCAGAAACAAGGTGATCTCAATCAATCGCGAAAGAAATAGAGAGAAAAGTCTGCGGTTAGACGTCTTCGCATGCTTTTACCAGATCTCTTGAATCAGCAAGGAAGCCCTGCTGACCGTACGCTTCATCCAGAACATTCTTTCTTTTACTTGCTTTACCCTAAAGAGTGAGAAAGAACAAAGATAAATCTTGCTAAACGCTTAACGGTCTAAAATGACTCTGGGTCAGGCCCAAAACATATTTATTCCCTCGAACATTAACTCTCTGTGTTATATTTCAACTTCAAAGTTATTATAATTTCAATTTTCTCAGACTCGTAATGGAGAGCACTCCGACCCACGTTTCTATGACGTTGAAGGGTTTTTTCTGGACTATTTCTTGAGGCAACCATGAAAAGACTTGACTTCATTCCATTATTCTCTCTCATCTTTATTAAAACAAAAAACTGAATTGAAACTCACCTTCAAGCCATTCCATAATCCAATAATTTCCGCTTCTTTAGCTTTGATCTGACGAGCTTGTCGAGGATGATGGGAAACAAGGCTGCAAAACAAAGTACGAGAGATCTTGCATGCACAGCGGTTAAACATCGGGCATGCGCGAGGGTATCAATTTTGGCCGGGTGTGCACCAATTCCCAATGCAAAATTCCAAAGAAAAACCATAACAAACCAACGCTGTCTCGTAAAATAAACGTAAAAAGATTGAAACATTCACAGGAAACTGTGACAGGAAAAAGCAGCAAGGAAAAGAAAACCCGAGAGTTTTCGAGCATAAAGCTGATTCAAGTACAGGTTTTTCACCCTTCTGTTTTGAGTTTTAACGAAAAAGTTATAGGCCTTGCGATCACCGTAACTTACTGGCTTATGTGGTTGTTTGTAACTTGTGTGAGACAATTAGTCCTGACAGCCTGAAAGCACGTCATCTTGTCATTACAAAGATCGCACATGCGCAGACGTTTGACCGCTGTCTTGATCAAGCATGCTGAACCAACCGCTGATAAAAGTTCGACAATCCCAAATAAACGATCAAAAATGTAAAACTTACGATTTTGCTTGGTCCTGTAACTTTACAAGTTTTTCTTCCACAGCAGCGAGATCTCTTTCGAAACCCTGAGAGAATTTAAATGTAGACAATATAAAGAGGGGGCCGGTCGCGTGACTTACATGTAGTTTTATGTGGTATGTGTATTTTTATGCACTGATATTAGTCTTGACATTTGTGAAAGCGATCTGGGACTACTACGATTTTGGCTTTATTTTGTTAACCCTACGAGCACGCTCACATTCTTAGCGGTGCAGGACGCGCGTTTCTCCGCCCACGGGAAGATTTGAGACGAGTCGGGGAGAGATTTTCTGGGCTCTGGGACTCATTATCAGAGCCAGACCCCTTGCAGACCTCTCGCAGGCAACGCTTTACCCTTTAATTAGTCTGAAAACTCGTGTCATCCTCTAGGGCAATCTCACCGCTAAACTAAAACCAAGCGAAGCTAGTTCGCTCGCGCTTTTTTGGTGCTGCATAACTTTGGTTTGGGTTTCATGGACCCAGGTCAGTTTATGCTCTGTTCGAAGCTAGTTGTCACTTCTCGTTTTCACTGACTTACTTGGTGTCTCCTCTGTAAAGCTCTAACAGTCTCCAAATCTCGCCCAACGTCTCCATCGGACAAAATGGCATCCTTCTCTTGAATCCAGGACTTCATCTCTTCACAAGAGTCAAAGAACAACTCGACCCTAACCCCCCCCCCCCCCCAAAAAAAAAAAAAAAAAAAAAAGAAAAAGAAAAGAAAAGAAACGCAAAATTCAATATCATTTTTTGTGAAGTAGAGAGGCACAGAGTATACATGTACATACAGGGACTAAACTTCCCCAACTTTCCCAGAAGTGACAAAATTTGACTTCTCCCTACAATTTCCATACTATTTCCAGCAAGCAGTTGATGAGAATACTCAAACTTATCAGTTAGAAGTTGTTATCTTGATCTTTCACCAAATTCTCGCAACTAATTTACAAGGAATTGTGTAGCAGCAAGAGCGGAGAATTTACAATCAGACCTTGGGAGTTAAAGGGTTAACGCTTCAATGAAAGCGTTTCTTCGCCCGCAAGCAAGTTTGAGGCCTTATGCAACGCTGGAAGGCGAGAACTCTGCAAGTGGTCGGCCCAGATCCCTCACAGATCTCTCACTGGCAGTCGAAGCGCCTAAAATGAGCGCCTGCTCGCACACCAGGTGTTCTTACCCATGTTTTTCACGCAGTTCCTCTTCTTTGGCTTTTTTTAAGCGCTGAAGATTTTCCCACCTTCAAGAAAAACACAAAGGGATACATAAGACCATGAGCTTAACTTGACAAGAACTCCCAGTCCTTAAAAAACAACAATCAAACCGTGTTTCTACAGGAGGAGGTTAGAGCAATTTTCAATTGGGTGTCGAAAAACCAAAACTATCTCAACGATCAGTCAGTCATCACAAGCCATCTGATTGGTTGAGAAGGTGGCGCAAGTTTTCTAAACCAATCACCAAGTGAAGAAGCAATCCCAGATTACCTTCAACACTAAATAAAAAAATTGTTCTTATTTAACTCTTACATGTCGTTTATGTCTTTCCTCCTTTTCTTCACTGCAGCCGAATGCCTGTGATCCGTGTCTATCAGCTGATCTGCTAACGAGTTTATCTCAGCTATACGGTTGCTGTTAGCTGTTAGCTCTGTCGTGAGACCCTGTGGACAAAGTTTAAAAGGCAAACAGGCTTTACAACTTTCTCTCATTTTTCCCCCTGATGTAGGCACTGGTGCAATAGATGTGATTTTAACACGTCACGGAACAGGTGCGTTTGCTACTGTGAAAAGACACGAATCTTCTCTATAACCCCTTCACTCCTGTAACTCAATATCGACTCTCCTCAATTTCTGCTATACATTTCTCTTTCGGAACCGGTCATTATTTTTCGTCTGTGGAGGGAGAGGGGATCGGAATGTTTTTTCGGGTGGGATCACATAGTTGTCAGGGGTAATGGCGGGGGAATCAATCGTCGCGAACATAGTAGAAGGGGACGGCTATGAGAAGTGACTGCCAATGAGGGAGATCGTTAGAATACTACAGGCCTCATTGGGGATCGGGTAAATTTTATTGCGACAGCCAAAATCCCCTCCCTCCCTCCCCCCCCCCCCCCCGGCGTTAAATAATGACTGAGCTCTTATTTTTGATCATAGTTCTTGATGTCAATTCAAACAATATGCACTAATTGATAACTTTTTCTTAATTCTTTACATCATCTTTCTGCTTGACAACGTATCGAGATGGTAGGGATAAATTACTCCAAGGAGTGAAGGAGTTAATTCTGAGGATGTTTGAAACAGTACTTTGTGCGATAGTGCCTCACACAAATGGACAAGAACTGTGATAACATTTGAGGAAGAATAGCACAGATCTGACACAAAACAAACATCGTGTACAGTTGTGAAACAGAAACAGCCCGAAATAAAAAAAAAAAAGAGAAAAAAGGTCCAGTAAAATTGTTCATGGTCACAATGTCCTGGATTCTCCGTTCAGTAAAAACTGAAGCTGAATCATAGATCATAGAGAAAACTAACGTGTAGCGCCTGCCACTGGCATTGCGTTCTCGTTGAACGTAAGTACATTTTCCATTCAAAAACTTAAGTTCTATACAGAACGAAACACGTTCCAACTTTCGCATTGCAAAGCATTCTCTCCTCTCATCTACTATTGGATCATATTAGTTTAGAGAAACTTTTCAACTTTTTACGTCTGTTAATTGGCTGACTTTCCCGTTTCTGGTACAGAATTAAGAATAGAGGCGTACTTGAAATCGTTCTCTGCTGTTCCATGGTAGGATTACGTGACGAGCTAAAATAACGCGAAAGGCCACTTTTCGTTTGACTGTGGAGAACCATCTTTACCTTTGTGACTGTAGGTTCAGTAAGAGTTCGTTCCAACCAAATTAGAGTATGCTGGGTTAAAGCTTAGAACCTATGTGCAACACAGTAACACAAGACAACACAAAAATATTACAGAAGTTTAGAACGTAAGCATTGTTACATACAGATAGAGCTCATTTCGATTGAGTTTCGTAAAACCAAAATCAAAGCCTAAAGCGCGGGAAAACGCGGGCGACCAAGTCGTGATTGGTTTTAGTCTTGCATCTGATTGGTTGAGAGATCGGCGCCCGTTTTTCTGGAACAATCAGACCGAAGTGCAGCAAAACATAGCAATCTCGAATTTCTTTCGATACTCGATTGAAAATTGCTCTAAAACGTAATTAGCAACACAAAAATGCACAGAGATGAAGAGAGCAGAAAAAAAGGAATCAAAAGTTACAAACATGACAGATTAGCTGAAGACTCTACCTCAATATTTTTGCGGATGACATGAATGTCGTTGTCTGATTCAGACGCACTGTTGTAAGTAAGCTGACTTTCCTGATTAGTCGAAGCAAAACGTTAAATTACAAATGTTAGAACGATCAAAAGCTGAAAATTAAGGTTGTAGGACACCGGACTGATGTGCGTGAGGTCGTGGGTTCGAGCCCCAGTCTGGATTAACCCTTAGGGTCTTAAAATAACTGAGGAGAATGTGCTACCTTTGCCATGACAAATGCAAATGAGTAGACATTCAAATCTTCTTAGATGAGGACGACAAACCGCAGGCATCGTCTCGTACATCTTCTCTCTACTGATTAGCAGGGGGCGTTAAAGAACCCACGCACTTCTCGCAAAGAGTAGGGAATGTACCTACCGGTGTTTTGGCCTTGTTTCCAAAAATTCCTAAATTGGGGACACCTGCGGAATAATCTTTCTACAGAGTGTAAATTACTCAATACAGTCAGGCCAAAGTCCCCCAAAAAGTGTTACAAAGCGCATTAGAGCAAATTAATACGGAGAATGCGCTTTATAAATGCATCATCACGATCACTGTCGTTAATATTAGGTATCACTGTTAGGCTGCAATAAGAGACTGACTCTTACAACTACCTGTAGAGTTCACTTCGGTTTCCTGAACATGAAGCGAGCAAGTAGTGTTGTTCTTCCAAGTCGGGTTGCTGATCTTTCACAAGTAACCATCTCCCCCCCACCCCTCCTCCCAGAAGTTTTCCTTTAACAGTTTTATCAACCAATACTTCTATTAACTCCAGAATGAAGAGAGGTGCTTTCAAAATACAGTGCCTAACTTAAGAGCATGACGGACTATTCGACCTACAATAAACATATTCCATTATTTGACTAAGTTATTAACTAAGGATCCAGGGCGAGGCGTTTAGTAGCGCGAGGCACTTGAGGAAGTTGTAATATAATCCCAGACCACTATATTTTCGCGCGGTCAATCCATTTTCATGTACGTGTTCCATCGTGGACACGTCATTAAAATAATTTAACAGATAAAGGTAGGAAGAATCAATGTCAGTATGTGAACAACTACGCATCTACCCCTCACCAAACTCAAAATTAACCTTTAATTGTTATCAGTTCACTGTTGTCGAGTTAAGGGAGGGGTTGGTTCAGAGTTTCTCAGATACTAATATTGATCCAGTAGGAAATGGGATATCAATAAGGAATCAAACCTTGTTTTTCATCCAAAACTCGATATCATCACATTCATGACTGAAGTGAAAATATTTGATGGAGTTCTCCAGATTCTCACGGCGAATCTATAAAGTGAATTCAATCAAGGTTAGACAAAATGTTTTCAGAAGAAATAAAATCTCAAAAACACTGGAGAATAACTAAACAACAAGAATAGAGAAATTTCCACTGAGTGTCGAAAGTATTCCGCGATTGATTTGCTTTTCCTTTACTTTGCTCTGTGATTGGTTTGCTTTCCCTTTACTTTGCTCTGTGATTGGTCCAGAAAACTCGCGCCACTCTCTCACCAATCAGATACAAAACTAAAACCACTCGCGACTTGGTCGTCCGCGTTTTGCCGCGCTTTAGGTAGTTTGTATATATATAAATTTTTTTTAAAGCTCTCATTGGCTCTTAAACGTATTTCCCTTTCTTCTGATTGGCCGTTGTAATAGCTTTGGTTTTCTGCGACACTCAGTCGAAAAGTACTCTATGAAACGTACACAATACCTCGGCCATTTCCACCAGTCTTGAGTACATGTTCTGCAGTGAGATCTGACGCGTAGCAACGTTGTCGCGATCAAAATGGGCCGTGAAATGACGTCTAACTGGTCGGCGAGATTTTCCTATAAGAATCATTGAAAGTATTTTGATCAAAATTCTGAAAGGTCTTCTCTTCACACTTGTGAAGTGATTGTAATCATTAACGCAGTAGTAAAGCCCAATTATAGTAATGATTCAATTCAAAGGTGATTCTACCTTTATAGAATTAGCTTTCGAGCAGAGCCTCATTACTAGTGCTGAAAGATGCGCGTTTCTCTGCTCGCGGGAAGATTTGAGACGAGTCGGGGAGAGATTTGCTGGGGGTCTGGCACTAATAGACACATTGCAGACCCCTTGCTGGCTCGCGTTGCCCAAAGCCACTTTCATGCCCGTGCGCAAATGATGAGGGCTTACTCGCAAGCTATTACAGTATCTGGATGAAACCCTATTAGCCATTGCGTAGTTATCCATAAGGTATAATTGTAGATGTCGTACAAGTTGGCTCCAACTTATTTTCCTAGTTGTAAAAACTCAAATGAACGCTACGAAACAATACTTTCAAGAGGAAGGTTCCAAAGCTATTACCAACCTTTCTTTTCAGGAGTTTTGACTTTCACTTCCCTTTGCTTCTGAATCTTGACTTTCTTCTTCACTTTTCGTTTTACCAAAACCTTCTCGGGAACGATGACCTTCTGTTTTGTCGTTTTCTTTACTGTCCTGGCCTCAATCTCTTTAACGTAGTTAGCAGGGACGTAACCTGCTTCTTTGGAGGTCAAACGCCTGAAGAAAAGAAAAAAAAATCAAAGATTAAGGACATTTGTAGTCGTGCTATCCTCAAATCTAATCATATTACGGGGCTCTTTCAACCCTTTTACTCCCAAGATTCATTAGTAATTCACCTCGCAGTCTGTCACTCAAGTTCTTATGAAATAAGTATCAGGTCAACAAATACACATGTAATCCTCTCGTTGATATTTTTCTTCATTCTCATCACTTGTCGGCTTGTATTTATAGTATAAGGAGAAATTCTGTCTTGGTCACTCATGGGAGAAGGGTACCAGTCCACCGGGCTCGTTTTACTTTCGGTTTCTCCCTACCTTTTGAACTGTCCTGAAGAAAATGTCGCCTAACCAAGTGTGGGTTTTTGCAAACGAGATCTACTAGCGTGATCGGGCTACATTTGAAAGACCATGAGCATTTGGTTCGACTCAAAATAAAGAATAAAAGATTGCTGAAATAAACTGTTAGGAAATTTGTTGTACCTCACACTCCACCAATCTTTGTTCGTCTTTGAAATCAAAAAGAATACCTAAATATAAAAACAAAAATGTAAATATCACGTTATAGTCTCAAAACTATAAATGCTAACAAGCGCAAAAAAAACACTGAGCTTTATGACCGGCGAATAAGGGTCGCAAAACTGGCGAATTTCGCTGCAAATTTAATGGCTAACATTTTATATAATCGCCTGGAACCAAAACTTTCGCAACTCCCCCCTCCCACACTTCATTTTCACCCCTTCTCACCTCTCCCTTGGTAATTTTAAGCCCTTGTCCGGCAAATGGGTGCAGAGCTTTTACTTGTGGGACTTTAATTTCCTGTACAACGTCTTTCATAACTTCTCTTTCTACGGTTTCCTCGACTTCTTCGTCTGTCTCCACCTCAGCTTCCTCTTCATACAGTTCCACCTTTGTCTAAAGAGAAAGAAAACAAGAAAATAAAAAATATGTTTTTCTGTCTCGTCACGAGCTGTGAGACAAAGAAATATCCTAAATCTCCAAGAGGAATCGAACCTCAGGCCTTCAAATTCCACGTCCCGATGCTCTACCACTGAGCCTCAGAGACTATGGTGCACCTGGCCTTTGCTGCGTTCGTGTGGTACACGCGCCCCGAATACTGCTAGGATTTGCAATGTCGAAAGCTCCATGAGAGTTAATAAAATAAAAAGATGGTAAATCACACGGTGATGAAATGAAGGACGATGTTTTTCGTTTTGTCACGAGCGTGAGGCGAAGAAAAATTCTGAGAACCCAGTAAGGAATTAATGCGAGGTGAATTCCACGCTCTGATGCTACCTCACTGGGCCACAGAGACTCAATAGTGAGCCAGGCCTTTTAGTACAAGGTTCACATGTGACACGCGTCCTTTATACTGCTAAGATCATCAATAATCAGAAAAGGATTAACGTAAGTATCTGAACTAATACGCACCTACCCCTCCCCTAACCCGACATTGACCCTAAGTTGTTCTCAGTTGATTGTTGTTGGGTTAGGGAGGGGTAAGTGCGCAGTTGCTGAGGTACTGACATTGATCCCAGAAAATGTAAAAATGTAAAAATGTAACAAGAAGAAATGGCAGTGAGTCATGCAAAGCGATGAAGAAAAGGACTATCAAATAGTCCTCTGCTCACCTGAACCGCCTGTTCGTTACTCTCCATCAGTTTACTTTGTTCCCTCAAGCGATTCATGTCATCAGCAAAACCTTTAATCTCGTCTATCACGTTCGTGTGTCGCTGCAGCAAGGACTACAAAACAACCAGAAGAAAATGTCAGCTAATGTTCGACGGAATGTCAGAATTGCAGAGGGATCATATCACAAAGTGGTGTGAAGGGTACTATTGCAATGAGGGGTTATAAGACCAAAACCTAACACTTACAACAGCCAATCAGATTAATGGTACTTAACATAGGGAACCAATCAGAACTCAAAGCACGTGTAAATATCGAAACCTCTACGGTAAGCCGGTTTCCTACAAAGCCTCTCTGTAATACCCGCTTTCTGATAAGCTCTCTTCCAACCTCGTCACCATGATCAAAACTGTAAAAGAGTTCTTTTACTACCGAGCCGATAAGCCTGATATTCATAAATACCAAATAAATATCATAAGCTTAACTCTTTCACTTCCAAGATCTTACAAGTATATTCTCCTTACAGTCTGTCTTACAATTCTTATGATGCTAATTTAAAGAATTTGGTACTGGATCAACAAATAATTCTCGAAATAAATAAACGACCGATGGGTTTTGTGCACAGCCGTGCTGGAAATTGATTCTTGGAATTTCTGTACCCACCATTGCACTCTGTTCGTCCCTGCCATAATCTTCACTGCTCGCGACGTACATTTTCTCTTTCATCCAAGATTCCGCGTCATTAGAATCTGAGTAATACTAAATACAGTACAGAGAGAACATTTTCATCGTTTATTTCTATGAATTACAAAATAATCATTCACTCAGTCATTCACTCACCCACCGAACCATGTTCCCATCCACCCTCCCATCACCCTCTCGCTCACTTACCTATTCATTCATTCACTCATTCATTCACTCATTCCGTCAGTCAATCAGGTATTTATTTAGTCCGTCGGTCAGCCAGTCAGTCATCCATTCCGTCCGTCAGTCAGTCAGTCATTAATTGATTCACTCATCAGTTCATTACGTCAGTCATTCCTTCGGTTAATCAGCCAGTCCAAGGCTTGGTCACCTGCTTAAACCGTCTGTTGGTCAGAAGCAGAAAGCGAGCCAATCACTCAGACAGCCCGCTACTCTGCCTCAAAAAAGCACCTCGTACCTGTAACGATTGTGCAGCATCTTTTAATCTCTCTGATCTTGTGATTAAAAGTTCTCTTAGTTTCATCCAGTTGTTCTGCAGCTGTTTAATCTTTGCTCTGATCTCTTTAGAAGCGTAGTGACTTCTGTCAACGAGCGACTGCCCTTTGGCGCAGACTGTTTCACAATGCGCAAAACGGCCACTTAACTCTGCTTCTAGAGCCTATTGAGTTAAAACAATAATTAACACAGAAACAAAGCGGAAACTATCTCTCCCAAAGCTGCAAAAAGGAATTTCCAGTCAGACAAGAACGGATTTTCTCATTATAAAAGGAAATAAACACTTTGGGCGTCGAAGATAAAACTGAAATTTTAACGGAAAGTCCACGCACCAAACATCTTTCAGCACATGCTTGATTTTGTTGTAATTCGCATAAAAATTAAGGAGTGGACAATGTCTAGCGTGCGTCCATCCAATTCGGGATTGCTTCTATAACATAGCGAGATATTTTTCACGCTGAAAAGTCGCTTCTCTGTACTGATAAAAGCGCTTGTCGAATTCGGTCGTTCTTGGTTTTAGCAACATGCGACAACAAACAGATACATTCAACCAATTCTCTGTCGCAGCTAACCTTGTGTTTCTGTTGGAGTCTTGTCAAGCTTATCAGATCGTTTCCAACATCTTTTGAAGAGAGGACTTTTTCCGTTTCTTTGACGAACATCTCCTCTTCCTCCATGTCTCCAAAGAATTTGTAAAGTCTCAGGGAATCTTCAAGCCTTGCGCGACGCTCCTTTCCCAGCTGAATTAACGCCTGTGGACGAAAACGATTTAACATGAAATCAAGTAATTGGCTGCCGACTATTTCTTATTTTCATACCACTTTCAAACTTATTGATAACCATGTTAACGTAAAATAAGTTTCATTAACTCTTATTCTCCCATGAGTGACCAAGACAGAGTTTTTCCTAACAATATCAATACAAAATCAAGCAGACAACTAATGAGAATAAAGAATAATATCACTTAGGGGGTAAAAGTTGATCCAATACCAAATTTTGCAGGCCAACATCATAATTGTACTGCAGACAGTAGGGAGAATTACTAAAGAGATCTTGAGAGTGAAGTGGAGGCCTAGGCTCCGCTGATAAATTGTGACTCTTGCAATCGCATTTTCCGCATTTTTAGGGCAATTCCAATTTCTGTTTCTTTGTTGTTTCTAACAGTCAAACAATTTGAACAAAGTGGAGGAGAGTTGTATGTTAGGAGCCCAATGACATTTGTATGAAGGCTACAAGCAGATAGCCAGCGCATCACCAGCAGGTAGACGGATTTATCTGCTACCCGGCTGCCATTGAAACCCCTGTGTAAGATTCAGTTATATACCTCAAATGCTTGAGCAAGAAGTGACTGTCTTTCTTTGATGACCCGACTTTCTGGATGCTTTGCTTTGATAAATCTCTGCGCCACGTTGTTGATTCTCTGGACACTTTCTCCTTGAGATTGAATTTGCGATTCAATTAAACTGTGCTTGTGGAGAAGATTTTCCACATCTAACAGATGCTTGCCATAGTCCTCAGATCTCACAGCCGACTGCAAAACAGAATGGCACTTAGAACGTGGGTTAAAAGAGGGGATTTCGATCTGCTGTCGTAAGCGTAGTCACAAAGGCTAAAAGGCAGAAAAGAGGATATCAAAGAGTTCGATGGCAAACTAAAGCACAAAAAGGAAACCGTCTAAAGCGCGGATTCTCTATATTAGTGCTGCGCCGGACACGAGCATTTCTTACCCCGCGAGAAAAGTGTGAGTCCTTATACGTACAGCGAGAGATCTGCTAAGAGAACGCTGGAAAACCACCCCCCGACTCGTCTCCAACCTTTCCGCGGGCGGAGAAACACGCGCAGCACTAATAACGAGGGCCTGCTTGAAGGTTACGGAGAACGTAATGTAACATAGATCGTATTCGTTATCCAGCTAGTACCTCAATATCCTGCATGTCACCGTGTGCACCATCCATTTCTCTGAACAAACCGACAAGATCCTTAAAACCCACCAGAGTTGAACGCTTCGCCTCTAACATACCGATCAGCTTGTCCCATTTGGTCATAATAACCTCTTCTCTGTAACACAAAATCAGATTGGGTCAGATACCTTGACAGAGCTCTTTAGTTCAAAGATCTCTGCGTCTGTTCTGTTAAAAGAGCTAACGTAATGAAATGCGCTATAAAAGCTTCTCCTTCCGCCTAGAAAGCCTGTTTCTAAAGTTCCTGGCAGGGCATGATAACAGCGCGGAGTGAAATAGGAAAGAAGGCTTAAGACGGGGGCGTGACCTTTCCACGATGGTGGATTCATAGGAAGGGTTCTGGGGATCCAATTCCTTCCCACTTCGCCCTCAAAGTCGATAGATTTTTAAATATGTTTTGTTTTTTTTCCTTAGCAAACATAATAGTAATGTATTTATATTTAAAATTTTATTGTTATCGACATATGTAAAAATACCGAATTCTAGATTCCATTGTAAATGGATTCTAGCACTTGAAATAAAGATATTATTATTAATATTATTATTATTACAATTATCATTATCAACATTATCAGTTCCATTTTTTAAGTCGAGTTTGGGTCTAGCGATTGAGTTTGATACTCTTTGTAGTGGTGGTTTTGGCAGATCACCATACCTTGCACTGATAACATCAGATCTGTGGTAATCTTCATCAATTAGTTCCTGGGCCAGGTCAAAGACCATTTGAAAACGTTCTTCCTGCAAATCACAAAGGTAAGTGTTTAATAGCAATCAATATTTTTTGTCATACTGCAAGCACTTTTGTCCTAACACATGCATTTAATGCGTGTTGATTGATTGCGTGCACTGAACTGCGTGCAGTTTTGTAATGCATTTGCGTTTAATACCACGGAGTGTGCGTGTCGTTTGCGTGTGCTGCGTCGGGTTTCTCGCCAGAAGACACACACACAAGAAACTGGCAACTTACAGGTTATATCACTCACCCTGGCCTTGACGTCGGTACTTATGGCTTCATGTCGTTTAAAAGCCGCCTCTACGGTCGCCGCGTCTTGACCCAATGCCTCTCCTTCCAGAACATGCATCATATCATCCAACCAAGACTCGCGAAGGGAAGCCTGAAAATTCAAACATACAGAAGCCGTCGTTAATGAAACACACACACACGAAAAAATCTCATAGTAGCTGAACTCTTTACCTTTCTTTCGAACTTGTCAGCTAGTTTTTCAAGCATCTCTTGCCTAGGAACAGCAAAGACATTTCATCAAAAACAATTCAAATTCACGAGAGAACGTGTTTCAGCATGACTCATGCCATCATCAGTTCATTGTGTCGTATCCGTTGACTTTGCTTTTACACGTTTCATAAAAATTACGTTATCAGATTAATCGAATCACGATATTTGAAATAAGTAACATTACAATAACTTAGGCAAACACTCGCCGAAACATGTCTTTAAAATGTTTTCTCTTGAATTTGAAATTTATTTTGGCCACAGTGTCATCACAAGTTATGGAAGCATTACGTTCAGAAATAACTTCATGAGGCTCTTACGGTGTTGTAGATAGGTCATAATGGAGTTTCTATCTCTAGCCTTGTGCTTACCTTCTTAAAATGACACTTTTCGTTCCCCCAAAGAAAAGTTAGTTGTCATACGTAATTGGTATCTATGATTGGTTCAGAAAACTCGCGTCACTCTCTCAACCAATCAGATACAACACCAACACCAATCACGACTTGGTCGCCGCGATTTCCCGCGCTTTGCTTCCTTTCCCCAGTATATGCTGGACACGTGTCACATAAGAACCTTGTATATAGCCCCACCAACAAGTAGGTTGTCTTAAGCTCGCTCCTGGGAGCATTCATACACGAAATCTTAGGGCGTATATTCGACGATGGTAATTATCAGCAGTGCACATGACTCCAAAATGCAAGGCATCTCCGAAGAAGGGAGACACTCTCTCGAGTAAATACAATACCTTATCAATTCCTGGCGTAGTGCCATTTCTCTGTCATGTTCAGCACTCTCCATAACCTGCCACGCCCTGTTGATGTCCATCACCAATTTACCCTCAGGGGGTATGTAAGGTTGTTGATTGTTACCCTTTCGTTTCGTTTGTAAGCTAAAGAGGTGGGCTTCGATATTCACTCGTTCTGAGTATCTGATGTTGGGAAGAAAAATAATAACGACTTAGAACAAAAAAGCGATCAGAAGTAAAGGAATCAGCTATTTTTCGTATAAGCTCAAACAAATCAAGGAAAGTCTGTTACTATGTCAGAATGAAACAGTTACGGAACAAATATCTTAAATTATTTTGGAATTTTGCCAATGCAGCCATCTACAAAGTGAAAATTCAAAATTGTAAAAGAATACTGCAATTGTCATAATTAAAAATTTGACCTGTTTTTCCAATACTTTAAAGGAGTATTATGGCAACCTAACCTTCACGATCATTGCCAGGTCTCAAAAAGCTCATAATGCAACGCGATCTAAATAGTGGCTACAAAAAAGACTAATATACCAGTAAATTGACAATATTCCACCCCCTGACATCAATATGCACACTCTCCATATTGTTCTCTATAAATTTCTTATAGTGCTAACAAGGAGAATTTGTTTAATAATCAAGAACTTGTTTTGTTGGTGATCACAATCTTTATTCTCATGACCTTTATGATTGATTCACTAGTGATACTTAGAGGAGAAGTTAAAGGCTGGTCGCTCTTAGGGGTTGAAGGGCTACATCAGCTTTGAACAATTTAAAATTAGTTCATGCAAGTCAACTTACTTTGGTGGCTTTTCAACTGTTCTGAAATGCTTAAATAATGCCATCTCCCTCTGAACTGCTACCATAGACTTCTGGAATGGCCTACCAAGCTCTACAATCTTAGTGTTAAGCCAGTTTAACAAGTCTGACACCATCTGTTCATACGTCTTCTCCATCTGTTCCACCTCCATTAAAATCCCAAGGATCTGTAGTCAGAATGATCAAATCCAGAGATTTTCATTTTGAACAAAAAAAGTTTATCATGTCAATATTTAGCTGAGTGAGTGATTGAAAAGAGACTACAGGGTGTCACTAAGGTACACCTAGATGCACAGGTAAGCATGTGCACTGTACATTCTAGAATTAAGCAGCAGGCCCTCTTTAACATGGCTGCAGGATGTGAGTTTCTCTGCCCAGAGGAAGATTTGAGATGAGTTGGGGAAAGATTAACTGGGGCTCTGGCTCTAAAGGCAGTGCTAATTGCTGTGGCTTTGAAATTCTTCATGCCAATGCAACGGACAAAGCAAAACTTTGTCATGACAAAATCTGTCCTTTGATTTTGTGGGGACAATTCTAGTTTTGTCTACCATTGCAGAAAGGCCCAAAGTAACAGATTTCTACCCATTTAACCCTTTAAATCCCAAGATCCCATTAATAATTCTCCCAACTGTCTGCCAATACTGTTCTTGTGATGTTCGTTTGTAGAATTTGGTGTTGGATCAACTCATGATCCCCTAACTGATAATTTTCTTTATTCTCATCACTTATCTGCTTGATATTGTATCTATATTGTAAGGAGAAATCCTGTCTTGGTCACTTGTGGGAGTTAAAGGGTTAAACAAGACAACTGAGAGCTGGTTAACTAGAAGCAGAACTTGTTCCCATTCCATTCCAAGTCTCCAATGGTTTATTTTCTCTCCTCTTACTATATCCCTTGTCAATGGTTTAAAGCTTCACTGCTGCTTCAAAAAGAGAACTCATGCACAAGAGATGCTGTAACTGTGATATGGAATACTTTTAATAAGAATCATAAAATCCTTAAATGTCTTGCACCTTTGCAATACGTCTTCCTCCTGTTTCTTCTGTCTTCATTTTGGCAAAATATTGATAATACATTGACACATATGTCATGATGGACTTCTCATCTGGCCGTGGGCAGTCCACATCTGAAGAGAAATTATTCGAAAAGACAAACAAACTAATCAAGTGACTGAGAAAGACTTGAATCTCAAATGCATACAGTAATCACAAAGAAAAAAAAATAATGGTAACAACCTTCTGCATCCAATAGTTTGGCAATTCCTAATCTCTCCTCCGCAACATTGAAAGCATTGTTCAAGTTTGCCTCATGCTGGCTGGGGCGTAGGGTACCATAGTTTATTATATCAGGTCTGGAAAAAGGGGGAAAAATTTATACAAAATATTAAGGTTGAAATTTTAACACCTAACACAGTAATACACTCAACTTCAAAAGGTTATTACAGGTTAATAAAGTTTACTGTTATATGCGGGAGTATTAATCAACTAGCATTCACAAAAATTCTGTAATCTGATTAGCTGTGAGTAGGAGGAATGGCCTAACAGATTGTCCCCATAAACAAAGTAATACTGGAACATGTGTCTGTCTCACTGTTAAGTTTTGAACAGTTGACAACGAGTGGATATTTACTAAAACACTTAATATTATTTACTCCTGATTTCTATACATGATAGAAAGCTCTAGCTCAATTTGAAACCAATTTGAGATCTGGGAATGGTAGGGTTAGAAGCAACTGTTGTACAATCACATATAAATTAATGTTGTTATAAACATCATTTGAGGTGATGTCAGGATAAAATTACCTGTGTTTATGAATGAGAGCATTAAAAGCCAAACCATTTCTCCAGCTTGTGGTAAAATTTTGGATGTCAACTCCAGGATACCTTTGAGATAATAATAATAACAATAAAACAATTTTCTTTATTATGGAGTTAAGATTGTACAAAACATTTGGCTGGTGGTAAAATATGTTCCAGTTGCAGTGTAACAGTGTTTGTAACATTTACTTACAAGTGTCTAAGAAGTTCTGTATATTATTTAAGTCAAATATGATCTTACCCTCTTGTCATTCTTTGACACCAAAGCAGGAGGGCCTCTTTGGCAGACTTTTTCTCCTGAGACATTTCATCCTAAAAACGTAAAGTCACTTGTTTTGTGAAATAAGCCTGACTGTGTGATGAAAAGTATGGTGGGAAATCTCTAATCAGGGGAACGCAAACTTTGGTCTAGGGTAGATGTTCAGAAATTATTTGCATTCTTTTGAAGGAACACTTTTTCTGGGTCTAAATACCCACTTTTAATCCTTTAACCCTTTCACTTCCACAAGTGACCAAGACAGAATTTCTCCTTACAACATCAATACAATATCAAGCAGGCAAGTGATGAGAATAGTTGATCCAATACCAAATTCTCTGAATTAACATCATAAGAATTGTATGGCAGATAGTAAGGAGAATTACTAATTAGATCTTGGGAGTGAAAGGGTTAAACCCAGAGAGTGACCAGCATGTATTTTCTCCTTACGTTTATGTGGCTGATTCATTTATTAAGATCACTAGAAAAAGCAAAATGATCGCCAACCCTAAGAAACTTTCACTGTTAAACAAATTATCCTTGTTAGTACCAAAGGGATGTACAAGTATGAAAAAACTATAGAGATAATTGATACTGGTGTTTGGGTGTCAAGAGTTACCTCCATTTAGGAAACAACTTAACTGCTCAAAATTTCAAAAATACACAGTGAATTTTATTTTGATGTACACATGAAAATAATCTTTTATCTTTGTATTTGAAGATCTATAAAAAACTCTTACTGCATGCAGTACAGAAATGAGGGAGGGTTCTATTGTTTTGTGAATATTTAAATATATCATTATACCTGATAGGAAATATCTGCAATTTGGAATCGCAGAATAATCATCCAAATCACAGCTAGGATTAAACGTTCATTGCCATCCACTATATCTTCTGCTCCAATGCTCTCAAGCTTCACCTGCATTTACAGCATAAATATAAAGAAAATATCACATATAATATCCATAATGTTATCAAACAGGAGATGAAAGTTCTGTGGAATCAGACTTACAGAGCGCTGTAGAAATTCAAGGGCTTTGTTCACATTTTCAATCTTATGCACCCTAAGCTTTCCACGAGCTGCAAGGACAAAGTATTCAGTGGTAAGTTGTAATGAACAGTAGCAAATGAACTAATAATAATTTCCAACTAAGACCTTGACCCTCAAACTTCAACGATTTAGTTAGAAATTCTCCCCTAAATTTTATAGACATTACATGTAATACAGTTTAACGTTTCGTGCTATCCGTTTTTATTTTTGGTCAACCATTTGAAGGCCTAAGCTATCCGTTTTTGGACTTTAGTCAACCGTTTAAATTTTTTGCCATCCATTTAAGCGGTTATGGCATCCGTTTAAACGCTCGAGTTAGCCATTTACTATCCGTTTACAACCGTTTTTCGAGACCGTTTAATGGAAAAGTGTTAGTGTCCGTTTTCCCATGGAGGGTCACAAATGATCTGAACCTGGGTATAACATGTGATAGTGTAGTCTGATTACTCAGGTGAGTGTAATCCTGAGAAGGACTGTTGTCGGTAATGATGACAATCTGAGCAGAAGACATAATCAGAGTTAAGCAAATAGTTATGTCTGTCAAAAGTTCTCTAAGTCTTGTTTATATTAACTCGTTTAAATTTGTATAAACTTGTTTAAATTTGTTCTTAGAACATTTGACTGACAACAACTAGTCACTTGAATCTGATGATACCTTCTGCTCAGGTTGTCAAAATATCAGTCACCACTATTGACGACATTACATGTACTTTGTTTATCAGTTCAGAGAGTTTGATCTTAGCCACTTAACCCACTTAATGATTATGTTTACACATTGTATTGAGAAGTAAACTCCAGAAATTATGTATAAAAATTAGCTGTCTTACCAATTTTTCCCAGTTTTTCACCAGAAATAATCTCAAGAAGAGAAATTAATAATCTGCCATCAGATAGGTCAGTGAATAGGTCATCTACATGGCTGTTGTGCTAGAACAAATCAAGATTCATGTCAAATGCATTGTTTTCACCGTCCACATGTACACAAGGAATCAATTTGAAAATGATAACTTTTAAACAATAACCCAACTTTCCATGCTTGACACATACATATTCACTATTATTTGCATGGACTGGATTTGAACCGATAGTTTGACGTACACATGAAAGCAGCATTTTCAAAAATTCCACTCCAGAGAGAGTTTTTTAAAAGTTCCATTATCAGTAATCATTTTTATTGGATACTTGTGGACAGAAGCCATATCCATAGAAAACAGCTGCGTTTTCAAATGAAAACAGATACATTTGGATGTGGCTTTAACCATTCAAGCCCAAAGAGCACCTTGTGCAGTAAATACATGTAATTTCTCTTTACACAACAATGAATCAAATGTTGAGGTCAAGAGAATAGAAGAAATGATCCTTAACTAAAGAAGCTCTTGATTGTAAAGAAAATTCTCTCTGTCAATAACATAGAAAATGTATGGGGAACAGTATTGAGAATTTATGCATTGGTGTTAGTGTGTAAAGGTTCAAATGGCAAAACCCCAAGGGAGGGGGTCCCAACCTCCCTTAGCTTTGACAGGTATGTGCTCCAAAGGAGGGTATGCTTTTTTCTGAATGAGAAGACTTGAATGATTATAGCTGTTGAAAATCTAAATTTAAACATTTTGTTTAAACATGAAAGTTGAGGTTGATATAACATAGTCTAATGGTCTTGAAGAGGGTTAAAGAGGGATTTTATCTGAAAAGAAATACATGAAATGTAGCCCCACAAATATCTTTTGCAAAGGTGCTGAAAATAAAATAAACTTTTTGGGTTTAATTTTTCCAAGGATGCCAACTGATACCTACTATTTTTGGGAGGTGAAGAAAAATTTTGCCCAAGAAATGACAGACTTAGATGAGGAGACTTCTAAAGCTACCCACATCCTTCCATACTTGTACCTTGTTACTTCGCAAGTGAAAACAAGTCAAGGCAAACTTGTCAGAGAACACCTATGCCATGTTTAAAAAGTTCAGCTTGTTTATACTAGAAAGTTCTTTAAAGCTAGATCAAAATACAGCTTTGAAGAAGACCTCTTGCGACAAAAAAAAATTCCCTTCGGCACGCTCAACATGTAAAATTAATTCCTAAATAGAAGAGGTAAAGTTACTATCAACAAAATTGGTATTCAAATATTCCGGTGGAGGCTTTGCACATGTCAAGATCACATCGAGATAAACTCACCTTGTCAAGAAAGGAATTAACCCACTTAGTGAAAGTTTTCTTTTGAGAGTTGATTCGTTCATTTTTCAACGCTCTTATCCTGTCTTTTTCGAAGGTCGGTGTTGGTGGAGGAATATAAGACATAATTGTGTGTCCAAGTCGATGTAAAAGAAAATCCTGATCAAACTTTTGAACCGCGAACTGTAAACAGTTTTGTATCTCGCGCCTTACTAATTACTGTGTGAGAGCACATTCGTCGCTCCAGTCCATCGTATCATGGATATATGGTTATGTTTAACGCCAATGAAATTTCCTTTCGCAGTTCATCCTCCTTAGCGTATCCTTTCCTGTCAGTACAGATAGAAAGCTTCGTGCAGTTAAAGAGAATCCTAATTGGGAAAATTATTCCAAATGTTGACCTTACGACGAGCAAATCACAAGCGATGTTTATGTGATCCTTAACTGCCAAGAGCGTACAAACAAACCACAAGACTTCTTCCAATTAAAACGTCCTGAAGACCCATCCAATATTTATAAATGATTATGATCATAAACCAAGGAAAGCAATATCAGAAGCTGCTAGGAAACGAGAAACGCTTCCATAAGCGTGACACGATAGCGTAATGGAATGTTGGTATCGAGTTCGAATTCTCGCACTTCCTTATTAGGAGTGATTGACAGAAAGCATACATGTTTGAAAAAAAAATGTCAGTCTCGTTCCAGTCTTTCTGAGTGGAAGGCGCGCGAAACACCACAGAAATACAAACATTGCTTACCCTCACACTACTACTTTATGCACTTCAAATTCTCCCCCTACTGGTTCGCCCCAACCTCAACAAGTTCGCCCCATCTAATATAACTAACTCGCCTCCTTCTATCTCAGGTCGCCCCCAATCTTTCACCTCGTTTCTTGACAAAACGTCTTACAAGACAAATTCGCGAATTCATTTTGATGGGGGCAAATTTGCAATTGGGCGAAACTTCCATAGACTAAAACAACTCAACAAGAACGAGATCACTGAGGCTATAGGAGGTTTATTCTCAGGAGAGAAAGGAGAATTATTTGTTGTCTGCCTTGAGATGAAGCATGAACCTCCAAAAATCAACACTACTGGCAGCGAAAGCAAACCAAAATGTTTCTTACAGAAACATCAGGTGTGGTCAGCATTTTAGTGCTTGATATAATATCCTACAGATCAAAATTTTTTTTTTCTTTCCCTTAACGAATAATGTTTCTAGCGACAATCTCATGATCTGAGGTCGCCAAATAGCAACAAATAGCAAGTTTCTTCGCCGAAGCCCCCTTCATTCCTATGAAAGGAAAAATCCTCAGCAGTTAGCTTTATAACTCGTATAGAATTTCAGGAATCCAAAAATTTGGTTTTATTCATCGGTCAAAATTATTTTAAAAAAGTGGCTCAAGGTTTACTCTGCCAAAGGTTAAAAGAAACATCTAAAACAACACGTAGTTAAGAAAAAATTAAAAAACGAACGAGAGCTCGGTGAAATTTTATTATCCCATTCCTTATTTCTCTACCCTTATATACAATCGAATGTATGTATCATAAAATGTCGAGTTTACCTCAAATAAAACATTTTACAAATTTACAATCTCGATTAAATTAAGAAGTGATATATTTCTCCCCACGTCACACTTGTGTGTGCGATGCGCGCCGAACCTCTAGCTAGTTCGGGAATGTTCGTGTTACCCTCTCGTCTCTTGCACGAAACGTCCCTATGTATCGACGACGATGAAAGACTCCCCGACGGATATTATCGTTGAATATAAATATTTTCTGGTGTTTTCTACATCTGGTGATATGACAGATAAATGTAAGTTGTGTTTTGAAAGCAACTTTCGACGAGTATGAAGCTCCAGGTCATCGCTGGTGTCCTGAAGCACTTTCAACGTAATTTTACGCAACCTTTCCTTGCTGGGCTGGTGTCGGTTGTTTAACTTCCTTTGTGGCTCCCGGAAGATCTTGGTTTATCAGGAACACGAAGCGAAGACCACAAATCTGTACAAGAAAAAGTGAATCTACGATCAAAAGAGCTGAATATTCAATAACTTTATCACCAAGGCCATGTACTCACGACTTTTTATTCAAACTCGGGAACAAAGAAAAGTTTAAGTAAAGAGGGCACAGTAACAAATCCTGCCATCTGATTGGCTCCTAGCGTGGTCCGGATTTTCCTAACTCTGCCAAAGGGCACGGTAACAGTGTCGTGAGTCCCCGATTTCATCCCCAACTTCGTTGCCATTTTTCATAAATATATTTCGTTTTACCGGTTGGGAAGTTTTTTTTTAAGTGAAGTATTTTAAAGCAAATCAAGCCTAACAATAACTTTATTATCCTCTCCTTTCTCTCTCTCTCAAATCGTTTTGGTTGCCAACATTTCGTTTTGTTTGGTTTCCAAATGAATTTGTGGTAGCTAATGTATCATTAAATGGGTTGAAACGCAGTCAAAAAAAAAAAAAATTTGTAATTAAATTTAATCCTTCATTTAACCTCATTTTCATCGCGCGCCCGAAAAAATCGCCAGCTGCGTTAAGTCAAGATTAATTTTTCGCGTTCGTGTTGACTGCAAAAATGACTTTTTGACTGAAGAAATGTAAAATGGTTTCCGTGTTTACATAGCCTGATATAAACACGCGGGAGGTTGGGAGAACACGAGATAAGCGTAGGAAACCACGGGGCGAAGCGGAGTGGTTTCCAGCTTATCGAATGTTCTCCCAACCTCCCGCGTGTTTACATCAGGCTATGTAAACACGGAAACCATTTTACATTTCTTTTGTAAAATAACTAATGAAAGAGGAACGAAAACCGTATTTACATACACTCATGTAAAATGGTTTTATGGCCAATCAGAGCGCGCGTACTATTTGAATTATTTTATAATATCTTTTGTTTCCTTGTTTTTTCACTTCCTTTTTTTGATTATTAATTCTCCTCTTTAGCAGCTGCACATTTCCTAGTAAATTAGTTACGAGAATTTGGTGTTAGATGAAGATAGAAAAACTTATCCCTAGTAAATTTTAGAGTTCTCATTACCTGTTTGCTGGATAATGTATGGATATTTTTGGGAGAAGTTACATGTTCATCACTTCTGGGAGTTAAAAAGTTAAACCATATCAACCAGGAAGGAGGAAGTAGTTAGTTAGATCTTGAATCAGAATCAGAAATGGGATATCAATAGTTTCGCCGGGTTCTAATGATTTATGTTTTTTTTACGATGAGCAAAATCAACTTTTGACTTAAAGGAAAGCATACAGTGTTAGTTTAATAAGGAAGAGGAAAAAAGGAGCAATCACTAACAAAACAAAGATGAAATAAGATTCAAGGCATTTTGAAGCGCGGCCGGTAACAAAATTTTTCTGCCAAATGCAAATAACTACAACATCTTTTCCGTTTTCCACATGTTATATGGTCTTGAGAGCCTGACCAAAAACGGAAAAACGGAAGAGTAAGAAGAAGACCCCTCTTTGGGAATGACGATGTCGAAACGCAACAATTTAAGTGCACGCAAATATTTACCGTTTAATGAAGATTACCCAAGGTCACCGCAAAGCCTCAGTTGAAGTCAGAAAGCTTAGTTTTGCTTTCAACTCTAATTCGCATCGTGTTTGGGAATGAAGTATCGTCAACTCCAATACTAATTTCCTCGCTTGAAAGAACTACATGATCATTGTTTTTCGAAACGAGTATCATTTAGCACGTTTCATTTTCATTTTGAGCTCCAAAAGGTCTATCTCAATCGAGACAGAGCTATGATATAACAACGAACTGCACTCGAAATCATGTTGTTACCTATACTAATAAAGTTCGGATATAACACGTGCTACCTTTGGTTGGAAGAGCGTCTCGTGTTTTTCCCCTACAGTACTTTCGTGCTTTTTGCAGTACTTTTCCCAAATTATCTGGGACTTTCAAGACATCAGTGTTCTAGATTATCCATATATTGAATTTAATTGATCTCCAGCCAAGTCTAGGAGTATTAATAATGAGCTCTGACTATGGTGCACATGTTGAAAATTTCAGTTCTCTTACAGGATTGCTGAAAAGTGTGTTGATGTGATTGGGAACAATCCTAGAACGGTAAAAATAATTCATTATTTATTTTTTCATTTAGAATTCCTTATTTTGCAATTTGACATTAATTTTTAAGCTAGTTACTCATTTTGAGACAATGACCTTAAAATTAATGTCCTATTTATTTTGCTAGGTCAAGCTTTGCAGGTCAATTGATTTATAATTTTTGTTAATTATATCACAATTTAAGATTATTATTCTCTTGAAGAGGAGAGAATAAAATATGTTTCAATACGTAGTTACTTGATTTTGGCATTATTTGTGGTACAATATTTCACTAATAGTAAAGTACAACTGACACCATATGCTAGTCACAATTTTGTTATATTTCTAATAAGATACATGTCATTGTTTAACTGTTCTTACAAGGTTGTTGACATTAAAATATTATCATGTATGAAATGTATTTAATTACCTTTTTCCCCCTCTTTTAAAGGTGTCTGTTGATTAGGTAAAAATATCTTAATTGTGAAACGGATCATCTGCTTCTGAATATAGTTTTAGTTTGTAAAACTGTCACAAGTGTGTAAGTTTGGATTATCTGGTAAGCTTTTTGTGAGAAACAAATGAATATTAATAAACAAAGTTTAAAAAAAAAAAAAAAAAAAAAAGCCGCTTCCCGCCGCTTTAAAACAGAACAGAGCACAATCAAGGCTTCTATATTTGTTCAGTGTTTCTGGCGACCATGTTATGATTTTAGGTAACCAAATACCTTACAACTCAAACCCTCTTCACCAGCATGATGGGAACACCTCCCCCTGGCCCCTGGAAAAAAAACCTCAGAACGGTATTCTAAGCATGGTGGGTTTTCGTTCAATTTATCTGAAAAACATCCGCAGAAAAAATGAGTTGAAATTGGTATGGGTGTGTAGTTCAACGTGTCTGTTGCAATATGACAACTTTCTTCAGCACAATCGAAACTCTTTACTTGTACTCCACAAAATAATCGGGTTCACCGTATGCTTAACATAGTACGCAAAAAGGCAAACGACGTCAGCGTAATGGAAAACCTGGTTCGTTGCCATTGTGACATCGTCTTCGAATTCCCTTATCAGCATCAAAACACCTCGAGGAATTGAACAACACTGGAAAACAGCAACAAGACACACCAGGACTTTCACCACGTGAATCTTTTGCTTGATTCGTTTCAGAATGTCCTTTCTGTTAGCGTTTCCTTCGGAGGCACGTTTTAGTTCTCGGTAAACGACAATGAATACGTTCACGTAACACCACGACTGTATGAATAGAGGAACCGTGATGAACAACACGACGAGGTAAACTTCGTACACGCGGCGGAATTCATCCGATGGGAACTCCGGAATGCAGTAAACTCTGCCATCAGGTTCTTTATAGAGCTCAAGTATAACAGCTTGGGGTAAGGCCGCGGACACGTAACAGCCTAACCAAATGAAAGCTACCAAAAACTTTGACGTTTTCTGGTTTATTCGTTTTTTAAAGGGCTGTTGAATTGTCCGGTACCTCTCCAGCGCTATGGTCGTATGAGTCACGACTGATACGGAGACGAAAAGCTCTTGAATGGAAACAAGGAAATTGCACATGAAACTTCCGAAAGGCCAACCTGTATAATTCTCCATGATTCGCTGAGGGGCTGCAATCATAGCCATTCCTAGGTCTGCCAAGGCGATAGAGAAAAGCATATAGAAATATGAGGCTCTCGACGGCTGACGGCGACCTATCGCTAGCAAAAGAAGTATGTTCCCTGGTGCTCCGATAATTATCATAAACGAAAAGAGCACCGTCGTTGCTGTTCTTAGCTGGTACACGAACGTGTCATTCGTCGAAAAATATGAGCCATTACTGGGCGAAGGCATATTTTGATCCAGACCCAAAGACTGAGGAAAAGCTTTCTAACTATCGATGTATAATGATGATGAACCTTCTTATCGCACTTCTCTTATTGCTTCGAGTACACAACAAAAAATGAGTTACAAGAGAAACCGCAGTCAATTTTTCATTTGCAACTACAAAAAAAAACACCTGTTTAGCCTAAGGACACTATCTTAATCGAGTTCCTGTCTGGGGAGATGACTCTCTGCTATACCGTAAACACGGCTGTTCTAAAAGGCGCAGCCTCGGTAGCTTTATCTAACCTGGTAATGAAAAACAAAGCTATTTGTCGGCGTCTCCGTGTGTTTAGCCTAAAGTTTGACAAAGATTTTCCAATTAATTGCCATAAGATTGACAAGCAGTCACGAGGATGTCCCTTTTAATTAATTACCAATCAAAAGCAACTACGTCATCTCCGCCGAATCCCCTCAGTCCTATATCATCTTTGCTCCTTCCTTGTTAAATGCTACCTCTTTGGTGTTTTTCTCTCTAACCAAACTAAAAAATTTTCTGCTTCCCCTAACGTCAAAGGCAAATTTGCTCATCGCAAAAAAAAGAAGAATTATTCGGAACCTTGCAAAACAATCAACATCCTATTTTAATATCCGATTGAGGATCTAACAGACGACTTCTTTCTTCCTCTTTGGTCGTCGTGATTTGAAAGGCAAGCAAACAAACGACGGATAAAAAGCTACCTTTGAAACAAACACGAATGTTAAAATTAGCTGCGCAGCTGATGCTTTCTTCGGGCGCTCCAAGAAATGGAAGCTCTGTCGTGACTTTCCCAGTCCTCTTGCGGCCTTGCCGCTCATTTCCAGGGCTCAACCGTATAAAAATCCCACAAAACAGCCAGCAATGTAAACTAAATTAATCTCTGATTTGGCTTACTTAACACTTATGATAAAATACTTGAAGAGATCGAACGGAAAAACAGTCAAAAGCCTACTATTCACAACAAATGCAAAGCAGACGGTAGAAATCCAAATTTTTTTGTCTGCTGTTCACATAAATCTGCATATTAAACACATTTGACGGTACCTCAAAAGTGGAGTTATGGTGGAGCCTCGCTTTCGCGCCAATGACGACGGGCTTGCCATCTATGTACAGCGGCCTCCGACCTTCGTTGATGACACAGTACTCACCATCGCTACGAAGCTTGATTACCGCCTGTGAATTAAAACAACAACTTATTCCTCAATAGGACTTTCCGAAGGATGAATTTTCTTGGATCCACTTGATTTTTGCACCTTTTTCGGGTTACCTGAAACTCAGGTGACTTGTTAAAGCTAATAGTGTTGGACCAATTTTACATTTTACAAAAGGAATCTAAGAATGCATCGATTTTGCTTTTCTACACTTCATGATTCGTGGAGAAAACTTGCGTCACTTTCTCGGCGAATCCGGTTCAAAATTTCAACCGAAATTGACTTGGCGACCCGCGTCGCAGTTTCCCGCGCTTGAAGGAGGTAATATAAATATCTATAATTGTTTAAGTTCTTATTCGTTCTCTGCGTTGTTTACTTTAGACCTGATTGGCAGTTTTAAATAGATGGTGTCACAACATTCAATCGAAAAGCGCTCTTATCCAAAACGCATTATCATGTGGTATTTAAGTTATTGTTCGTAGGTGGTTACAAAACAATTCTTCGAAACAAAAAAAAACTTTCACACAAATGCGACTGGCCAATAAAAGACTACCAATCACAACGCATTGATCGCGCGCGTCACTACGTGTACGCCAATTGCCCGCGTCGCGCCGGTCCGGTTGTCTTCTTAGCGGGAATTCTTAAAAAACTGATGATCATTTCACTTTAACATCATATAAGAGTTCCATTTTCTACGCAACGCTTACCTGTCGCCTTGATATTTTCCATGCTGGTCCTTCTAGGGACAAATCAACATCAACGTGATTGTCAGCGGTAGATCTTCCGACGGTAATCTGTAGCCAAACAAAATAAATACCCCTATAAGTGTGTTGACGAAATTAGCTAATTTGTGCAATAATTTAAGACATGGTAACTACACAAACAAATTGACTCAATGGGGAGTGGATAGGTTAAAATTCCAACTAGCAAGCCACCCAACGGTTAGCTATTTAGAGCGCTTTTCGATTGAGTGTCGTAAAAGCAAAAACCAAAATAATCACGACTGCCAATCTAAGGGAAGGAAAATACCTTTAAGAGCCAATGAGAACTCAATATGAAAACAAGCAAACTGTCTAAAGCGTGGGAAACCGCGAGTGACCAAATCGTGATTGGTTTTGGTCTTATTGGTTGAAAGAGAGGCGCGAGTTTTCTGAACCAATCACAGAGAGAAGAGCACGCAAGGGTTGCACTCACAACCAAAGGGAAACAAGTCCCATTAAGGTGCAGAGTGGAGAATCATACCCTTGGGTAAAAAAAGCATTTTCATCGCTGTATTTTATAGCCTGTTTGAGGTTACGCGGTTGTTACTGCTAAACTTTTGGTTTTATGCCTATTTCTTGGAAACTGCTCCGCAAGTAACCATGATTTAAGGGGTGAACGACAAGCGCTACAGTGACCCACGTCATTACTTATCAAAAAAAGTCTTACACCGCTCTACCACTTACCTCTCTGGAGCGCATCAGGTATCTGACCAGTCGCCCTCTCAACACTGCAAGTGTGTGGGAATCAAACTCGCTGGCTGGCGTGACTGTGGTGGCTCCCGCTGAGAAGAGATGACAATATATTAGCAGCCACTGAGGGTGCTGCTAATAAAGTTAATCATTATAAAAAAAAAAAAGGACAAACGCTCTGACGGGAAGGTGGACACGGACAGACTATTCGGTACCAGTCTCCAGCACTGGAACTCGTGATGGCATGTTGGCATAGCATGTTGGTCTTAAGACTAAGGGACGGTTATTTGATCAAAATTCAGCCATTGTTAAACAAAACCGCGTCCTAAGCAGTCCTAAATTCACCTAGACCTTTCATATGAACATTTATTTATGTGAACAGTGTCAAGTGGGTCGAAAGCTGACAATGGAAGGACATTTACCTAATAAAATCAACCCTCTAATAGAGAAAACCTGAGGCCCACTGATTGCGTAAAACCGTGGTTCGAGTTAGACCTCGTGAACCGGCCGTAGGAGTCCACGTTTAAACCCCAGATAGCGGCTATCTCATTGTAAGTTCTTGCTCGAGACTCCGCATTAGAGAATAATTGGGCCTAGCAAATTGTTTAAAAAAACGTGATAAATACTGAGTGCAGGGAAGAAGAGGAGCGTCTTTAAGAACTATAGTGATATTTCGCGAGTAACCATTGAAATTCTTGAGCAGAGAAAAGGACTGCGAGAACTAAGTGTCTTGTCCAAGAATACAGCACAATGACCCAACCAGAGCCAACATCAGGACTTTTCGACCACTGGAGTTCAATGCACAAACCGGTAGGTTGTTTCTACTCTGCAACTGTTAGGGTGCAATTAAAGAATACTTAAGCATCGTCTTACTGGCTGCATTGAGTTTCTCCACGATAACTTGCCACAACGGAATCTCCCCTTCTAACATGCGTATCTCTCTTTTGTTTCGTCTGTCGGCCAATGAAAGTTCCTGTTCTAGGTTATCATCCTTGGTTTCTCTGTTCAAAATGAAAAGGAGATGACAATCAAATAAGCAGTCAGAAAACAAGTGAAATGTCTCTACCAGGCTCTCTAGGAAAAGTAACTCGAATAGTCCCCGATAAAGAAGTCTTTTTCATAGCCGTTGTTTGGTTTTGTCACGCGACATATCACATAACGCACTCTAAGGGGGAGGTAGCATGTTGCGTGACAAAGAAACAACGGTCTTGACTACAGAAACTACGTATCGATTTTTTTATCCGTACTATGAGGCGTAAACACAATCATGATCTGCAAGCACAGTACGTGTACTTACGAGAGTTCAGCGTCGTTAATCTGTTCCTCAGCATCAGAAAAACTCACTGCATGCTCTGCTGTGGAAACTGAAGAAAGAGGGACACTGAATGGCCTTTCACATAAAACTGAACTCGTGCCATGAATATGATTATGAAATGACTGGCTGGCTTGTGATGTCAATCTTTACCGTCAGGTTTAGAAAGTCAATCTGGGATACTGGCTGACTGACTGACTAACTGAGTGACTGTCTAATGGTTTGTTGACTGATGACTGAAAACTAACTGGCTGCCCGACTGATTAACTAACTGACAGACCAGCTGACTTACAGTATGAGGACTGACTGGAGCACAGTCTGACTGACTGACAGACAGACTTGATGACTGAATAATTGAATGGTTGATCAACTGACTGATAGACTCACTGGGAGGAAGACCATCTGCATGATGGCTGGCTAGCTAAGTAGCTAATTGACTAAAACATTAATGACTGGGTGGCTGACAAGCTGACTGAATGGCTAGTTTATTTACATTATTACCTGTCTGATCAGAGAGGAGTTGATATTGGCGCATCAGAAGCCAGTGATTTCTTAGTGCCTTAGCTGACCGACACTGGTGAAAAACTGAGGGGTTTTTATCCAACAAATCTTGGAATAATTCTAAAGAAGCTGGGCTGTTCTAGAAGAGAAAAGCACAGGCATTTTTTGTAAAAACTATCAGGATACCTTTTTTAGGCTAAAAGTTTCAAACAGTAACACTTTAAGATCACCACAACAACTGGAATTCATTCCAAAGTTGTTAATGAGCTGTTCAAAATTCACTTCAACTTTAAAGAGACAACATGTAAATAATGTTTGTTTGACAACAAAGAGGAATGTGAAAAAGGCTATATCAAAAGGACAAACAATTGTAGCTAAAAGAAGATGATTTCAATGGATCACAAAATTAAATTTTTTCATGATGCACAAACTGCAACAATTTACACCCTAACATCAGTATCCATATTCTTCATACTCTTCTCCATTCATTTTCTTTGCTACTGACAAGGAGAATTGGTTTAACAATCAAAGCTTCTTAGGTTAGTGATCATTTGATTCTCATAATCTCAATGAAGGACTCAGCAGTATTACTGTAAGGAGAAATTACATGCTGGTCACTCTTTAAAGGGCTTAAAGGGTTAAATGCACAGTAATTGTGACCCTCCATGGGAAAACGGACACTAACGCTTTTCCGTTAAACGGCCTCGAAAAACGGTTGGAAACGGATAGTAAACGGCTAACTCGAGCGTTTAAACGGATGCCATAACCGCTTAAACGGATGGCAAAAAATTTAAACGGTTGACCAAAGTCCAAAAACGGATAGCTTAGGCCTTCAAACGGTTGACCAAAGATAAAAACGGATAGCACGAAACGCTAAACGGTTGACCAAAGTTCAAAAACGGATAGCTCACACTGTTAAACGGTTGACCAAAAATAAAAACGGTCAGCCCGAAACGTTAAACAGTTGACCAAAGTCCAAAAACGGATAGCTTAAACCGAGAAACGGTTGACCAAAATCGACAAACGATGAGGTAAAAATTAATGTTTAACGGCTGTGATTGAGCCGGCGAGATCTTCTGCGGAAAACTTTCAGAGTGACAACGGATAATTATCCTTTAAGGCGAAAACATTGAGCATGATAATTTAAAAAATAATAACTAGCATATACTTGCGCATTTTATTTCTGGGTTAATTACTGCCGCTTTCGTGTGACATTCATGAAATAAGCGCAATTTACTGAGAATAGTTTCGCTGCCGAATATCCTGAACGGCTACCGCGAGAAACTCATAATCTTCCCCTTTATTTATTCTTATTAGTATTGAAAATGAACTTCAATTTATTCCCGTTCGGAAGTTTCGCGAAACAAATTTGCATATGCTATGCCGCCACCTTGTCTGAAGCCGAAACGTTTCAAGGTCAAATAACGCAATGAAGTTCCATTGCAAATAAAAGGTCGAATCGGTGTCACGCACCAAGCGGGGCCGTTAAAATGATTGTCAATAAAACCAAGAAAGATGAATCAAGATGATGTAAACAGAAAGAGAGTAGCCGATTTAACAGTCCATCAATGAGGAACAATTTAAAACTATGAGACGGGAACCAAGAAAGGGTTATCTCGAATTCACTAAATCTGAGTAAATCTTACAATTATTGTGTAACTCTTGCTTACCGCTGGCACATTTGCCAAGATAAGTTCCTCTTCTTTGTTCCACAGTGCATTGTTCTGCGCTGCAGCAATGACATCTGGAGGAAGCTGTTTAACGGCAGTAGTGGCCAACCTGTGATTGGATGCCAAAGATAATGATGAAATTTCTCAATGGATTCTGCAGATAATAATGAAATTTCTCAATCGATTCCACAGATGATGATGAAATTTCTCAATCAATTCCATAGATAATGATGAAATTTTTCAATGTTAAGTGCTAACTGAAGAGAGAAGCAAAGAAACCTTTGATCCAGGACACGTACGTGTACGCGTACAGCTTGTGCTCACATTAAAATCTCACAGTTTTTTTAGGGAGCAAGAAGCTCAATACCTATACATTAACTCTATGAAAGGGCTTGCCTGGAGTTTGAGTCTTGTGTGAAATGAAAACATTTCATATGTGCAAGCTATTCTTTATGCGTTTGATCATCAAATCCTTCTCTTAAAAACTGCAGATTGAGATCCTTGAAAAATTGCCACTCCAGCTATGAAACGTGATTCTTGATTCTAAAAAGTTTAAAGACTCAAGGAGGGAGTTTTGAGTCAAGACTGTCAACTTCCTTTGAAGCCATAAGTTTAAGATCTGGTAGACTACAAAGAATACCACAAACCTCGACACTACTGGATCATAAAGAAGTTGATACCATCTTTCTTGAATTTCTTTTGGAGTGAATCGACAAGAGAACTTTATCCCAAGATAAACAGCTGTCAGATCATTTGTCTAGAAAAGAATATTATCACTGGATTGGATACATGTGACAGCAGATAAATTTGTCCCTCAAAGTTAAGACCACTGCTTTATATAATTTTCCTGGAGGGTGTAGTCTTTTAACACTGTACACCCAAACATAAGTCTGTATATTCTCAATACTCTTCTCTGTATATCTATTTTAGCACTGACAAAGAGAATTTCTTTAGCAACCTAGAGCTTCTTTAGTTGGGGATCATCTCTCTTTTCTCATGACCTCTAATGACCCTTCTCAAGACCTTAACCAGTCATATGACCAGTGATATGACAAGTGACCAAGACAGAATTTCTCCTTACAATATCAATACAATATCAAGCAGGCAGGTGATGAAAATAGAGAAGAATATCAATTATGGGATTATTAGTTGATTCAATACCAAATTCTCTGAACTAACATCATAAGAATTGTATGGCAGATAGTAAGGAGAATTACTAATTAGATCTTGGGAGTGAAAGGGTTAAAAGAATTTTGTCAAAAACAATACTTTATTTATTTTCTTCTTTAACACTGCAAAAAATTTTCAACTCTGCAGGTGTAATTTGCAACTTTTTCTTCCTTTCTTTTTCCTATCCCTTTAGCTACCTAACCTCTTAACCCCTGTCTTTAGTTCACTTCTCGTACAGTGCTTTATGGAAGTTCCACCCCAACTGTGAGTCTTCACTGCTTTTCATAAGTAAACAAGATGCAAGACTTAGGGGCAAACTGATATCGATGGGGATTGTTTTTTAAAATTGGATTGGCTGAACTTAAACTCCCAGATACCCTTTAACCCTTTGACTCCCATGAGTGACCAAGACAGAATTTCTCCTTACAATATCAACACAATATCAAACAGACAGGTGATGAGAATACAGAAAACTATGAATTTGGGTTTAATTAGTTGATCCAGTACTAAATTCTCTGAGCTAACATTATCAGAATTGTATGGTTGACAGTAAGGAGAATTACAAATTTGATCTGGGAGTTAAAGGGTTAATCTTACTGTAGGTTTCCCCTCCACAATGTTTGTCAGTTTTACCTGCTGAACTCCAGTAATGAGGGCAAGATCATCTGCTGGTCTCCATCTTCCAAAGTCTTTATTCACTTGAGGGTTCTGTTGATATGAATAACAATTTTTCATTATGATACCAAAAACCAAATACAAAATGACCAAACAGCATTTTAACCCTTTACACTCTAACATCAGTAATCATATTCTCCATACTGTTCTCTGTACATTTACTAAGGTGCTTACTAGGAGAATTTTTCAATGTTATCATTTATTCTCATAATGTTAATGTGTGATTCTTACTAGAGTTAAAGGATTAAAAACAGTTACTTACTGTTACATGTAAAACTCATTTACATTCTCACAAAAGAAGAAACAGGAAGGTAAAAGATTAAGTCTTTGTAAACCCCTGCAGTATCAAAATATTTGATGATATGATTAATCTTTATTTGGTGATCTATTCATTCATTCTCATCACCCTAATGTTTGATTCAGGTGTGATATTGTAAGGAGAAATTAGAGGCTAGTCTCTCTGAGGGGTCAAAAGACTAACACTTTCACTCCCAAGAGTAACCCTGCAGTATCAAAATATTTGATGATATGATTAATATTTATGATACTAACCTTGCTTTTTCTCTGTTTCCTTGAGGAGCCTTTACCTGTGGGCTGTAAAAATTAACATAAAAGAAGTCTTAGTACAGGAGACAACTTGAATCAAGGGGACACTCCTGGAACTAACAGTGTTGCCTGAACAGAGGTTTTCTCCTCAATGAAGGTAAACTATAAAAAGTTCATGCAAAGGAAACTTCATTGGGGGGACAGCCTCATGACTACTTATAGTGTCCCTTGAAATGAGGTGTCCCTTCAATGAAGTGAACAATGCAAAGGATAAAAAATATAGAAAGGTTATTTAAAGGAAAATCCATTGGGGGTGGGGGGAAACCCATTGGACTAGTAAAAGTGGCCTTTGAAGAGGTTTCCCTTCAATAAAGAAATTGATACAAAGGATCAATCAACATGCGGGGCATTTTTTGGTCTGGACCAAAGTTTGCCTCTGTTGATTTGAAGGGTGCTTTAATTTTGTGATCAAGTGCAAAGGCAAAATAAATGTGCTAGAGCAGGGGTGAGTGATGGGATTTTGTAACAGCAGTGTTAAGAATGATGTGGTTTGATTCTATAAAGGCTATCAATAGGATTTCAGCTAGATGTCTACCTAACCTAAAGCTGGCTGCTATTTCAAATGAAGTATAAATGAACAGTGAAGCAAGAAGAACTTGCAGTAAGGAGCTTTAAATCCCCTAGAACAAAGCAATTAAATTGCCAGACACATTTTTTTTTATCCAAAAGCTTTTGTACATTTGCCAATATTGTGATTTTCTATTTTATAGTCTACTTTATCCACATCCACCTTTAACTGAATTCAACAACAGTTACACTTTTGTACCTACAGGGTTTTCTTTAAGGTTTTAAAGGTAAACAGTTGTGGGTCTCAAAATCCAATATGGTGGACAAAACGTCATATCGTTCGTACTTTCCTACCACTGCAGCAAGATTTGTCAAAAAGACAGTCCCCATCAGAACATTTTTAAACTAACCTTGAGTCAGAAGTCTTTTTATGTTTTCAGAAAAGATAGGCAGTGCAAATTTATATTTTTATTGAGCCCAAGTTTAGACCTGATAAACATCATCTCTGTACGGGCTCTCAAAACAATGAAAGTAGCTGGTGAAACCTTGCAGAGAAGCTGGCATACTTTGCCAGCTACTGGCTCTAATCTACAACCCTGACCTTACCAAAGTTCTTTTCTGTATTTCTTTTTCCAGGACAACGACATCACCTCTTTGTTTGGACACCTTCTTAAGACTGCTCTCCACCAACTCATCATCAAACTTTTTTCGTTTAATAGACCGAGAAGAACTTCGACGAGGAGTACTTCTCCCTGCCCTCCCAGGTGGTCGAGGAATGGGTGCTGGGGGATTTGGAAAAGCATTTGTTGGAGTCAAAGATGACATGATTTTTCCCCTTTAAACCTGCAATCAAAATAATAAACACAATTGGAGAATGGCATTGAGCAAGACCCTTGGTGACTTTCAATGCACCATTACAACTTCCTCTGTTTTACAAAGGAAATCAAGACAACTTTGGAGGGAGAATGCACCAGTCTTTCAGAAGTCACTAGGAGTTTATTTAATTGAGTCAAATGAACTATTAAAGGTTCATGAGTCTAAGTTCTTGAGTAGCCCAGTAAATAGGAAGGTTGGTGTCATAGAAAGAACATCTTAACCAAGTAAAACCCCTCCTAGAAACCCCTAAAAAAGAAACAATGTCATGCCATGCCTTAACACATGACAAAAAATTTAGGCAAAGTATTTTTGTTTCAGAATCATGCTGGTTTAAAAATTTGAAAACAAAGGAAAATTTAAACCATTGAGACTACAGTGTACATGACGAATGATAAAAGACACATACATCTCAAAGCTGACCTTCAAAATTAACCTATAACCTTAGGCAGTTATCAAGATTCAGGATAAATAATCTGTAGATTACTTAGTTAATGATCTAATTGCTATATGAAAAAAGTGACGACATTCTTATCCTTCTAAATACTTCCGCAATGCCGACGAGCAGTTTTAACATAAATAAAGAGTGCTAGTACAGTAGTCAAACGATATGCATGTGCATGATGACAAAAAGCATAATTATATTACTCCTGTGGCTATGAAATCGCCCATATGACGATCTAAGTAGCGTAGAAAGCTATATCAATTCAGTTTAGTTTATACACATTAAAAACTTTGGCGTGTTTCATATCGCAGCAAAAGCTTCTCGAATTCACCGCTCGCATGTGTTAAGTCATACGCTCGGGTAGAGGCTGATTAGCTCGATATCTCTTGATCCTTCCTATTCAAAAGTTCGGGCACAAGAATTGGGTATTTTCAAAGGTGTACTTTACCTGTGACGACGTTCTGATCTCTTTCAAATAATTTTAGAAAAACGGTGAAAGCCGTTCGACAGCGACTCATTCATAAATTGACGCCATTTTGAAATGACGCGCTGAAAGGATCATGGGTCGGATTTTGTTAGTTCCCATGCTTTCCCTCCGGAATAAAGTTACATGAGGAATGAGGAAACTTTGAGTGATGGAAAACTTGGGTGAAGAAAACGAAAGTAGATTTTCCTCAGTACCCCCCTCCATTTCCTTTATTCATTCCTTTATAAGGTGCTGACAAGGCAAATTTGTTTAACAATCTGGAGCTTCTATCATTGGTGATCAATTCCTTTATTCTCATGATCTTTATGTGTGACTCGAGGGTGATATTGTAAGGAGAAATTAGATGCTGATCACTCTTAGGGGTGGAAGAGTTAATCTGGTTTACTGTCAAGTCGCTTGAAAGCCATCTCAACCAAAGTCATGTCCCCAAAAACCTGATTCATGTTGTCCAAAACTTTCAGACTTTATTAATTTATTAACATTTATACTTTATTATTACTTCTTTATTCACCTATAACTTTTAAAGTCAAAAAGTCTGATTTTTTACAGTTACAGTTGATCCAACTTTGACTGTACTCATAAAACTCATAGTTTCTTGGTCTTTCCAAAGTGGAATAAAAAATTGTTTTAAGAACATTGTTATATTTAGGGAAAACTTGAAATAAAAGAACATATAACTCCTGGAAAATCAGTGGGGGGAGGGGGACAGAGGGCAAAGGAAATTTCCAGAGTATCAGCTAACATTCAACTATAGGGGAAAATTGTTCTAAGACTGGTTTTTTCTTTTTACCTTTTTGCTTGCAATTCTACATTTTTAAGGCACATTCATTCTATAAAAAAGGAAAAACTCAAGGCTCCCATGAGGAACCAACCTCCTGCTGAAAATGCAAGGATCCATGCCCTAAAGGATTCCATTTGTCCTTAATCTCACAAAGACGAGGGTAATTCACACCATAAAAATTCTTACCCCAGTTCTTAAGGTGGCGGTCCATGTAGTTGACATAACTACCAAGAGCACAGCCAGATTCTCTGACTGCATTGTAGGTTGTTGTTGCAAACTTAAGAACCTCCTCTCTCTGAGTTGGGTTATGAAACCTGCCATATGTATAATAGCTATACTGAGCAGTGCGGAAGGGGAAAGCACTGGATGTCACAGAGTGTTGAGCAATGTCACCACCCATGTGAACAAACTCAAGAAGACATTCTGGTGGGATTTCAACATGGGCAAAATACTTGGCCAAAGAAGGTGGTAGGGACTGTATCATCACTCCTTTAACATAAATGGGTTCTACCTCCTGATGAACAAAGCCATGCCGCTTGCTGTATTCAGTTGAAAACTGCAGAAAGGATGTGAACACCTGAGGTTGTGTTTCTACTGGTGGATGAAGACTTTCAAGGCTTGACTGCACTGCATCCTCATGAATGTCAGAATATACTGCATCCAAAGTCAGTGTTTTCTTCCCGAAGTAGCCATGAAGAGCCATGTCAAGATTGAGTTCCTTAGGGAAATTGTGTAAATTTTTACCCACCACACTGAGCCCTTGTTCACTCTGATCAGTTGTGTTATAAATGAGACGGGTCCAGATGAATTGTTTAGGTCTTGGACACACTTCTAAAGTAACATCAACCATCACTCCAAAATTTCCACCACCTCCACCTTTCAAAGCCCAAAAGAGATCTTCATTCTCTTTAGCAGAAGCCCTCACAACTTTGCTTCCATCGGCTTTAACCATGGTAAATGACAACGCCTTATCACAAGCCAGACCCCCATAGGCACGAGACAGCATACTGTAACCACCCCCAAGGATGTATCCCCCGATACCCACTGCCGGAACACATCCTCCGACAGCTACATAATCAGTATCATCAAGCGCAGAATACACGTCTCCCCAGCAAGCTCCAGCCTGAACAGTGACCGAGCTCTCCTGCATATGAACTTGATTCAAGTTTTTAAGGGAGATGACAAAACCATCACTGTCAGTGGTGGAGTAACCAGCGAAGCAGTGGCCCCCGGATTTAACAGCGACTGGAGTATTAGTTTTGTCCGCGATTTTCAGACAGCGCTTGATGTCTTCAGCATTTTTTGGAAAAGCGACAAAGGCTGGCTGTTCCAAACTGTACGCAGGGTTGTAAATCTTCACTGCGTCATGGTAGAGTTCCGGTTGCTCAGGAGTCACAGCGATATCTCGAAGTTGTTCGAGTGCAGCGTATGCTGAACCGCCCCCATGCAACTTTCTGGATTTCAAAATGTTTGTAAGGAACGCTTTCTGGTGTAATCCACGCCGTATAAAACGATAACTTTTAGATAAATACATATCTTGCTCAGGACACCAACTTTTCCGCTCAGTTCCGCGTTCTGACCGAAAAGACGTTGTGTACGACCACATCAATTGTACAAATTTGTGCTTAGTCTCTCTCCTCTCTTATCCTAAGAGAGATACCCACTCTAAGTCTTCCTTCCTAATAATCATCGCTATGTCGTCCTTTTCTGAATTAATTTTAGCTAACTGTAGCTTGGCTACATCTTTTTTAATCTGTGTTTACCTATCAAAAGCTTCTAGATAGCATTTGTGGTTTGCGGATAGCACAAATAAATAACAAGTTTATCAAATATAAAATAATTGTTTTCGTAGCTCATGTGGTTAAGGCGTTTGGCGTTTGATGGAGAGTTCGTTAGTTCGAATCCCGTCGAGACTAATTTTAAAAAAAAAAACCAACCAACCAAACTTTTCGGTGATATTTAATATTTTTTTTTTATATTTTTATAAAAAAACCAACCACGGTGCTCGCACGCCTCGCTGCCTCGCCAAATTTTGCTATCTATGTAAAGAAGATTTCAAAGAATTGCTGTTGCTGGTGTCCTGTAAAATTTGCACGCGGTGACGCTCTTGTTTTTTTCGGTTTTCATTCGATAGTGCTCACAGGTCTGACCATGGCCAATATTCTAAAGAAAATAATCCTTCGCGCAGAGGGACAACAGAACAACAAAGCAATCAAGGAGTTGAGAAAGAGGAAAATGGTAGAAGCTTTACATTCGATGAAACACAATTTTAAAGTAACAAGCACTTCACTTGTTTACATTTGTTTTCTGCGAGGCTCTCAAAGAACTGATGACACGTGTGTCATGTGCATTAAATCTAACTTTTCTGGGGTAGAATGAAATCGAATCGTGATGGCCTCCTTCTGATTCTTCCTAAACGGGTACAACTGGTCTTGACAAATATCTCTAGATGTGAAGTACACATTTTAGTTCATTAGTATCATTACGGCCTTTTTTCTTCCTCTTCCTCGTCCTACTCCACCTTTCCTTCATCTTGTTGAATATCCCAATTCTACCCCTAGAAGAGCACTTGGACTATAGGAACATGACCCAATGTTGAAGTAAATACGTCTTTATTTAACCGAATTTTTAGATTATACTTCTCGAAATTTATTTTTTAATTTTACTGATCATCTCGTGCTACACGAAGTCCCAAGCTATTTCTTCCGTTTCATTCCTTTTGTTCCGCGGGCTCATACATATGCGATCTTCCGGTCCGGTAGGATAATGGTCTGACCAGAAGAAAAAATGAGTCCACACGTTCATTTTCGTAAACTTTTTAAGCTGTGAAAGAATAAAAGATAAACAAGGTGAAAATGCTTCCCGTTAGCTTTCACTTGTAAGGTCACACACTAGGAACACAGCGCCCAAACGTCTGTGCATGTGTGAACGTTGTAATGACAAGACACTAGGCACGACACACGGGAAGATTAGGTGGCGTGCTTTCAGGCCTTCAGAACCAAATTATCTCGCACAAGTTACAACAACCTTACAATCTAGTAATTCATGGTGTTTGAAAAGTGTTATTTTTGATAGAGCTCACAATAGAATGGTAAATCAACAGAATGTCCGAACTTGAATAAGCGAAAGAATCTAGAAAGGAAATTGAGACATTCGTAGAAATCTTTAAAAGGAATGAAAAGCTAGGAAAACGAAAATTAGCGAACTCAAAGCTCCGTGTTATTGAATTCCTTACGTCAAGATCCTTGCAGTTCTTGTCTGTTATTCCTGTGTTTTCACAAGCCAGGTCTTTATTCACAGGAATCTTCAGTTCGTAGATACCAAACGGACTCTTGCATTCCTCCATTCCCAGGAGTTTGTCTTGGCAAGTACTCCCGCTTGGATTCAGGGGATGACTACACATCTCATTCCACCGAGAATCATCCTTGTTCATGCAAAAGCTGAGGCATTCTGAAAAGGGAAAAGATTGCACAATTTTAATTGCGCAAAAAAATTTAGTAAATTAGACCTGAAATGGAGATTTGGGGTTTCTGGGAGCTGTTTCGGTTTTTTGTGATTTCGTTTGTCGTAGCCAAGAAAGTATTACTAACATCTATTATCAAAATGTTGGTTTTAGAACTGAGCTGTTTAAAATAACTTGACTCTGTCGTTAAAAATAATATTAGGGGGTAAAGAATTCCAAAGAAATATACGAATGAAATTAAATTACAAAATAGCGCACGGGCAATATAATCTCTTGCAGGTTGATAACAAAAAGAGAGTGCTTAATCCACGGCCGATTACAGCGCATTCTTTGACCAGTATTGGTCTTCTCTCCAGGTCTACAAAATCTAAACTTTGATGAGAATTTAAGATACCTGTACTATGAGTTTTGGAAAAAGCCAAGAACACTGTGAAATTGCATCATTAAAACCCACTTACTGGTGTTTCTTCCCTTTGCTTTTTTCCTGTTACACTTCCCTTCTTTAGTAACCGCTGACCGGTCAAACGTGATTTTCCTGTACGAGCCTACAGACTGTCGATAGTGTTTGATGCTGTTGTCGCCTGCACGAAAGCTTGAGCCGCTAAGATGGCGGATTTGAAGATGAACTTTATCGGGAACACCTGCGGGTTGTTTTTCTGGGCCATAAAGCTCAACATAAATCTGAAAGCAGAGATAATGAATAGGAAAAAAATTGCATTAACAGAAAGTCACAATTTGGGGATACAGGAAATGTAAAGATGACAATGTGGAGATAATAACTGTGTCTCGCCTTTAGCAGACGAATGTTGTAACACGAGGTACAACTGTTTTTGACGTCGAGACTGAATTTGGTGTGACCTTTGTACAGCTCTTGAAAGATCTGAAATTAAAAAAAGATATAAGAAGTCTTCTTTTTACTCTTTTATAATGACATGGTACTGGTAATACATATTGCGTTTGAACCGCAGCATCTCTTCGGCGACCAACTTTTTTTCTTCCTCTTCGTAGTGTAGTTAAAATTTAATCCCTAAAAGTGACTAGCATCTAGTTTCTCCTTACAAAACAACCCTCTGAATCAAACATTAAGGTCAAGAGAATAAAGAAAATGATCACCAACTAAAGAAGGTCTTGATTGTTAAACACGTTCTCCTTGTCAGCACTTAGGAAATATGAAGAGAAGCAGTCCTGAGAGGAACTTGTATTTTTTTGCGGTATTGCACTGGACATGTACTTACCTCTTTGTCTTTAACGTTGTCAAAACTCCACTTCATGATATCAGTGGTATAAATATTGTTAGTGAAACAAAGCATAGCCTTGTCTTGAATGTCCTTCGTCTTACGAAGCACTTCCGTCAACTGGACAGCACCGTTGAGGCGCCCAGTCCCCCGCGCGCTTTCACTGGCCACTCTTTGGAAGGAAGAGAGCGGGTTGTTTCCCTCCCAGAGTGTACGAAACTGGAAGGCTTTGTAAAGCTCGTACACCTTTTTCATGAATGATCGTTCCAGTTCTCTGTATGTGCTGAGAAGATGTTCCAGGAAGGTCTGTTGCAGAGTTTTGCTGATAGGAGTATCTGTGCAGTAAATTCGGTAACTGGTTAGTTTTACTTCTTTGTTCTTAAAAAATAAGCAAAATAACAACAAACAAACGAACAAACAAACAACCAAAATTAGAAAAGAGCCAGAAAAAGGATACGTTAACACACACGCATTCATCTGATGCTAACTCAGGTTTTTGTCGTTCAAGGACAGCGCTCCCTTATTTTTGCTCGAAAGGACAAAGTTTGCATGGTACGAGGTGACCGTATTCTCTTCGAGCAGAAGGTATAGATCCACTTCTAACCTCTAAAATTAATTGTGCTCTTTTTAAAGATTTGCATTTATTTTCCTTGTATCGTCTTTCCCACATTCCCATATTCGGTGTGCTTCGCAATTAATATACAGGTTTTTTTTTTTCCATAAAAGTAACTTTTACCATAAACGGCTGCCACTGGCATAATAGGTGGCTGTGTCTGGAAAAGGAGCCGAAAGGGGTGACCTAAACACCAGAGCCTGCTTGCACGCTAAACAGACTACGACGAGAGGTCATATAGGCTGTGCTAAACCCTGCACTGTATATCTTTATAAGGTACATATCAATTAGGAATCACACTTGGAAACTATTGGGTTAGCCATATATGACTAGCTTTTACCTTTCGCTTTACCAATATCAGTTATGGCCTTCTGTGTTTCTATTAGGATAGGGATATCAAAGCTGTACCCCCCGATTTCGTTATCGAGGTCCATAACTTTTCCTATCAGATCAATGCGTGCTGTTCCAGCGATGAAAAATGACTCCATAACTTGTTTGAACCCAGCAATGTCTTGAGGTCTGGAGGCCACATCTAAGAGGCAAACTAATTCGGCTGCGAGTTTTTCCTTGTTCATCTCAAGATTGGCCTTCAAGCAAGGAAAAAAAAGAAGAAAAAAGTTAAGAGCTATTGACGAACTAGCTGGATCATTGCTAAGTTGACGCCGGTGCTTACCGATGCGTGAAGCAGCCATTGACAAAGAAGGGGTATAAGATTAATTGTCTTTCTTGTCTATTTGAAGCAGCATGGAGAAAAAATTTCTTTTCGGAAAAAAAAAGGATGAACATAGGAACTGGTTTCTTTGTCTTTGGTTTGAACCTTTGCGAGTATAAACGATTGCATTAATGGTGGGCTCATTGCATTTCTAATCAAGATCACAAAGAGATTCCGTACCTGCATTATTTCAGGCACAGAAGCAACATCGAGTTTGTCGAAGTCTAAGTCGCTAGAATCAACAAGGGGAGTGTAAACCTTCCCAAAGGTCAACCATTTCTTTATACTTCCCAGGTTGCTTTCAAGAGAACCAAGACACTGCTTTCCGGACTGTGACTCAGCCAGGCCAAGAGCTGTGTCGATAAAATCCAAAGGGTCCTTGCCTTTAATAGCTCCTGCAAACCCAGTGATACCCTGAAGTATCGCTAACAAGTCATCGGGATTGAATTTTGCTTGTTCATAAACATTAGGCAACATTTGTTTTAGTTCAAGAAGTAAACTGGCTAGTTGTTCCTCTAGTTGCTGAATTGACTGCAGAG